ATCGATCAACCAGACAGCGCACTCGTCCGTTTCAGCTAATTGTGCCCACTGGCGTTGGACACGACGCTGGATATGTCGTCCAGGGAAATCCGGTGTAGCATTCAACACAACCGGTGGTCGTCGGACAGGGAAGCATGTTCGTTTCGGTAAAAACACCGACTGAGGTACAACCGCATGGCGCAGTAACGAATTCTAGAAACCTTAAGCCTCTTTTTGGGATAAGATTAGAATTGGAGACTCACTATCAATGATGCAGAATGCTGAGCTGCAAGAGTATGTGCAACCGCTAGAGGCATGCGTATCCACCGTCACAGTAGCCACGCATTTGGTGATCGTAGGGCCCGCTTCTGAAGCGGTCGTCGACTTTGGGCATGTTGATGTCGATGTGGCATAGATGTAGGAAGTTTGACATCCAAATTTACATGGAGTTCCACATGGATAGTCCACTGTCACTGTCGGGACAGGGGTGGGACAGTCGCATGGATTCGATACGGTTGTTAACATCAAACACATCGGAACGATGCAAGATGAACAGATGCTCCCAGTACTGGTGAAGGTAGGGCAGGGGGTGTTGACTTGGTTGGAAGTCGAAGTTGGTTCAACGGTAGGAATTGGAGAAACAGGATATCGCTCCTCGATAGCGGCGGCGAATGTGCCACTATTGCATGTTAGCTAAATTCCAATCTCTACATATGAGCACAAATTTCCACATACGCGAGGTGCATAGCAAAGAGCATGGCAACCCCTTCAAAATACATGTTGCGATTGGGATTTATTTTAGCGGTTCACGGCGAGTTGTTGATGGCCTTTCGATTAGGACGGTAGCTGGGAGGCTGGGTTTTTATGAGCGTTTATGAACATTGAATTTCTAAGGAATGCAAACGGCTGCTGTTATAAACCGTTGAACCGTCATCACTGAGACCTTGACATTGTACCAAAAGGCAACCTCAAAGCCTGATTCGAGGAGAAAATACACTGCCTGTCACATGAACTCTAGCCCTGCCTTCAGTGAAAAGCACGCGGAACTCAAACACGAGGTAGCTAGGTTCTTGGCTCTTCGGTTGCTATGACCTCGCCAATGACGTGCAAAATCGAAATTCCAGCTGTGTTCCCAGGCCAATGGTGACGAAGAATCGAGGTTGTATATGTCCAATACGGGATGTCTCGGCAGGACCATTCCGATGCTTAACACAACCGAGTCCCCGCATGCCATGAAATACACCAACGGCTTAAATGCACGGTTAACTCAAATGCTATAAATAACGTGACCGCCAAGTTAATGTCATAATGTTTTATCATTTGGTAGGTAACACGGGGAGAATTCCGCCATGGCAAAGTTTAGCCTTGAAGCTAAAGGGAACCGACACAAAAAATGCATACATAGAGCACACTTCTCGCCTAGTCAAATAACAGCCAGATGCAACTGACCGACAGTGAAGTTGTCCATGAGAAGAATAGACCGTCCTGGCAACTAAATCAATATAGCTGCCGAATATGAAAGCAGCAAGGTGGCCTAATGTGATCTCACTCTAGCTCAAAATCGCACCATCAAGAGGGAAGTTCCGCTATCCGCAACGCCCTTCCGTGGCTTTTCTTCGCCTCTGGCGCAGTGCCTTTGATCTCTTGACTTGAAACTCGAAATTCTTCAGCTGCAAGCCTGGTGGAATCTGCCGGAACAGAACCAGCATTCGATTGGAGAGTGTCAGGGCTGGGCAAGCCTGTGGCATGACCCGAATATTTCAACTTCTTTTTACGGACAATGAAGAATAAAAGCCCGAGAATAACACCAAGGACTAATACTCCAACCGAGACACCTATAGCAATGGGAACTGAATTGCTTCCTTTTGTCTTTTCTGCAGCAAATGATGGCAAATGTGTGGGGGCTGAGTGGGTTGATGCCGCCGCTGACATGGACGTCAGCGAAATAAGAGTGGTGCTTCTTGTGGTCATGGTTGACTGAATAGAGGCCGAACCAATAGTTGTTGTTTGGATGAAGTCTTCAGAAAATGTTGATGTGGGCATCGGTAACTGGGAGCTTCCTGCTATATTGTACGGGTCGCTTCCTCCTATAAAGCATGTTAATATGCTAGCTGAGGCCTGAAAAGTCGTCAGTCTCGAAGCTAGAACTTACCTGAAAGCGATATTATATTAGTGCCAGTATCGCAGTCCGCGGTATCTCCAAAGGGGTCCTCACAGAACCACCAATCGTCTCGGCTGAGACATTTGAACATCTTCTCTTCGCCAGTCAAATTCACTCCTTCTCCTGTCAAGCAGAAGTTCGGACAAGATGTTCCAACGCTGAAATCCGGAACGAAACAGCTCCCTCGGTAGTAGCCCGGATCAAGAGGATTCGAACTCTGGCAGACATGATTTTTAAGGCAATAATCATGTGTTCTGCAGCATAAGCCATCATAACCACTATCACCGAAACACGGTGAGTGTTCCAAATTGACTTCACCATCTGGCCAGTAGCAGTCTGCCTGCACCACGCTTGTCAAGGCTCCGCCGAGAAGGAAAGATGCAGCAAATCGAGGATACGGTTTCCATAAAAACATCTTAGGTAGGTATCGAGTTCCATAATCTATTCCTTACCGTTAAGACCGGAATCTACTTCTTAAATGGTAAGCAGAAGCAGGCACATCAGGCTCTCGCAAACAAGGCAAAGTGTTTGCTTCTCCATGTTTCGTGAAACGTCTTCGTCATGATGTGACGTGCCATGACGATTGTGTAGCATCAGTGCAGGCGAACTGGTGATTCGAAGTACATTAGAAATGCAAGTTGCGCATGCTTCGAGTGGAAATGTAAAAGGCTAAGAAGATACTAATATAGAAGGCCTTTGATCCTAAGATGGGGTAATAACCTACTGCCTCGTGATAACACTGCACAATTCACCTTTCACAGTACAAATTTCGTGAATTTATCATCACCACACAGGTCATTAGGTAGGTAATCATATTTCAGAACATGCACGACGAAGAGCAGATCATAGCTTCTCATATTGATACTATGGTCAGAATAGACCAAGTCCTCGGCCGTGAAAGACCAGGTAAGCCAGACCTAAAAGTAATACAAATTATGATTGCCTCTTAACCCCATACTCTGGTAATTCGGGGATAAGAATTCCCCGATACAAAGTGGGGCGTATGTTTTCAATTATTGTTCGGGCGTAAGACATTTCAACACCGAGGAACAACCTTCAAATACATCTTTTCGTTCGCAAGTACGGCCCAAAGCAAAATCGGTCAATTGAGCTAAAGCATTCCCAATGAGCACGCGCGATACATCCGAGGGCTTGGAAGTCCCGCGCAGGCGTCGGCGCCCAGCCAAGTCTTGCGACCAATGCCGAAATCGTAAGGTCCGATGCGATCTAAACCAACCGTGCGGTCCATGCCAGAGAGCCCGAAGTGCATTAGCATGTTCATACCGGGAAGGTGTGCGTGGAGCTCAGCGTAGTAGAGTTTTAGATGGTGATCTTCAACAATCCACGAGAGCGGGCGAGATATCCGTACCTGATGAGCCATTGTCTCGATCACCCCCTCCCTTACATAAAAGACAGCGGCAAGAGACTGAGTCTAACATTGACACCACGATAAAGTCTTTACATGATCGTTTGCAGTTTCTGGAAGAACAATCTATACGTCGTCAAAGCAATACCCAACAGCAAACGTTGGATAGGCTTCTTGAGCGGCTAGAGCGTCTTGAACAGAGGATTAACACAATTGATGGGGATTCTCCAACCAACTTGCCAGACTCTTCAAATACCTCAGAACTATTCGTGTCACAAATACCACCGCGCCTACGAGCGGTTCCAGAGAAGACCAAATTCTATGGACCTAGCCACTGGCTACATACAGCTGAGAAGGTGAAACCCACCGCCTGCAAGTCTAAAAGAACAAAGTCGCTAACAGGGCGTTTGATAGATTCATGTCATCGCTAAGTTCTCTGAACGTGAAGCTGAACCTCACTTCACCGGGATTCACGCAGAGCTACGCGACTCATTTAGGGACTGTCGGAACCTACGTCGATATGTTAAGCGCCTGCAGCAGCCTCATATTCTCGAAGACCCTACGGAGGATATTATTAACTCAATTCCATCAAGGTCAATCTGTGATACACTCATGGCTGGTTATTTCCGAACTTTCGACCCTCTTTACCGAATTGTCAACAAATCTGTATTTCAGAATGAGTATGAACAATATTGGCTCACTCCGATAGATGCCAAAAGACCTTTCTTGATGAAGCTCTTGCTGGTTTTTGCCATTGGCACCACTTTCTACAATGATCATATAGAAACTCAGCACTTGCGAGCTTCGGCTAAGACTTGGATACATATGGTCCAATCTTGGCTTACTCGCCCGTCAGAAACATCGGCCCTCAACCTTGATGGGTTGCAGACCTTTTGCCTTCTGCTTCTTGCATGTCAGACAAACTCGCTGAGCGTTCCTCCGGCATTGTCGGCAGGCTCTCTTTTAAACATAGCTATGGGGATGGGTTTACAGCGGGACCCAGACATATACACGGCGCTGTCACTGGAACAGAAGGAGACTAGAAGGAGACTCTGGACGGTAGTACTTGAGTTGGTGCTACAAAGCTGTATTGACTCAGGACTGCCGTTATTATTGTCACTGCAAGACTTTGACACAAAAACACCTTCGAATCTTAATGACGACTACATAATCTCAGCCGAGACCGACTCCGGCACGTCCGGTTCAGCAACAGGCTTTACGGACACATCGATACAGATTGCACTACGAAAGTCATTACCGTTACGAATCGAGACTATCCGCATGTTGAATGGCCTCAGCAAGGGTCTTTCCTACGAGAAAACAATGAGACTAAGCGCCGAGCTACACTCGGCTTGTCGAGATGCAGCGAGCTTTTTTCACGAAAACTCGATTTCTCATTCCCACCAAAAAGACATTCTTATACCTTCCGACTTTCACTCGAAATACGTGGATATGACACTTCGGAGATACATATTGCTATTACACAAACCGTTTATGATCAGGGCATCAGCGGAACCCAAGTTCTATCTATCTCGCAAGTCTGGTCTAGAATCATGCATGGTAATCGCCTCATATATCGATGATCTAGATATCAAATCAGGTCGAATAGATGACTTCTCCAGACTTATGATTTGCGGTACAGGATCTTTGCGTGGTCCACTAAACTTAGACATCATCGCAACTTTATGCCTTGAAGTCACCACACAGCTGAACGAGTATGGACCGCGCATGAACTCAGATCCTCTCGAAGCATTGAGGAAAGCTGGACGCAAGCCAATCCTTGACAAGCTAGAGCATATCAAAGAGCAGCTATTGCAGATCATCGCACTTGGAAGTGCCAGCCTCAAACGATACAACTTTCTTGCGGGGATGCTTGCGCAGATCCGGGCACTCGAGACAGGGCAATCCGTGGACACCGCCGTCTACGAGGCCGTCAAGCAAAGCTTGAAGAACAGCTACGATGCGCTTTTGGCTTCACAAACTGTTAACACCCCTCCAGACTCGATCGACAGTCTGATTAATGCGCCTACCACAATTTCCTCCGAGTCCTTCGACTTTGATATGGGGCTGTTGGTAAGTGCGTGTCAACAGCATCAATGCATAGATTTACTAACCGCCATTTTCAGGACCCTGGCCAGTTCTTTGACCCTTTGAATATTTTCAGCCTCAGCGAGGTACCAGATGGAACACAATACGGAACCGATTTCCTCTAGAGGCTCTTGATTGCATGCACAGCCCGAGGCCAAAATGAACGGAAGCTGGTGACTAGGAAACGCCGATTCTTCACAGGACACAGTAATCCGGATACCTATATCGTGCTTCGTAGCAGGCAGCTTGAAAGTTCGTGGAATCGTGGCAAAGTAAAGGACGCGTTCGTGGTGCAGATAGAGGCTGCCTTGCCTGCGTAATCACCCTACGTGTTGCGGCGGTGTTCGGCTCGGCAAATTCAGCTTACCCCCGATGTCTGCCCCTTACATATTTGAGACACCCACTCCAGCTTCTTGCGACCGGTCTTCTTGACTCTTATTTGGCATATTAAATATTTTGCGAGCATTTCTACACTTGAATTATAATTAAAGATATATATTGATACTTTCCTTCTCGACATCCTCCTCTCTCCGTTAGAAGGTCCCCGAAATCATAGCAACATCATGGGCTTATTCAAGTTGGCAATTGTCGGCACCGCCGTCTATCTCATTGCGAAGAACAGACGCCAGTCAGTCTCTCCTTTACTAAATTAAAGGCTCACTAGTCTAACTTAAATGTTCCAGTGATCGACATTCTCATACCGACATGAGAGGAAGCTCTGCTGGCCCTTGCCCACACTGCCAAGACTACAACAGTGACTACAAAGATCATACCCAGGTCCAGGACATGCCCTCTGGAATGATGATGGAGAAGAAGGAATGGAATGAGCGATCGCAGATTTAGACTGGAGGAGGCACCCAGCCGTGCGGCGGCTGTAATGAGTTATTTGGAACGACCAACGACAATATCACTCTGACATGTGTACAATAATGATCTCATAATGAATAACTTGGGTATCTTTGGAATCGGGTATATCCTAATGCTCATATTTGGTCCCCTGCCGTGACCATCACTCTCATGTAGTCGTCCTTCTTGACTCTTCATAATGTTGGAATAGTCGAAGCTGGAGCTTCCGGACTATATCAACCATTTTGGTGGTTTGGCCTCCGTCCCCTACAAACCCAAATTCCTGCCGTATTTCCGATTCCAGATCCTGTTGTATTTGAATTGGCAGATCTCCCGTAAGATACCTTTCATACTCAGATATGTCTCTTGGTCCCTCTTGCTTTGATGACGTTTGAGGTTCATTGATTGACTCGTCATCGTAGACTAGGTAATCACTTGTTAGTCATAACCTTGAGTTGTCTATTAGGGAAGCTCAACTTACATGGAGACGGAAAAGCGTTGGCATCTTCATGCGGGAAGAGAACCTTATATACTTCGTTCCACCTCTGTTCCTCTGTGGTGCCCGGTGCCACTCTCTTCTTGAGTCGGAGAGTCTCTTCTTGGCAAGGCATCATTGTGCCCTCGGGGAACGCATCCCTCCTCATTTCGCAAGGGACAGCCGCACGCTGGTGGCTCAGAAGCTCTGCGGCGTTCTTGCATTTGAGCAAGCAACGACTGCAAGTATGTTTGCCGATGGTATGGCATCTATATAGATGCTCTCTGAAAATGGTGTTAGCTCTGTTGTCAAAGATATTTCTAGGTAACTACTTACTTTACTCTGTGAACTGTGGGCCAGCCTGGTCCACAGCAAGTCCTCTTTTGCCGGAATGTGCCGGGATTGTTCTTATAAAAGGGGCAAGCGAATTTCTTCTCGCCAGTCTTTGAGCCGGAAGTAGCGACTGCAGTTGCATCAACACTATCTGTTGATAACGGACTGTTCCTCCTCTTAGCGGCTGCATGGTCCTCGGCTTCTCGCTTCCTTTTCCTTTCGGCGCTAGCTTGGGCATCATGCTCGAAGAGAGCTGGAGCAGTCAAGTAAGACTTGTCGACGAGGAGAAAATCCATGGGACTGTCACTAATACCACCGGCCGCGCCAAATGTATTCCACCGATTGAGTGGGCTGATAGGATAGTCATCCGGGGTGTTGAAGAAATTAGCGGTGAAGGATTCTGGGCTGAGATCCGAGCTGCTGCTGCTGGAGGTTACAATGTCGTCTACGCTCTCGACATCCCATGGGGCTTTGCCTGATGGGCTCGGCTGGCAGTAGGAGTCGTCCTCAAAACACCTCTGGGCTAATGCCTCAAGGCGAAGAGCGACTTCAGCACCACTGGCACGAGTTGTCAAAGCTGTTTCCACAACGAACATCCTGTTGGTGATGAACTCAAGGAAGTCCCGTGTGAACTGGCTGGAACTCTTATGGTTGTATAACTCCGTAATCCACTGTGAGAACAGCTATTAGCTTAACGATCCTTTGGTACATCCCATTGATTGAATGGTTAGATAAGCCATCTAGGAAAATATGGAATATTCTTTTCGTAAATGTGGTAGACACTTACCTCGAGTACTGTTCCTTTTAAGAAGGCACTTAGGGCACCAGTCTCCCCTGGATTGATTGTCTCGAAATACTCGTCGGAGTATACGCCAGGATTCTTGAATGTTGTTCGCTTCTTGGCGAACTCACTGAGACCCGCGGTACCCTGTAAAAACCATGTGACGAACTCTAAATAAGTACATCCTAGACCCCACACGTCCCAAGAACGGGACATGGGCCGAGACTTTGTATCGTGCTCTGGAGGTCTGTAGGTATTGGTAATTTGACGAAGCGGGTCCGGGTTTGTGTTGGCATTGTAGAAGAAACCTCCACCGAAATCACCAACGACTAGCTTGCCAGCTGGGGCTGATTTTCCGGGTTGTGAGAAGACGAAGATGTTTTCAGGTTTTATATCTCCGTGCAGACCGTATAATTGGTGAGGGGTGAGAGGATGTGCAGCTGCACTGATAGCACCGTTATGGACGTGGTTCAGGGCAGAGGCAATACCACTGCACTGAGCTGCAATCCAGCGAGCTCCTTCAGGCCCTATGGGTGGCTCGGGTTGATTTTGCCAAAGCCTTCGCAGATCCCCGTTGGCCCAGGGGAAGACCAAGTGGTAGTAACCCTTGTATTTATAAGTTGCGAGTAAGGAAATGACGTTAGAATGCTCCTCGGTCTGGAGTTGTTGGAAGGCTTCCACTTCTCGCCTGAAGGTATCTTCATCGACAGATAGTAATTTCTTGACGGCAAACGATGGTTGATCATGAAAGTCCTGGTTATCCCGGTTAGAATGTTGTTGTGGGCTTGGGATTAGTCTACTGTAGCTTGGGACACTCACCGAGAACCATCGTTGATCAAAGTTGTAATGAGCAGGATGAAGCTTAACACGGAAAACCTCCGAGTTGCCTCCTCGGAAATGGTCTTGGATCTGATGCTCTGTGCTTTCTGTGAACGGAAGAATCCTCTTGTCCTCTAGATCTAAAGGCTTAAGTCCCTGTTTCTTGTCAAAGACTGGAGAAAGGAAGAGCCACTGGCGCTTTTCGAAAGCCTCTATGTCGGACTGCGTCCAGCCCTGGAAACATCCAAGGGGAGCATCAGGGGCAGTACGACGTCGAAGTTCGAAGGCATTATCAGCCGCGACCTTTTGGAGAGCAAGATCCGTGTCGTTAACGTTTTCGTTCAAGAAAAGGGAGATCTTGTCGGCTTGATCTGTGAGCAATAAGGTTGCAAAAACCTTTCGGAAACCTGTGGATGATCCCTCGCCGTCATCCGCAATTTGCTGGGCTATCCGGCGGAGTGCTTCAACCGGGAGATACGGATACAATGTTTGGAGTTCAGTAAGGATTCGATCTTTGGTGAATATCCGCCGTAGTGCATCCATCGGAAGGAAGAGTCGACCGCCATCACCACGACACAGTGAGCTCTTGACCATCTCCTTCATAGAAGAGTTCATTGAGCTCGGCAAGTGTGATGAGACCTGAACCCCTTCATCGGCTGATGAGCCGTTCAGGGGTTCGGACACAGTCTCGGATGGCTTGGTTACATCATCAAACGAGAGATCACCGGTGCTTCCAAAGTCCAGAGTCTGAATGCCTTCAAGCTCGTGTCCCGGCTGCAGCATAGAGCTGTCCGCGCCGGAGTCCTTAAAGAGGAAGTCATCACCATTTGGATCTAATGAGACAACAGTGTCTTCAGTCGTATAGAAATCTGGAATTGCAAGCTGTTCACGAGGGTCATCAGCACTTCAATAGGTATTCTCATAGACAGGGACATACATCATCGTCCTGCAGTGAATGTTAGTGAGCGTCTTGATATCCGATAATTGGAGTTGATAGTGCTTGCTTACCCAGAATGACTCAAAGGCGCTATCCACCGTGGAAGTGGACGACCAGCGTGACGTAGCCTGCGCATCTCCGGAATCACTGATGTCGGCCATGTTTGCTCCTTCTCAATGAATCGTCGTCTCAATTGAAGAGACGACTCAATTTGAGATCCCACCGACGACTTGTAAGTTGTTGATGAAAAGATAAACCGAAAACGGGTTTCTTTTCACATTCGATGGCTGAGTGCTCCGCCTAGACACTAGAACGTTCGATGTGGGGGAACCAACCAACTAAATGGCCACACTCGCTCCTTTCCGTTTCTCGCTCTTGCCGAATTTGCGATGTGCGCGATTGCGCGCACAGGAAGGGGATCTGCGTGGCTGCCTCGTGCATGAGGCAACAACGAGCAGGACTCCGCCAATTGACACCATATCGTTAGATAAGATCATTTTGGGTGTAGAAAGACCAAACCTGACCGCTATTTTCACCAGGGTCAACAGTTATTGAAACCAGCAGTTAGTGCGAAGGTCTGGTCTTATCTCAAATCGCAGTAGATAGCGGAAGGCTGGCATTATACAGCTCTACTATTTACTTGTAGGTTCAGCCTTACAGAAGAGATCAGACATTGATCTCAGTTACTGGTATCGTGACTAGTAGTAATATCATTGCGACATGTCGGCGATGGGTGCAGTCGGCTGATTATTCACCGAGTCTGGAGTGTTTTTAGCTACCGGCGCCAAGCCATTGTCCACTGACTCAGGACGCCTTTTGGTCATTACGTAACACCACACTTCACTTCTAGGCGGGTAGTCTTATGTTCACCTAGCAGCCATTGCGTGATAACTATGATATTGCTTATGAATGGTGATGTAGTTTGAAAAGGGTCAAGGAAAGAGGGGATTGTGCCACAAGCACGTTTCCCCGCCTTCATCGGTACTATCCGTCAAGTTCTCAACTCTTAGTGTAGCAAGAAAACGACTCCATCCATATATACAGATGGTGTTGACTCTCGTTTTTTCTCTCAATGTCTCTTCCTCCTCTTCGCACTTCACCTTCAACATCTCCAAAAAGCTCGCCTTCTCTCCACCGCCTACAAAAAGTGCCTGCCGCGTATTTTCTGTCCCAAAGCCAAGAAAATCAAGTCGTGCTGCAACATGTCGCGCTTCCTAAAAAGCCTTTCGGGCTGCTCCTCCGCCGCATAGGGGTATCGTGAATAGTAGACTTCTCCAAGAGGGTCGCACTCCTTCCAATCAAACCTCTCCACAGCCGAGAATAAAAGAGCCAGCCATGATGGGTTCCCATCATAGGAGGAATCTCCTCCATACTGGTTAATCGCCGCCTTCCTTCTGATCTAGCCCTACTGGCATCTTTTGCTGTGTTGTCCTCCTCGCTCTGCCAAGTTAGGTCCTGCAGAAAGTTCAGATTTCAGGCCCAATAGTGGTGTTCGCAAGCCACTCTTCATCGAATATCCAATATCATCCAACATTGCGTCTGGAGTGAATCTCTTATGTCTTATGGAAACCCGTGTTGAATTGTGGGTATACAAGTCCTCGAAAGCAAAATGCAAGCGTCGTATCATAAGTCGTAATTACCAAGCCTGGGCTGATGCATCTGAAGATCCTCATCCGTCGTCAGGTAAGAAGTAAAACCGGGTGGAAATTAGGTCAACTGGTTTCCCCCTTGTCATAATATGCGTGGTGTGACTGTCATTGATGTCGTGCTATTTATGAAGGAAAGTTGGGATGGAGCGACTTTTAATGAACGCGCAGTAAACGTCAAGTCTCTTATGTAGGCATTGGGCATGAGGAGTAAGAAACCCTAAGGCCGTTTTCCATCATTTTATTCCAGCAAAAAAGAATCGTGATTGAAGAGTGTGAGAACCGAGGGCGCCGTTAAAAGCAGTGAGTCGTGCAAGTAACAAAGTGCTTGTGCCGTGTGCTATGCAGAATCCGGGCAAGGGGTAAAACACAAAAGATACGTAGGTCGTAAAGCAGCAGTAATACCGTGTCCGACAACAATAAAACAAAAACACACTCCAGAACCGTCGACGACATTGCTATTTCTAACAATGGTGTCGACTATTCGCTCCCTTTTCTGGAATTAGCTCAAAACTGATTCAAGATGAGAGCGACACCGAGCCGCGCAATCAAGCGACTGGAGCGATAGGAGCAACCGCCGGTGCAGGAATTTCACCTGGGTTGATGCCGACCTCCTGGCTGACCTCGCCGTTGGTGTTCTTCTGAGGGCAGTCACGAGAGATGTGGCCCGCTTCGCCGCACTGGTAGCAAGTCTTGCCGGCAGTGTTGAGCGGGCCGCCGTTGGGAGCGGTACAGTCTCGAGAAATGTGACCAAGCTTGCCGCATGCATAGCACTTCATCGCCTGCGCCTGGCAATCACGAGCGAAGTGGTTCGGGCCACCGCACTTGTAGCAAGTAGCCGGGCGAGGGCCACCTGTAAATCCACCCCGTCCATATCCGCCATATCCACCACGACCAACTGGTCCACCACGGCCCAGACCAACGGTAGGCGGGTTGGGGCAAGCGCGCTATAGGCAATGTTAGACGAAGCTCGGACATTATGGGCTATCGGGATTACTTACGGCTAGATGCCCGGGTTGTCCGCAGTTGTAGCAACGACCGCTGGTACCGGCACCGCTCAATCGGAGAGTCGGGCAGTCAGCCTGCACATGGCCAAGGCCCTGGCAGTGATAGCACTGCTTCGCCTCGGTAGTGCGAGGAAGAGGGCATCCGTTGGACTCGTGGCCTTTAAAAGTCAGAACACAAAGGTATGAGAATGCGCTAAGTACCCCTATGCTTACCAGGTTGCTTGCCTGTTCATTTATTGTTAGTTTCGGGTGCATTTGAGTACTCAGCAATATAACTTACAGTTGTAGCAAAGGCGCTCAGCAGAGGAGCACACCTCGGCGTAGTGGCCAACATTGCCACATTTATAGCACGCACGGCGGGATAGAGAAGACATTGCGACGAACCCGGGAATCTGCAAAATTGATCGTCAGCTCGACATGCAACAAACTCCATTTCCATGAACTCAATCCCTAGGTCGCCGCTCGCAGCGAAGCTACAGCGTGTCCCTTTGTGCTAGGCACAGCTACATCTCTGATCGACATTCTGAGGATAGGAGATGCTGCATAACGGTTGGCGCAAGCAGGTCAATTCGGCCAAGATGTGAATGACAACAATATCCTCGTTGAGATGTGTTTTCGTTGGATCGTGAGGCTGATCCCTCGAGGGGGAAGGAATTGTCGCGTCTTGAAAACGGGTGGATGTATACGAGCGAGCCTGGACAACCTGCAGGATGCATGCGGCTTGTGCGACCAAACTAGGCCAAAGTGTCTCTTCGCCGACTCACAAACCCGCCATCGATACAACGAATATCACTAACCGGTCCGACACGCTCGCTTTCTTTCTCGCCGCCGCTTCGGCAATCGGAAGCTGTAATGAAGGGATGCGACCAGTACGGTCAAGACTCGGTCAACGACAGGCTGAACGGTGCAAGGTACATCTGGTCATACGTCGTATCTGGGTTACGGCGCTCCGTGGCTACACAGCTCGGGAGAGAAGTATTTTGTCCGGTCCGGAAGTGGCTCGGTCCTGTGTGGTGTATCGAGATATCCTATAGCCGCAGCATGGAAGATTTTGACAAGTCGCATCGCAAAGACGAGCAAGTATATCGCTCGCTTGCAAGCAGTCGACGGCGCATCCACTGGCGCATACCACGAGGACAATCCTTTCGGTGCTTCCAGTGCTCAAGGGCCAATCCTCTCGAATCTCCAGGTCCAGACGCCATGAGGAGACTTGCCGGGAGACGAACCTCGGTTGCGACAAAGCAAAAATAAAACGGTGGGAAGGAAAATAGCAACAGCATCAAAACTCACTCTTCAGAATTGTCTCTTTTGGCGGTCCCAGCAAATCTTCTTATCAGTCTTCGTCCGTCGACAACAGCGACAACCTTCTTCGACTTCCAAACGTCACGTCACACCGGCGACAACCCGAAATAATGCTTCCGTGAGGGATATTCCAAAAAAGGAGCGATGTGGATGTGGGAGAGGGAAGAGGAGGGAAAAGAAGAGCGGAGGAGAGGAGCGAGACTAAGAAGGGAGAGCAGCAGCAGGCCTGGCAGGCCTGGACTGGACCAAAGGGCAAAAGGGAAAGAGCGTGCCGCACGGGCGAGCGAGCACCAGCACCAGCACCCGCAATGGAGCAAGCAAAGCTAGCAAGAGGAGCAAAAGAGAGAAAAGGATACCGAGGAGGGACTTGTATTTCCCTGACCCAGCCGCATGTCTCGCGGCAAAATGAGTGGGAGCCATGCCCTTGTCAGTCGGCCGAACGAGGTACTAGTCATGTACCTGCATCTCCAGTTTGCTGCAATTTTTTTCCATCCCATTTCCCTCGTAAACGGCTAGACTCACCTACGGTCGGCGGCGCTGGAGGGGCGCCCACTCCCCAATTTGCCCTGGTTCGCGCGCTGGTCTGGGACCTGGACGGAAGCTGGCTCCCACCTGAGGATAGACGCACCGTACTAATACTAAGGAACAGGGTCGCTTTCTAGCGAGCTATCCGATCAATTGGTGACGGCGGCAAGCCGGGGGCAAGTCCTGCCCAGGGATCCCATACCACGCTGCGCTGCGCTGCTGGCTGTTACACACCGCAACAAACAGCACCACGGGCCACCTGACCCGCTGAGCGTATGCTGGGCTGGCTGAGGGGATCGTGGGAGAAGTGGGTTGAGATTCGAGGACGACAAGCTCACCGTCGCGGCGTCTGACTCGCCACCAGACAGCGCGCGTCTGCAAGGTTGATACTTCACCCTCGGTATGGAAGGCGGTGGTGGCTATGTCACTTGACTCTCCTTCTGCTCAGACTTCATCCTAGAACTTGTGAAGGAACGCCAGCCTCTCTCTACCTACCTATTCCAGCGCCTCTACACTAGGGTGAGACTCGGGCCTTGGGGGCGGGCGGGCGTGAAGAGAGCTCCCGTCTTTCCGAGATCGTCATTCGGTGGAATTTGGATCCTCGACAAACCCGAGTATTGCAGGGGTACTCCGCTTCTGCCCATCCAACATATTGCAAAGCCCGAGCAAGCGGCAACGGATCTTGAAGCCAAGCCCAAAGTCTACTCACCCGCTGCGAGATGCAAATCGAAACCTTGCGGACATTGGAATAGGCGGGAAGCGGGACATATCGCTTTTAATAAGGCCATGTGTCTGTCCCTATCGCTATCGCTATGCTTCCTGTCATGTCTCACTTTTCCCCTTTCGCGTGGATCTCAGCCGCTGACTAACGCTGAAACAAGACCGAGATGCTAGTCCCAAGATCTCGGTAAACCAGAAGGGTCCTGTCTCTTATTGCGGCTGCATAAGTCGCCGCGTCGTCGTTGGGTAGGGCACAGTACCTACAGCCAGCTGATATCGACAAAAGGGAAGTGTTGGGCTGCTCTCAAGCCTCCTTCTCTTTCTTCTGCTCCTACAAGCTAAGAGTCTTGCTTTGCAAACCCGTCTGCCTCCCTACCCGAGTTGCATAGAGGTTTACCGCCACTGTTGGCAGCTCCATCACAGCACAGATGCCTGCGCATGGCATTAGCGCCCAATCATACCCAATGTCAAGAGGCGAAAAAAAACCAAACCGCTGCAAAAGCAATCACACTGGAGGCAGGTGGTCCAGGCGGCCGGAAGACCTAAACAGGATGTAGCTCGAGCGCCCGTTCACCCGTAAACGGCTGTGCCGAAGAGTCGCAGCATGGTGTATCAACCAAAGCGAGCCACTATCGTGAGAATGGGGAGATGTGGCTTTCCGGCTCTGTCCACTGCGGCTGCCGAGAACACCTGAACGTTGAAACCAGAGACAATTTGATTATCAGGCTTCCGTTTGTCGTGTATGAGCTTGCATTTTGAACTTGGTTCACTTGGTTCACTTGGTTATTTCGGCCACATGGCCGTGGCCAAACTGCAGGAGTGACGAGCGAGTTGGATCTGGTTCCCGGTTCTACACACTCGGACAAGTTTGCTCGGTGCGGCAAAGGTAAAACGCCGCACAGCTGCAAATGCAAGACTCTTCGGCTGCACGGGTGAAAAGCGGCCTGCCGAACCAAGTTATGGATGCCGCCTGCAGCAGTACATACCGCCAAGCCTCCAGACACGGTCTCTGTGAAACCATCGGTCCCTGACTACCCTACCAGCCTGCCTGTTCTGCTTTGCATCAGAGAGTCTCGGGTTGGTCCAGAACGTCAGTCGTTGCAGAGCTGTCCTTACATAAGTCAACAAGCAGGTCACATGCGCTTGTCAAACCAGCCTTGTGCTGTATAGAACATAACATTTGTTTGATCATTTGTAGAATGACGGAGCTATAATCGAACATCGGAATACCGATCAAACTGCTTCACGTTGCCTTCTACCAGCGATGATCGTAATCTGGGCAGAAGAAGGCTCTTTGACGCTACTTGGGGCTAGGTGATCTCTAGCCTTCAAGCCGCCATAAGTTGGAGGCTGACTCCGGCGCCAATGTGGGGAGCTGATAATTCCTCCTAGTTTCAATAGGTTCTCACCATTGCCATGTTATCACAAACAACCACGAATTCTTCCCTTTCATCTGTGTGTTCAACACATGTATTACAAACTACCTAGTTTGCTTGCTCATTCCCCCCTTTTCACTCTAGAAAGGAGAAAGCTCTCTCTGGACTGTTTCCGTCGCCTAGCCTGCTGTTATTTTATCCTCCCTTGCTGTACAATTCTCATGACACCCCGATGCTCCAAAAACGCCAATGCTAGTGATGAGACCTGGAAGCTTATACACACTGCGCCTGTCATGGCGAAACCGCCCTTTGGTAACGCCGAAGAACTCCTCAAGGTAGATATACATATACACTACAATTAATGCCCCGCTGGGTAGGCGACCCGTCCCGCCTCCGAGGGATGCACCGGAAGCGGGACGTCGGTCGTCGGCGCAATGGACCTCGGCTGTGCCTCGACGACGTAGCTGACGCCGTCGTCGGAGGCATACGAGGGCGGCCGAGGGCCTTGCTGCGGCCGGTGAGTGGAAGCCGAGCCGCTGTCTGAAGAGGACTCGCCCTCCTCCTCGGTGGTCTCCGGTAGGTCCTCGTTGCGCTGCCAATAGATGCGGTTGGGATCAACCCTCTATCGTCCACGGTCAGTATTCTCGTACTTGTCATAACGGCTTTCGCGGATGCATACCACGCTCTCGCGCCAGAGTCCATAGGCTGGCGGCTGGGATTTGGTGGCCTCGCTCTCGAGCCCGGCTGCCTCCTCGTCTCGCGCCAGCGTCACCCGGATAGGCTGTCGCGGGATCGCATACCCGCCTGGGCCAAACATTTGCGGCAGCTGGTTCCTCCGCTCCTCGTCCCGTCGCGGCCGCACGATCAGGATGCACAGCCGGATCAGGCCGTGGCAGAAGAAGATGGTGGTGAAGAGGATGATGAGAATCAACAGCACCGAAAACTCGCTGTTGCTGATGTTCTTTGTGAGCGAGAGGCCAAGGTCTGTATAGCGTTAGTATATATTGCACCGGTGAAAATGGAGGGACACGGCATGGAATGCCTGTGTTGAACTTACAAACACTGAGAAGGAGCGTCAGGAACAATCCCGAAACGAAACACCTCAAAATCTGCGACCGAATACGCCTCGACTTGATCCAAGGGAAACAGAAGAGAAAGTGCTTCGGCGGCGGCCGGTGTTCTCTTTCCCTATGCCTATGCCTATGCCGTCTTCGATGACGCCTCTCCGGATCCCGAGTACGATCGTCGCTCCCACTTCTGTTTCGTCGCCGTCGCCGACCGTCATCCGCCAAGCTGGCAAGGTGCAGCTCGGCTGGATCTGCTCCGTCAAACCGCGTCCTCGACTCTGAGTGCCCATGGCCCCGAACCCTTACATGCTCTGCCGGCACAGCTGGCACGGGCTCCGTGACGACGGGGAAGCGCTCGCCTCGAGACGTGCCCGGTCGGCTGGGCGGCCCGCTAGACCCTTGGGTCCAAGTTCGGGTGAGGTGAGGGAGATGTAGGCGGGTTGACGGCATCGTTGGCATACCTAGGTTGAACAGCGGGGTCTTGGGCGAGTCAACCTCGTCGTCTGAGTAGTAGCTGCTGGTCGGCCGGGGCATCGGCTGCGAGTGTCGATGGAGCCGGTTCGTCGTGCCCGTGCTCGATCGGCTGAGGAAAGAGGGTATAGTAGGACGGCGGAAGCCAGCAAATCGAGGGAGGAATGAGCCGTTCGGCGTCCGTTCGGCCATCTCTTGTCGAGGAGTCTCGATGACTTCGGGCTGCTGTCTCTCGAGATCGTCGGCAGCGTTGTCAGGCGGCCCTCGCCGAAGGTTGACACGAAACGAGTCCATATTGATACGAGGCAGTGAGAACGGGGTGTTCATTGCGAGAAAGAGACCAGGTGCTACCGTGGTCCCGGGCTGTTCATGCTCTTTAGGTCTTATGCTCGGCGGCCGTCCACTTCGACCACCCTAGCTATTCTCCCTTGTAGACCTGTATATCTCTTCCAACCGGCGTAAAGCAATATTACCAACTATGCTTTGTTATCAAGAAAGTGGTGTCGTGTCGTGACCGTGTCGAGAACGTCTAAACGTATATATCCAAGACAGTTTCGCCCCGAGAGGCTGTGGGCGAATCGTCCCAGTGGGAGTGTCAGTGTCTCGAAAGGGAGATTAGTGCAGACGGACCGCTGCAGGTGTGCGTCGGGTCTATCGATGTAGGGATGCAGCCAGCCAAAATTTGACAAACAGTAGTTTGTTGTTATCGAGGGAGCAGGCGAACAAGGCAATAGAATAAGAAGAAAAGGGATCGTTAAACGGCGTCCAATGGATCCAGGCTCCCAGCGCCGGTGATGGTAGTCAATCGCTCAAGAGAGAGTGTGGGGGGAAGGAAGGGAAGGGGAAGGGTTGGGAATGAGAGGAGAGACAAGATCGAATAAAGTCCCGTCTGATAGAAGGCGTAGGCAAAGAAGGGAGAAGAAGGGAAGATGATTCGAGATCGCAGGTCGAAAAAGGCACAAGATTGTCAACGAGGGCTGGGAGGAAGCAGTGCAAACATCGTGGCTGATTCGACGGGAGACGGCAGAGGCGATACAACGGACAACGGACCTTGCTCTCTCTTGGAAACTGGAAACAAGAGACGGGGGCGGCTGTACGTAGGATCAATCATATGTGAAGAGACGGACGGCTGCCCCTACAGATGCAGGTACACAGATACACACAGACAGCAGCAGTCTCACCTGGTTCGAAGAAGCGAATCTTGACGACCTGGAAGTGAGATTCACTGCGAGACTACCCTACCTCCTCCTACCTGCATCGGCACGGTCACAGCGATGGCAATGGTGAGGATGACCAGGGGCCGTTGCTCTCTTCTTCTCAACAAGGAGGCGGCGCACCCTTCAGACGAAGCAGGGCAGCGTAGCGAGAGCACTGATCTCTTCGCGCCTCTTCACCTTGCTTTGCTCTTTTGGCAGCAGCAATTAATAGCAGCCCTTGTCCCATCCTGTTGCATCGTCGCCCATTTCGAGCCACTGGTTCGACCAGGCCACGGACCCCGGGGTGCCTCCTTGGTAGGAGACGACGGCTGGCAAGGGCATGTGATTGGGCGCGGTGTGTTCTGTGACAGCCTTGGAGCGTTGCATGATTGAAGGGGTGGGGACGCAGGGGTCGCTGCTGAGCCTGTGTTTCGGATTGCCAGGGCACGCGCTAGGCCGATTGGGGGCGCGAGGGAGCTGAGAAGGCTGATGAGATGCGTGGGAAGGGCGGGACACGGCGCCTCCGTGCGGCGGCAGCATATTCTGAAGAGAGAGTGGCTGCATTTCTCACGATGCTGCGTAAAGACTGACCGCGATGCACATTCCTTGGGCATGATGCTGCAGCTATCTAGCCACTGTATAGGTAAGTGTTGTTACCATGTCACGATTATGTGAAGTCTTTCCTCGACCAGATTACAGAGTCTTTGCAACGTTGAAACTACCACTCATTCTAGTTCCGTGTGAAGTGCTGGCGCGGCTCAGATATTTGCATGCAACCCTTGCGTCGGTAGAATTGGTGCATTTGCAGCATGTAACTCTTGGGACTACTACTGCGTTTCTTTTTCTCCTCCGATGCAGGCAAAGTCGCCTGGACCGTGGTACTCTCACACAGTAATGGCTTAACCACGGCTGTTCGGTGCTTCACGTGCTTCCAAAGGGCTTCCATTTCCTGATCCTATTTCACCCGCATAAAGTTTCAAGCGCCGACGAGGGTACGCTTCTAAGCCCTCTTGCGCTCGAAGTATGTAAGCCATTTGGGTCTCCACTGCAGCGACAGCTTCACACAAAGTTTGGGTACCCCATATCTCTGTGGCTTTTGCGTCAACAACCAAGCAACGGTTGAAGACAAGTCGGAGGCTCTTCGAGTGCCTTTATCATCCTGTCTCTTGAGGGCTCTCACTCGGCTTCCCGGGATCGTAGTTCAGGTAAATAAGTGACTTTCACTTCTCTGATGCCCGAGCGCCGGGCCATACCCTCTACTTGGACGCGGATATAGAAATGATTTCCACCGCGCCATCGATGAACTTGGAGAGTCTCTTATCGCAGCTCATCTTAATTCTCCTAGGAGCATAGTCCGGTCGGATGAAGCAGATAGAACTAGAGGCAGCGTGTTAACAACGAGGTTTCAGGTTAAAAGATGGAAGACTTACTGATAGGATCTGCACCAGGCGCAAACTCGGCGCAGTTCACAGTACCCTTATGGCCTGGGAGCTTGTATAGCAGCTTGCCGGTATCATTGGACCAAATTACCACGGTACCATCACCGGCACCGACTGCAACTTTCTTGCCGTCCGAATCCCAACTTGCCCCTATGAGGTTTTTCTCCAGACCCATCGGTGCGCCGTCAAAGGTCCTGATATGTCGCTCGGTAGGAGCAAATGGTCGAATATCCCATGTCCGGGCAGTCGAGTCCATGGCATACGACAGCAATGACTGTGAGTCCGGCGACACACGTAAAGTTGTTATTGTATCCTGATGGCCCAGCATGGAATATACTACTCCCTTCTTGCGAACATCCCATACCTTGATGTCATTGTCTATGCCGCCTGAGTAAATTTCGTTGCCAGCCTCAGATATCGCTACTGCCGTGATTGGGAATTGCGTCTCGATGTAGTCTGCCGCGTTCTTCGTGCGAGGGTCCCAAATCCCGATTGTGCCATCGTCGCTCCCGCTAATCAGAAGCTCCTCGCCACGCTTGCTGATGTCCAGCGAGTTGATCACTTCCTCGTGGCCGATATAGCGCCTTATACGTTGTCCCGATGTCAGATCCCAGCTAGCAAGATGCATATCTGCTGAAGCAGAAAACACAATCTCTGAATCGCGCGACCATTGTAAGTCAAGTATAGCACCTTTGTGGCCGGTAAGGATGCCGTAGTTCTCGCAGTCACCGTAAGTCCTCCATAGCACTACATACTGGTTAGAGATGCGAGTGGAAACGGCTTAGGATATCACATACTGATACTTCGGTCCATTGACCCAGAAGCGATGAGGTTGCCCGTTGGATCGAACTTGGCCGAAAAGATCTCTCCAGAATGTCCCGTTAATTCCATCACGGGAGCCTGGAGGCTGCTGGTCCTGGGAGTCTGAAATCACATTAGCCTAGATGAAGAGAATGAATGTCGCGCGGTAGCTTACTGCCTGCACCAGCGCACCCGTTCCTGATGCATTGGCACGAGCCAAGGCTCTGTCTCCTAGATTTTGTCGCTTGACCACCAGCTGCCCGGAGCTGGGGTCATCGGAAGCTGGTCTTTTCTCTGCAGACATGTTTGCAGCAGCCCCCCGTAGTATAGATTGATATACAGCAGTCTGTGTTTGGATTAGTGGCCTCGTCGTAGTTCAATTGCTGTTGTCGCAAATTGATCGTGGTGTTTACTTCAAGGCAAGCTTAGGTGGGCTGGAGTCAAAATTTCGGGGGAAGCTGGAAGGAGAGATTTTCCCCTCCGAAGATTGTCGGCGGTCTGAGCTACCGACACACCGGCTAGCTTCAGCATCCCGCAACCTCACCGTAGCTAGCTAACCTTTACCTTTGCGACGTATCAAGGAGCTGAATTCCACATACCACAGTCCAGGTTGGAATGCCACATTTCTACATGGTAGAGCCTGCGCTGCGATAAAGCTCATCACTGAGCTCGCAGTCCCTTCATCTCAACAATGTCTGCCCAAAAGGCCGCCCGTGTGGGCGAAGAGTATGCCCCTCCACCCCGTGCACGATATGACGAACACCAGCTAATGGACATCGGAACAGGATCTGGAAGTATGCAAGGCTGGCCCACTCAACTCTACCCGTATGCTAATAAGTGTAGGACACGAATCGATAAGGTCAATGCGGAGTTAGTTGTTCTCACATATGGCACCATCGTTGCCCAATTATGCAAGGACTTTGATGGAGACTACGTTGAGGTCAACAAACAGCTGGACAAGATGGGCTACAATATTGGGTTACGATTGATCGAGGACTACCTGGCCAAGTCAAACACGATGAAGCGGTGCTCCAACTTCCGTGAAACTGCGGATATGATCTCGAAGGTATGTCTACACTGGCCCCGACACCTTTCAACGCTTCCCTGGTCTGACTTTCCCAGGTCGGCTTCAAGATCTTTCTAAACATCACACCGACGATTACGAACTGGACAAGCGACAACAAACAATTTTCACTCGTTTTTGAGGAAAACCCTTTGGCAGACTTTGTCGAACTCCCTGATGACGGACGGGCGCAGGACGAGCTGTGGTACTCGAACATCTTCTGCGGAGTGTTGCGTGGGGTGCTGGAGATGGTACAGATGCAAGTCGAGGCGCATTTCATCAGTGATGTGCTAAGAGGAAATGATACCACGGAGATGAGGATATCGCTTATCCGGTATATCGACGACGAGCTGCCGCCAGAAGATGACTGAGCTGGGGTTCAGCGACCAATAGAAACCACCGACTTCGGCAGAGTGAAATGCGGCACATGATATTGATTTATCGAGCTTGCAGAATAGAATGCAGAAGGCGTCAGAAGTACTCTGCTTCCGGGAAAGGAGCTTGCATGTTGTCGAGTTTATGCGACAACATACGCGGCCAACATGGGAGCCGTTTCGCCGCCTTCGATGCATTCAAGGCAGTGTTCAATAGTCGAATCACCTAGAAATGGACCAAGAATATCTAATTTGCACAAATTTTCACCTGTGGAAAGGTTTTGTCTTCGCAGGACCGAGAAGGTGGCCATTGCCCAACCTGGACACAGCCGAGACAGGCTGCGTCCTCGAACCTATCCAAATAAATTACTTGTATCAAAGCGCATTACCCCATTTAGATAGTAAGAAACATGCAGACGGGCGCTAGGGTGCTGACTTCGTTAAGAGGCCGGATCTGTAGAGGCAATAGGCATCTTGTTATCCATTGTATGAATATGATGTCTCGGCTGGATGATTCGTCTCAGCCGTCGCCGCCCATTCCGTCCGATACTGCTGCGCCGGCGCCTGGGGGAGGCTCAAAAGTGACAACCAGGTGTGGGACCCCGCTATTGCTGCCGTGCGGGATGGAGCTAGCAACGCTGCGGGATCCCTGTAGATCACTGTCCATTGCAAGCTGTCTTACCTGCTAAAAAGTCTAGACCTGCCTTTCCTCACTGAGCGACCGCCAAAAGTGTCAATCAGAAATATCGGAAGTGCTTACCAGGTGAACAACAGACTTACTTATCCTAGACAGGGGAACAGGATAGATTTTTGCTAATGCATGCTACACTGGATCTGCGCAGCGCTTGTCTAGGTGGCCTAGGTGGCGCCGATACAAATTCAATGCACTCTTTGCGGCGTACTAGTCTAATGCATGATGTGCTGCAAGGTACGGAGCATCCAGCTGCTGCCATCTAAACCCTTGATGATGTATGATATCTCCATCGGAGTCCATATTAGTGAGTGTAGGACTGGGACTGGCTTGACTGGGTAAGCAAGCCCTCGGCAGTGCTCCGAATAGGGCACACAAGCTGCAGTGAGTTGTCCTTTTCCAGGCATCCCAGGGCATCAGGGATGCAGGTCAGCATGTCCTATCACCACAGACCGCAACGCAAAAGCGCCACCAGCTGCAATCATGTTTGTTTTTGGGAAGCTGAGATAACAACGCAGCAGGCGTCGCGCGAACGTGCCTCGTTACTATACGTAGGGCTTTAATCACAAGGACCTCCGGTAAAGACAGACGAGATATATGCGGCTGTATGATATTAGCTTACATCATATACGATGCTTTAAATTCATTCAACCATGATGATAACGCTATTTTCGACTCTGCCAAACTTGGAATATGGATAGCATATATCGGCTGTCACGTACATACTATAAGGCAGTTCCAATTGACCGGAACTCGTGGCAGAAGCATGGCAGACTACATATTGCCTATGAGATAATTACTGGGGCGGCATCACGAGACAAGACTCGGAATGGCGAATATAATGACCTGTGGAGCCTGGTATCCGGCGTCGCGGTCAATCGATGAGTGAAGCCCCCAACGACCGTCTCCGATGAGGTAGAACACATATTCGGTCGGACAAAGATGTGATTGGCGATGACAAACCAGCCAACACAGCACGCTCAAAAAGATTTCGCCGCCCTTCATATTGGAAGAGGCAATGCTGGTAATGTTGCACCATTTGGCCCCGACTCACCAGATATGGAAAAGGAGGGGAGAAGGGGAGGGCATAATTTACCTGGCTGTCTGAGAATTTGCCCTCGCCATTTCCCTGGGTCCGTGTCGGATGAGATCACCGATGTCCGCAATTGAGCAAACCCAAAAAGGTGTGGGCTGGGCTACCCGTGTATTGCAACAAAGCGATATTTCTCGTGAAGAGCCAAGAGAGAATGTCAGATCCGGCTGCCCTGAACTGCCCTTTCTACCTTTTGCCTGAGGCGAAACTCGTCAAGTGACAGTCTCCACGGCCTCACACTCCGTTCGGAAAGACGCGGCGACGATAGACTCACTCGGTGAATCACCGTAGTGAGGCGAGAGGTGATATGATGATGCCTTGCTGGGCTGGACGAGTCCGACACGGCCTTGTGGAGTGTGGATACCTTATTCACCTCCTAGAGACGTGAAGCGCGTGAGATTAGATGCGGATAGAGCGATAATCCCCACTCTTTCCCAAGGAGGAGGCTCCATGGTCCGCAGGCCATTCATTCTGACACAGGGCGGCCAAAGCTCCTTCTCCTTGTCTTTCTCCGCTGTACTGCATAGTATACCAAGCCTGGATGGACAGGGCAAGCTTAGGTCAGCCGAATAGAGCTGTGGGCAGAGGCACCTCGCAACAGAGAGGCAATACACCAAGCCCAGTAGATGACGATGCGGTCGAAAGCGAAGAGCCTTTCCGCCCGTCACTCAAGCATCTCATCCTCAGCTCCGGGATCGCTGCAGGGCTCCTCAGCCGAAAAAAAAAAGCAATAAGCAGCCAGAATAGATCCTTACTTGGTGCTTGGCTCCTTGGGTAGATACGTAGAGGACGGCGGCTCCTCGATATATGCATGCCAAGCCTTTGACTTTCGCATTTTTGCCTAAGGTGCATGCGTGGGTGCCTTGGCGGCCTGAGCAGCAAGGCATCAGTCCCAGATATACGCCGGCAGCCAGCGCCTTCTCGTTCCAGAAACTGCGCAGCCCCCCGGCCTTTCCCACCTTTTCCTTCCTTCCTAAGGTTCCCAGCGCTCACCCGTGTTCTCCTGCGCCAGCGGATTGGCACTCTCCTCGCCCATAGGTACTCTCAGTCTCTCTCCGAAAAATCAGAAAAATCCATACCCTTCCATTCTGGCTTCCTGCTCCCTCTCTCTCCTATCGCTCACCCCAACTACCTCGATTCTGCGACTCTTCACCTTTTTCGAACCGATTGATGACTCGCCTGCCGAGCTCGCGCCTACGCTCGACATTGCCCATCCGGCCCAGCAGAGACGCGGCAGCATTAGCAGCACAGGAAGAAGGCTGATATTGATTAGCTTAGTCCCTCCCGAAGCAGCCACCGCAGCCCAGGGCCCGGCCAGTACGGACGGACAGGCGTGGCGGCCAATATCGTTACGGCCTCTGCTGGCACTGACTGTCGCTGTCTGTCTTCCCACTTTCACCAGTCAATCATCCCACACCCACCACCACCACCACCACCGCCGCACAACCAGGACGGCCCAGCCTCCGTCAGACTCTTTCTTGTTCCTCCTCCTCCTCTTCGCCCACTATTGCGCAGCATCGACGACACATTTTTTCTAGCTTCGTCGCATCTGCATACACAAGAGTCGTCGCCTCGATTGACGCCGTCTGGCAGCGCCGCACGCCAGGAGTTTTGGGGGCTTCATAGAGCGTATCAGCGGCTCCTGTGCTCCTTTTTTTGGCCGGTGCAGCTGTCTTGTCTGCCCGCTGCATCCCAGCTGGCCACAACCCTTTTTCATCCAACACCACTCCCCGTCTCCCGACACGAACCACCGGCGCCCACAGCGCTTTGCCCGTGCTACCATCTCGACGGTGGCTGACCGAGACAGAGCTCTTTGCAGCGGCAGAGCATCCACCACATCTCATCGCCGTCGTTGTCGCACTCGCTTCCGACATCGACCCTCTAATATTCCGCTATCTCCGCATCGCAGCAGACCTGGTCTGCGACAGCCTCCACCGGCACCATGAACAACCCGAACATGGTCAACATGAACATGGGCGGCCCAGTCGGTGCTCCCATGCCCATGATGAATAATGGCGGGGTTGTGCCTCCTGGCGCCCAGCGACAGCTCCAAGTGAACGAGAACAACAGGACCCTGCTCAATACCTACATCTATGAATATTTCCTCCGCTATGGCATGTACGACGCTGCGCGCGCCATTCTCAACAGTGACTCTCAGGTCAAGGTACTAAAGGACAGCCCTAACGGACGTCGCGATGAGAACGGAAACCTTCTCGGAAACGGGGCCGGCGATGACCCGATGGATACGGATTCCAAAGAGGACATGGAGTCAAAACGCCCCGAGGATCTTCCCGCTCCGAACGTGCCAATGCCGCTACCCGACAGCTGCTTCCTGTACGAATGGTTCTGTCTCTTCTGGGACATGTTCAACGCGCAGAAGGGCAAGGGCGGCAGTGGACAAGTCAATCAATATGTCAGCCACACACAGGTATACTTACTTCGCTCCGGCTATTGATTAGGAGTAGAAACCAAGCTAACGCGTCGTGCAGCAACAATCACGTATGAGACAAGCTCATCAGCAGGATATGCTTCGCCAAATGCGACCAGAGTTCACACAGCAGCAGTATCAGCAGCAGATGATGCGCAACATGCAGAACGGTGCTGCAATGAATCTCAACATGAAGCAGGGTAACAACCTTCCTCGAACAGCCATGGCAAACAGCCAGAACAAGTCAGTCATTTCTACCACGTCGCTCGACCGTTTGTATCTTGCTAACATGCTTTCCACCCCAGCCCTCAAGCCATGCAAATGCTACAACAGAAGCAAGGTCAAATGCAACGTGATCCCTCCGACATGGATGGCAACCGTGCACGACCCGCATCTCCGGGGTCTGGAGACAGCGTTCCCTCCCCCTCCAAGAGGCCGCGTCTAGAAGGAGCTCCTTTCAACCCTCAACAGGCCGGAATGATGCCCAACGGAAGGCCCGCTGGCCAGGGCATGCCAGGGCAGCCAGTGGGCGCCCAGGCAGCCCAGGTGCATCAAATGCTGATCCAGAACGGCATTGATCCGAGCCAGTTGAACCCCGAACAGTTCCAGACTTTCCAGAACCAGTCGCCAGCTGTCCAGCAGAAGACTATTCAAACGTATGCTCAGAACCTTCAGCAGCACCACGGTGCTCAGATGGGCAACAAGCCGATGCCAAACGCTGCTCCTGGACCTCAAGGACAGGGCTCGCCCATGGTTCCTCAAGGACCCGATGGCGCGGCGCTGAATGCATACTACAATGCTGGTGAAATGGCGGCTGCTGGTGCTATGAGACCTGGTGCCCCTGGTGCCAATCAGGCTGCCGGCGGCAGCAACCATGCCCTCCAGGATTATCAGATGCAGTTGATGTTGCTAGAGCAGCAAAACAAGAAGAGGCTGATGATGGCTCGCCAGGAGCAGGACGGCATGGCTATGCCACGGGCTGATGGGCAAGGCGGCCCTGCTGGCCCAGTTGGACCGAATCCCCAAGGACCAAATGGCCAGCCATTCCAAGGCGCATCGCCGCAAGGTCCCCGCGCAGGAGCCTCACCGAACCCAAGTGAGCAGATGAAGCGTGCTGGCCAGATGAACCCCGTCAATATGGGGTCTCCTCTGCCCGAAGGCGCTCAGTCACGAGGCTCTCCGAATGCAATCAACTTCATGGGTGCCCAGATGGATCCATCTACTGCGCCGCACTTCTTCAAGGATATGAACGGTATGGGTGGAAATATGGCGGTGGCAGCACAGATGAATGGCATGCGACCTCCTCACCCTGGGCAGCCTTTCAATGGCCCAATGAACCAGCAACAGATGATGGCAGCCCGGCAGCAGCAACAAGCGGCCGCGCAAGGCAATCCTCAGATGCAGTGGCAGCAAGCCGGACCTAATGGACAGCAGATGGCTGGTCCTCCAGGTCAGCAAGGTCCGCAGGTGCAGGGTACTCCGCAGCAGCGGTCCATGCCTCCTCCAGCCCAACCGCAGGCTGCTGCTAATGCTGCTGCTAATGCCCGAAACACGTCGTCGCCGCAAGTCAGCACAGCTGCGCCGCCTACACCCTCACAGGGCAATAAGGCTGCGCCAAAGAAGAAGGAGTCCAAGGCTGCGAAGGACAAGGTACGTTTCCCATTCACGCAACACGTTCTATGTGGGAGTATGTGTAGTAATAACGTTTTGAATAGCGCGCCGCGACTCAGAAGAAGTCAAACTCCAACCTCAACGCAGGTGCAACTCCTGCTGCTGCCGAGGCAGCTCCGGAACAGGAGCCTCCTACACCAGCAACTCCCATCACCCCTGTCAACCCACAGAGCTTCAACAAGGGTCAGAATGCGGCTCCAGCACAAGTCATTCCAAATGGACAACCCGCCGCACCGGCACCCCCTGTTGCCGCTCCGATGCCGCCGCAGCCGCAGCCCGATCCTAACCAGAACAATGCGTACGGTATGGGCGATGGTGGACTGGTAAGTCATACATGTAACCTCTTTCATTCATTGGACCATTCATTGACAATTGCAGGACTTTGGTTCAATGGACTTCGCCAATCCGCTTACGTCTACTGATGTCCTCGACTCGTTCGATTTTGACTCGTTCCTTCATGATAACGAAGGCGATCCTGGCGCTTTTGACTTCAACGCTGGAGCTTTCGCCATGGAGGGTGGTGAGATCGGTGCGGAGTAGGTATCCGTACTCTCTCCAGACGAGTAAAAAGATTGCCCGCTATATGGATCTCAAACCATATCCAAATCCAAGGCATCATGAATCTTGTTCTTTTCCAGTTATAGAAAGGCAAGATGTTTCGAGTTTGGCAAAAAAGTATTCTCATCAGTTGCAAAAATTGGGCTGCTTTCTTAGTAGAGCGGCGGTTATTGGTCTCGTTCACATCATACTCCCTACAGTGTTATTATCATCATCCGAAGGGTTCTCATGTGGCTAGGCTCTCTTATTTAACAGTAGAGCCGGCCAACGGGTTTTCTTTTATTCGTTGCGTTATCGGGCAAGGTCTTGCACATTGGTGTCGTCAGGGTTATATCGTCATTTCCGCACCCATCTGGAAGGGACCTCTTTCTGGTTTCATTTATTTTGACCAACTACACGCGTTGTTTTGGCTTTGCTATTCCCGTTTTCCAAGTTACGCTTTGGCGGGGCTCCCTCCTGCTGAGGTGCCCCCGATCACGTCAGCTACGTATTATGAAAGGAGAAGCTGAGCGGACGGGACCGGTGGTGTTGTTTCGGGCATATGTCGGGGCGGCGCCGGGTACGGCTGACTGGCTTGGTTGTGACCACAACCCTAATTAACGTCTCGCTCCCGCGCGGCACTTGCATGTTTCACCGTTGAGAGGAGGAGAGATCTAAAGCCGGAGGATGGGCCACATCTTGGAACAGTACACGAAAGGAAAGGTTGATCGATCAGAAGTGGCCACATAAGACGGGCCGTGTGCGGTGCCGGAGAGAGAGACCTAAGGTCTGCCCGACATATCTGAGAGATAGGTGGAGGATCTCTGTATTTATTAGAGTTCGTGGTCAGGAAGGACGTTGATATCTCTGGTGTTGGTCGCGCATTGTTCCTCTCCTAAACGAGACACCCTCCATTATCTCTTGTCGAATTATCATGGCTGCCGACGGCCATTATGGCTTTATGATCCGTTTAGATTTCAAAAGTTCGCACCTTGAAACACCTGAGTGATTTGCGAAGGTTGTGATGTGTCAAACCGTATAGTTGTGCTCTAATGATGGTCATTTTCGGTATCGACTATACATAATGAAACCAACTTCAATTGTAAAGTTGCCAACTGGCTCAGCTTCACTGACATTGAAATGCCTCTGCTCTGAGTTGGGGTTGAAAAGGGTTGAATGAGATGGCCGAGGCATACTTTTCATGATTGGTCTCTAGTCCAAGTGATGTTTACTCGACGTCGAGGGGTTCTCACATGACGTGGTTGTTGACGTTCGTCACTTATGTATATTTGAGGGAGTTTAGATTGAACCGAGTAGAAATGCATTTCTGGAAACTTGATCCTGATCTGATGCCATTATACCTCCTCGGACCCTTCACAACAGATGCAACTCTACACTCTAGCTAAACTAGCTGAAAAAAGCACATACGTTCCAGAGACATATGTCCCGGTCGTAAGGTGGAAAGGCAGTCGGTTGTTGCAGGTTGCTTGTAGGGTATCATCTGGATATCACACGAGGACTCAACCTTGAGGTGGTTTGAATAATATGATAACCGTAACATGTAATTCTGAGGCTCAACATGGTCGAATTTCAGCTCGGAGGAAGAACTCCTACACTTCAGTTACGGCAGAAATGGCAATTTTCAGAACCACTTTCATTGCTAGTTGAAAAGGAGCTCTCACTCAAAAAGCACCTAGTTGCAGATATCAAGTCTTGGCAAGCATAGACGATGCATCATGTCTTGCACACGAAGGCTCGAGCAGAGCAGACTTTACACCATCTACAACTTACCAATGGCTGAGCACATGAAAAGGCTAACGGTGATTTCAAAGCAAGCATGCAAGATCCTATGTTTTTTGTCTAGCCGCTACCATTATGAAAGGCACGGCGAGAACCAAGTGCCGCCCTGGACCATCCAGAGTAGCCAAGACGCGGGATGTTTGAAGAATTTCTAAGGCGATACCATCTTGTAGGCCTTCTAAGCCTTACTGGTTCCGCCCTTGTCTCCAAACTCCTGTGAGAATATGCGCTGCCACACATCCAGCCACTTCTCATGCTGCGCCGTGGGGAGCTTTCCAGGGTTCTTGAAGGAGCGGGTGAGCATCTCTCGCAGCCGTGCCCTCAGGACCTTCATCACCAGCATTGTTTTCCAGTCGGGGGCAGCGAACCGGGCGCGGTTGCCGTCGAGAACTAGGACGCCTGAATACATCTGTGCTCGCATTAATGTCGGAACACTATTTAGGGGGGGGGAGGGGGGGGGAATATAAGGGTTATGCGTACATCAGGGCGGACATCGCCACAGAGGAGGGCAATGGCGAATGCTTCGACGGCTGTAGTCTCGTGTGCGTTCAAGAACCTGAGATAGAATGTGAGCGTCGCGTTGAAAATTTGGGGGAGACTATCTACGTACGCCTTGGATTGCATAATGTGGTAGTAACTCAGCCATCTGAGTTCGTTATGCCCCTTATTAACACTGGTTGGATGGAGGCTGATCGACTGATTGTTGCCGACGTTCCTGAGGCCTCGGCCACCGGGTACATCACGCACGAGGAGTTTGGGATAGAAGCTCCAGGCAATCACGGACTGTGATATAACATCGTTTTCGCTGTTGGCGTTGACACGTTGAGGCAGTTCGAAGAAGGCTTGATGGCGCCTTCGACCACCTCCGCCAGACGAGTATCTCAAGCGGTTCAGGTTGCGCCGCTCCTCATCCGTAAGCTGCAAAAAGCCTGAATCAACGAGAGAGACCAACAATTGGCCTTTGAGGTCCTCTATATTGGCGAGGGTCTGGGAACTCAAAAAATTCTTGCGGCAGAACTGGTACTCGCCGCCGGAAGCCGAGGCGGATTGGCAGACGCGTTTCCAGGCTAGATACGCATTGTAGACGGTAAGAAGATCCGAGTCACCCCGACGGAAGGCCATGCGGACCGTATCGGCTTGGTTGCGCTGGCCAAATGGTGCGACGAAAGGTGATTTGGATGAGAGGATGGCAGCTACCGTTACGGCCATGTCGAGGCACTTAAATACCGTGCCCAGCAAAATGAGCTTTCCAAGGAAGACATCTAATGGCAACCGGGCGAGTTGATTCCCAAGCGGCGTGAGTTCTTCGGCCTGTGTTAAGGCGCGAACATCGACAAGCGCATCGATCGCACGACGAATGTTCTTCGCGGAAGGAGGATCCAATGCGCTGCTCAAGGTCTCGTCAATTCCGCCAATCTTGCAGATCTTGACACGGATGGCAAGGTCTTGAAGTGAGAGCCGAAGCATCTCTGGCGTCTGCTGGTCGCTCATGATGTTGTCGTGGCGGTATTTGGTGAACATATGAAAGCAAAGGCCCTCCTGCACACGTCCAGCACGCCCTCGCCGTTGCTTAGCATTTGCCCGTGAGATGAATGTATCTATCAAGCGCGAAAGTTGACGTCGCTCATCGAATCGCATCTCACGATGCTTGCCTGTGTCGATGACACAGGTCACGTCCGGAATTGTAATACCGGTTTCCGCAATGTTGGTGGCAAGCACGATCTTCCTGAACCCTGGTGGTGGCACAAGGAAGGCCGCTTCTTGTTCTTCAGATGCAATGGAAGAATGCATGGGGTATACAAGCCACTCGCTTGCAAAGAAGCGATCGCCTAGGAGCATATCATTAAGAGTCCGGATCTCAGCAATACCAGGTAAGAAGACCAGGATGGCCTTGCTGAAGTCGATGTAAGTGGGGTCTGTAGCAATGCGTGCAATGAGTTGAACAATGAGATCAACCTCGATCTGATATTCGTCCAACTGAGCAAGAGTGTTGCGCGTCCGCCCAGAGTACTGCTTGAGCTCCTTCAACAACTCAGGCTTCGATGATGCCTCAGCATCACTCTCATCAAAGTCGTCATCCAGGTCAACAATCTTCTCTCGCGGGCGCTTGTCGATCGAATAACCGGTTAATTCAATGGCGTCTTCGAGGTAATTGACCTGTACAGGGAATGTGCGACCTGGCACATTCAATACAGGAGCACCACCTAGATACTTAGAAAATCGTTCTGCATCGACTGTTGCTGACATCAATATGACTTTCAAATCCTTTCGGCGGGCCATAAGTTTCTTTAGTACAATAAGCAAGAAGTCGCTGTCGATGGATCGCTCGTGAACCTCGTCAAGTACAAGGTGGGTGATCTCGCGAAGATCATTTGAGCCCTCCAGCATACGCATCACAATACCGGTCGTAGCATACACTAGACGAGTCTCTTTTGAGGTGTTTGCCTCAAGTCGAATTGAGTATCCAACGAGAGATCGGGAAGTACCAATGTCGCCTTTGTTTTCGCCAAGCTCTTCACTGACACGACGTGCCAGAGATATAGCAGAGATACGACGAGGCTCTGTACAATACACCTTGCATGGCCGGCCTTGAGAGAGCTGATGTTCGAGGATGAAAGAAGGTACCTGTGTGCTCTTGCCACAACCAGTCTCACCACAAATAATGACTACTTGTTCTTGGTCAATGGTCTGAAGAACCTGGCTTTTGTAGGCCCACATTGGGAGCTGCATCCTGGAGGCTAGCATCGCCTGAAACTTGGGCGAGCTGCTCTTTCGATTCCATATGCCTTGGTAGAACTCAGTGTCCCCAGACAGTCGTTTCGATCGCTCAGCACCGGACTCGTCGCCAGTATCAGCACCACTTCTACCGGCTCCTCGGCCCCTGAAAGCGCCTTGTAGAATGACTCCATCCTCGAGCTCCTGGTCTTTCCGTTGGCGTACAAGTGACCGCAGTTCCTTGATAGCTGTTCTATCCAGGGCATCCGCCTCATTCTTTCTTGCCTCCGCAAACTCCGTCCAGAGGTCCTTCCATTGAGGCGGGAGTCTGAGGGCGACCTTCTCTTCTTTACCAGACGCGGAGAATATAAGGAACAGGGCAGTAGTTGCTATGAAGGCTTCGGACTGATTTGCGTCGGGAGTTGCGATCGATGTCATCTTGAATACAAACTGGATAGGTGAAGTAGCGGCTTCGACCCCTTGAATATTCGCGGGCGGAAGCACCTCCTGACTTTTGGTCCACACAATGTTGATCAAATGCCGATTAGCGAAGGTGGCTTCTGATATCTTCATGTATGATATCTTCACAGATGAATCTCTGTTCCTTGCTGTTAGTGATAGCCCCACATTGAGATGAACAATGCTGCACTACATACCTCGCACGGCAGGCTTCCTCAAGCACTCGCCTGGGACTGATGCCCGTCCATTTACCAAAGTCACGAATCGTAACTTTCTCGCCATCCGCACTGTTGATAACAGTAGTGGATTTGCCCGTTGTGGGATCAACCTCATTAACCGGGAGGCTCGAGAAGAGGTCTGCAAGCGCTGCATCTTCCTCATCGTCATCTTGTGCGAGAATCTCAGCTGCCATTCGCTCTGCCTCCTTGGTAATATCGTCATCGGAATCGTCGCTTGTGTCCTTAGACGCATTACCCTGGTTCTCCTCGGCAGCTACAGCTTCTGCCCTGGCTTGGGCCTCGGCCGTTTCTTTCTTCAATGCTGCGTAGTCCCTCTCAAGAGCGATTCGTTTCGGCTGCCACTGCATATCTGCCAATCCCTTGTCGAAGAGTGGATCTTTTACAATTCTGTCAACCTTTGCAAGTAATTTAGCAATTTCGAGGTCATCAGATGAAGTGTCATCATTTGCATCCACATCAAGTTGAGAAGCCGGTTTCCGGCCTTTCTTCCTCGGAGCATCCTGCTGAGGGCGTTGGAGGTTGAACAACTTTGTCTTCGTTTCAATGTAAGTGGGAACCAAATCATCGGGCTCAATATCACTGTCATAAGTAAGGATCTGCTTCTTGGGAGAAGGAGCCCGCGGCAGACGAGCACCACCGTTCTTCTTGTTCCCTGATTTCTGTCGGGCTTCAGGCTCAAGGAGTAGAGGCGTAGTGGCGCCAGAAGGAAGCGGAGTATCTAGAGGAGTATCTTAAGAGCACCTTGTAAGCAAAGTCAATCAATGCTAGAGGAGACTACCAACCTTTACCGCTTGCCCGAGAACGTTTGTCATAGTCGGGCAAGTCGTCCGCGGTACATTCTCTAGCAAGCCAGTCCAAAGCTTCATCCAAGCCCCATATTGAGTCCTTGACACTGCCGCTAATGTTGGTTGAGATGTCCAGCACGTACTGCAAGGCAGGCTGGACCTTATCGTCCGGGAACCCTGCCCCTGACAGAGTTTGCTGCAGGGTCCATAACTTGATGGTCAATTCCTCTTCAGGAAGAAGCTTGCCACTTGCTGGATTCTCAGATGCAGTGCTTGAGGCAGCAAATCGACTCTCGGCCTGGATCAGGTCGAGAATATGGTCCATAAATTCGGGAGGAAGCCATTTCCTTGCATTAATAGGCTCGGATTGTCCTCGAAGCAACCGGCGGTCTGTTTCCAATCTCTGCTTCTGGCGCAAGGCATCGCGCCTTGTCTTCTGTGCATACTTATCGACCAGCAGCTGCAATTCAGACTCTTCAAGTTGTCTCTCAAACTCTTCAGGGCTCAACTCTTTGGTCGGCGCAGCAGAAGATGCCCTTGTGGCGTTGTCATTCTGAGATGGCGGGGCAGCAGCACCTTTGGATGGCGGGGCAGAGTCGCCTTTCCTGGAAGCTTCAGCGCTGCCATCAGCGCCCTCAGCAGGGTCAGCTCGAGATTTTGAGGGCACTGAAGTGGTAGTGAAACCGCGGGCTGGGTTCGCAGCAGGCTTCTTCTTTTTCTTGTTTCCACCAGCCATCGCGCCTGGTCGGAGGGCGAACGCAGCCTGCTGTCCGACGACAGCGAATCCGTGAATAGCAGCAAAAAGAGGGTTGTATTTGTTGACTTTGAAAGTGTGGCAACAATGACGGCGTTTCTTGAAGCAAAGCCGCAGTAGAGTGGAGGCTCCATTATTATTTTACAGCAATTGGATTCCGGGCGCGGGGCTCAGAATTTGGCGGGCAGAAGAGCTGACCGCCTGCCTGTTTGGTGGCAGTTCCCCACCATGAGTCCTCGCCGAATTTGAAGGTGGGTAACTCACATACCATACAGCTCAGCAACCACCAGAAAGTGCTTTCCTGAGACTGACTGACTGGCAGACAGAGAGACAGACAGCCACAGAAAGCTGAAGTACACCTCAACATCACCAACAGCTCCCCCAAACAACTCCTACCACCGCTCCGTCATGCAAACTGCCATATGCGCGCAACAAGATGACTGAAGTGGTGGTGAACGGAGCCGGATCTGGCGACTTCGACCTCAAGTCCGCCCGAGAAGCCCTATCGTCCTCTTCCACGTCCACAAGACTGCAGCAATTACGAGCAATTGATGAGAGGATATCTCAAAATGGTGAGTAGGGCCGAAGAGAATCATGTCCTACAGGTTCATTACTAACCATTCCTCAAATTACAGCAATCGACAAGGCAACTCAATTGCAGCTGTTGAAGACCCTGTTCTGGACTCATGCCTTCTATACCGACCGCCCTTCCCGGAAAGCTGTGCAAAAATGCTTGGTTTCAATATGCAAGGAGGGCGACTCGGACCTCCTTACCCCATTCGTTGCTGTGGTTCGACAGGAAGCTGCGAAACCGAACATTGCGGCAAACAATGCTTTCGTTCTAGTTGAGTGGTGCGGCTTGTTGATGGAGCATCTTGCAACAACTCCACTGTGGGAAAAGTTCGGAAAGGACATTATTGCAGCAGACTCTGATGCCCTCGAGAAGTGTCTTCGTTCCTCAACTAAGGGTGGTGTTGCGCATTCTGCGCTTATTGTGACACGGCGGGGACTACGAAAGCTAGCTACCTCTGAGGGCTCTGAAAAGGCAATTAATGATGCTATACAAGATCTCTCCGCCAAGGGTTCGCAGCCAACTTCCAAGAACGCCATAATGCTTGGTGTGATTGCTGGTGTTTGTTCTAGGAAGCCAGAAGCTAAGCCCTTCGTTGCGAAGCAGAAGTCTTTATACCTCGCATTTTACACACGAGAGATTATTGGATCTAAGACACAGGTCCCGAAGCATCTTGCCGCTGGTCTGAACGACTTCTTCTCGGCATACCTTACACTGGATGATCTCGAAAAGGAAGTAATCCCATCACTGGAGAAAGGCCTCCTGCGAGCACCTGAGATTGTACTGAATGATCTTGTTACACCTTTGATAGAGTCTCTCCCAGAGGAGTGGGATTTGTCCAGCATACTCAATGGGCACCTTCTCAAGCCACTGCTTTCCAATGTCAAGTCGACGAATCCGGCTATCCGCAGTGGCGCGGTTGCGGCTTTCCATGTGGTGGCCGATCAATGCCGGGATTTCGGTGCATTAGAGAAGACTGCTGACGAAATTCTGACGCCGTTGAAGACGGGTAAGCTTGCATCAGCAGATCACAGAGTTCTTCACTCCGAGATGCTTGCGTTCCTACCAGAAACAAACACCGTGGCAGAGAAGATCGTTGCAGCTTTGCCAGCAGTAGCTAGCAAAGAAGGCAATGAGCCCGCGCTCGCTGCAGAGACATTGGCCCTTACAAAAGCGGCCAAAATCATGCTATCAGGGGAACTTGAGTTACCAAAAGCTGTCCTCGATGCGTACGCCAAAGGGTTGGGCGATAAGAAACTGCCTTTCCGGAGGATATGGATACTCATGGTCGGCGATATCCTCGAATATTTTAAATGCGATACGGCGCTTCCACCAAACGTGGAGAAGTTTGCCGAGTGTACCCTTCCGCCCCTTTTTGACATCTACAACGAAGTCTTGGCAAATTCTCTCAAGGCTTCTCAGGATGGTCTCGTGATTGGGGCTCTTGTTGTTTGCTCCGTCGCAACCTCCATTTTGGGCAATAGCAACAATGCCAAGCTCAGCGCTCTTTCGAACAGGTTTTCTATCCCCAAACAATGTCTGGTTCTGGAGCCAAAGCCGTCTTTTCTTCTCAGTCCCCGCATATACAGCAGACTCTCTGCAGATGAAGAGTCACGATGGCTGTCCCGAGCACTGTCTGCAACTGTGACAGATCTTCCGAATGACAATGATTCTAAGATCTCCATAGCCTGGGCTCAAGCATACATATTCATAATATGTTCTACAACCATAAGCGCGAAATTACGGAAAGAAGCTGAAGATGCCCTGGCGGACCTCTATGCCCGAAATCAGACTCAGGTCTCTGGCGTCATTATAAACGGCCTGTGGCATTGGCTTGAGATGTTTGAGGTAGGCGATAAGGATAGTGCTGCTGTATTGGCCAAATCTGAGAAGGACAACCTCCATTTGGCTTTAAAGTCTATCTGCCTGACCCCAGTCGAATGCGCAAAACGAGCGCAGTTGACTGCAGCAAAAGACCTGTTGGAGCCTCAAATGTGCTCGCTGGTTGTACTTGCTCGTCAACAACTCATCCCACGTTCCAAATGGATTGATTTGTGCCTGCGAGTCGATGTAGATCCCGGTGCTCTAGCGCAGAAGTACGAGAAAGAGCTGTTGGAGGAGGTGGTTGAACGAACAAGTTTTGAGAGTGTGAGTGTTCTTCCTGTAATTCTGGTATCTGGATTTCTAATCTTCTACAGTCGCGGGCCACCAAAGAAGCTGCGTGCGATGCAGCAGCAGAACTCGCCTTTGTTGCCCCTGAGATCATGACGCCACGTATCATCCAATTGATCCAACGCGATTTGGATGTTTCTCAACTACATGATATCGGGCCGGTCGAGGCAGCGATCTTTCGCACACCTGAGGGTACCGCATTCGTTGATGTCCTTGCGAAGAAATCACAAGTCGTCCCAAATAAAAATACTAAAGACTATGATACACTAAAGTGGGAGGAAGAATTGAGAGCCCAAATAGCGCAGAAAAGGGGTCAGCAAAAGAAGCTGACAGCCGACGAAACTGCCAAAGTCAATGCTCAGCTAAAGAAGGAGGCTGAGATTCGTCTCCGAGTGCAGCACACCGAAGCAAGGTTATTACGAGGGTTTGGGATTGTTCAAAGCCTCGTGACGGGACCGCCGACCGATGCTGCTCTATGGATGGGCCCTGCAGTTCAAGCACTGCTTGATGCTATTGAGGCAGGCGCGACTTTGATCACTGGAGAAGCTGGTCCTTCAGCATACATCACGCTTTCGAGCCTCATCTCCTCGCGTCTTGGGCCGATGGCACCCTTTGTTGGAGTCGCTACACTACGAGCTCACGATGTATCAGCCCTGCCTGAGAACCAAATACAGGAGCCAGTCGAGGATCTAATCACCCGGGTGCTGTATCGTCTCCGCTTTGCTGGAGAGCAACGGCCATTTGATACGGTTTCCTTGATTTATATGATACCCCTTATTCTTTTGGTCTTGCGCAAGGGTGGATTTGGCGAAACGACTGATGATCGTGATGCTCAGTTGGTGCTGGCCATCGAGTTTATCGCCTTTCACACAAGCTCTTGCGAGGACGAAGCTATGCCACGGTCCGATCTACTCTCCATCCTCATCTTTTCCATGCAACAGTACAGTCAACACTACAAAATTGTTAAGGACTGTTTTGCAGACCTGGTCCGTTGCATTGCACCTAATGTCAGCCAGGATGAGATCAGAGTCCTCGCTGAAGGAGCTATTGTGCCTCAAGCCACAGTCAGGACAACTGTATTGCAGTCGATCAGTGCTGAAGTGGACATGAGCGAGCTTGACTTCTCCGAGGAGATCTGGCTTGCTTGTCATGATGACGTCGAGGAGAATGTTGAGTTGGGCAAAGAAATCTGGCAAGAGAGCGAGTTCGAGGTTTCTCATGATGTGCCGTTCAAAACACTGCCTTACTTGCAGAGCAAAGATGGGCAACTGCGACGAGCGGCTGCAAGATCGCTCGCTGAGGCAACACATATCCATCCTTCAACGATGCTGAAACTTTTAGAGCACCTGAGAGCTTCGTACCTTGAACTTGCCAAACCGCGGGTGCCACAGCTTGACGAGTACGGTATGCCGAAGAAGATGGATCTTTCCGACCCCTGGGAAGCGAGACATGGTATAGCCGCTGCTTTAAAAGAGCTTGCCCCTTATCTTGAAATAGGCCAGTTGGATGCGTTCTTTACTTTTCTCATCGAGCAAGGACCTCTCGGCGATCAGCATGCTTCTGTCCGCAGCGAGATGTTAGAAGCCGCCAACAACGCCATCAGCATACATGGAAAGGCCATTGTAGATAAACTCATGAAAACGTTCGAGAAAACGCTCGAGGCCCCAGACAAGGGCTCTGAAGCTGGCGATCGGGTCAACGAGGCAGTCATTATCATGTATGGTGCCCTCGCTCGACATCTCAAACCAGGTGATGCGAAGATTCCAGTCGTCATTGAGAGGCTTCTTGCTACCTTGAGCACTCCATCCGAGACGGTGCAATATGCCATAGCAGAATGTCTTCCTCCCTTGGTTCAAACTTGCGGTGACAAATCTTCAAAATATTTCGATCAAATTCTCGAAACTTTGCTCACCTCAAAGAAGTATGCAGTCCAGCGAGGCGCAGCTTATGGACTTGCAGGTTTAGTCATGGGACGCGGTATTAATTCTTTGAGGGAGTATCGAATAATAATTTCCCTGAAGAGCGCTTTGGATAACAAGAAAGAAGCAAACCAGAGGGAGGCAGCTCTTATAGCTTATGAGCTGCTAGCAACGGTTCTTGGTCGCTTATTCGAGCCGTACGTCATCCAAATCGTCCCACAGCTGCTTACCGGCTTTGGCGATGGTAATGCCAATGTTCGTGATGCGGCGTTGGCTGCCGCGAAGGCATGCTTCGCTAGACTCAGTTCTTTCGGTGTCAAGAAAATTCTACCCACTTTGCTTGACGGTCTTGATGAAGATCAGTGGCGAAGCAAGAAGGGAGCCTGCGACTTGCTCGGAGCGATGGCATACTTGGATCCGCAGCAGCTTGCACAGAGCTTGCCAGAAATCATTCCTCCGCTGACGGCTGTTCTAAATGACAGTCATAAGGAAGTGAGATCGGCTGCCAACAAGAGCTTGAAGAGGTTTGGCGAGGTCATCAACAACCCTGAAGTCAAGAATCTCGTTGATATTCTACTCAAGGCCCTCAGTGACCCCACTAAATACACAGACGAGGCTTTGGATGCACTCATTAAGGTGCAATTTGTGCATTACCTGGATGCACCGTCGCTGGCTCTCGTTAGTCGTATCTTGCAGCGTGGTCTCAGTGATAGATCCAATACAAAGAGGAAAGCGGCCCAGGTCATCGGTAGTTTGGCTCATCTCACTGAGAGGAAAGATTTGGTGGCCCATCTCCCCGTCCTGGTCGCCGGTCTCAAGCTTGCCATTGTTGATCCCGTACCCACTACCCGTGCAACCGCATCTCGAGCACTTGGATCTCTCGTCGAAAAGCTGGGCGAAGATGCGTTGCCAGACCTCATCCCGCAACTCATGCAAACTCTCAAGTCCGACACTGGTGCTGGCGACCGACTTGGTTCTGCTCAGGCTCTTAGCGAGGTGCTGGCAGGATTGGGTACAACCAGGCTGGAAGAGACCCTGCCTACCATCCTTCAAAATGTCGAGTCTTCCAAACCCGCTGTCCGAGAAGGCTTTATGTCGTTGTTCATCTTCTTGCCTGTCTGCTTTGGCAACAGCTTCGCAAACTACCTTGGAAAAATCATTCCGCCAATTCTTTCTGGACTTGCGGACGACATTGAGTCTATCCGAGAGACTGCTCTCAGAGCCGGTCGATTGTTGGTCAAGAACTTTGCTGTCAGGGCTGTCGATCTCTTGCTCCCTGAGCTAGAGCGTGGTCTCGCAGATGACAGCTACAGAATCCGTCTCAGCTCTGTCGAGCTTGTCGGTGATCTTCTCTTCAATCTTACTGGCATTACCGGTAAGGAAGACACCGAGGAGATGGACGAAGAGAATGTCAAAGAAGCGGGGGCTTCGTTGCGCGAAATCCTTGGTGAAGAGAAACGCAACAAGATTCTATCCGCGCTGTATATCTGCAGAAACGACACGGCTGGAGCCGTGCGAAGCGCAGCAATCAGCGTCTGGAAGGCTCTGGTGTCTACTCCGAGAACACTCAAGGAGCTTGTTCCTACACTTACGCAGCTCATCATTCGCCGTCTTGGCAGTTCAAACATGGAGCACAAGGTTATTGCCAGCAATTCCCTTGGAGAGCTCATTCGAAAGGCTGGTGATGGTGTCCTATCAAGCCTTCTGCCTACTTTAGAGGAAGGTCTACAGACATCGACTGATACCGATGCTAAGCAGGGTATCTGCCTTGCGCTGAAGGAATTGATCTCCTCGGCGTCAGAGGAGGCCTTGGAGGACCACGAGAAGACCCTTATCTCTGTCGTACGAACCGCACTCACTGACTCCGACGAAGACGTCCGTGAAGCAGCCGCAGAAGCCTTCGACTCTCTGCAACAGATTCTGGGCAAGCGTGCAGTAGATCAAGTATTGCCATTCTTGCTCAACCTTTTACGCTCCGAAGACGATGCAGACAATGCCTTGCAGGCCCTGCTTACTCTTCTGACAGAGACGACTCGTTCAAATATTATTCTGCCGAACCTCATCCCTACACTCATCACACCCCCAATCTCTTCGTTCAACGCTAAAGCTTTGGCATCCCTGTCCCAGGTTGCCGGCGCTGCTATGAACCGCCGTCTACCAGGTATTATCAATTCGCTGATGGACAACATCATCAATAGCAAAGATGACTTGCGAGAGGATTTGGACAAATCATTCGATACAGTACTTCTGTCTATCGACGAATACGATGGCCTGAACACTGTGATGAATGTTCTTCTACAGCTCCTTAAGCATGAAGACCACCGAAAGAGAGCTGCTACCGCCCGTCACTTGGCGACATTCTTTGCACAGGCTGATGTTGACTACTCTCGCTACAACCAAGACATTATTCGCGCACTGCTTCTGTCCTTTGATGATCGCGACCTAGAGGTTGTCAAGGGTGCATGGAGCGCGCTGAGTGAATTTACCAAGAAGCTGAGGAAGGAAGAGATGGAGGCTCTTGTGCCTTCTACTCGGCAGACCCTGCTTCTCGTTGGCGTCCCTGGCGTGAACCTGCCAGGATTCGAGTTGCCAAAGGGCATCAACGCCATCCTGCCAATCTTCCTGCAAGGTCTTATGAACGGTACCGCCGATCAGCGTACGGCGGCCGCGCTTGCCATCTCTGATATCGTAGACCGTACAAGCGAGAGCTCCCTTAAGCCGTTCGTCACTCAGATCACTGGTCCTCTTATTCGTGTCGTCTCCGAGCGGTCGACAGAAGTCAAATCTGCCATTCTCCTTACCCTCAACAATCTGCTAGAGAAGATGCCAACAGCACTCAAGCCGTTCTTGCCACAACTGCAACGAACGTTTGCAAAGTCGCTGGCAGATACTTCCAGTGACTTACTACGGTCTCGTGCAGCCAAGGCTCTTGGAACCCTGATCAAATTCACACCTCGTGTTGATCCTCTCATTGCGGAGCTTGTGACCGGTTCAAAGACAACGGATTCGGGTGTAAAGACGGCCATGTTGAAGGCTTTGTACGAAGTGATTAGCAAGGCTGGTGCCAATATGGGAGAATCTTCAAGAGCAGCTGTCCTCAGCTTAATTGACATGGAGACAGATGAGAGGGACGAGAATATGACAATCACCAACGCGAAGCTGCTTGGCGCTCTTATGAAGAACGTACCTGCAGATGTTGCCAGCACTTTGTTGAAGAACCGGGTTGTGACCACGTCCTTCAGTCATACCTCTGTCCTCGCGCTCAACGCGGTTCTCCTAGAATCATCCGAGACGCTTCTCACTAGCCCACTGGCCGACGACTTGCCCGATCTCCTCTGCCAGGGCATGACGAACAAGGAGGTAAGTTACCATCAATTTGACTTTGATTGTCTCTTAACTAATTGCAACTCCCTAGCCATATATTGCGGAGAACTTCATCCTTGCAACGGGCAAATATCTTCTGACTGACTCACCGAAGTCATTCGAGTCAACAAAGCAGATCTTTGAGACGATAGCAGGTATCATCCCGCCAGGCGCCCCGGTTGATATGCGACGCCTGGCGCTGGTTCTTGTGCGTACACTTTCACGTGTCAATGAGGACATGGTGCGGCCCCACCTACCAATGCTCGCACCCCCTATCTTTGCTTCTGTTCGAGACATGGTCATTCCTGTCAAACTAGCAGCAGAGGCGGCGTTTGTGGCGCTGTTCAATGTTGTCGATGAGGAGAGCCGAGTGTTTGACAAGTACATCTCTGGTCCGGGGGCAGAGCATCTGCCTGCTGGTGCTAAGCGCAGCATGCAGGACTACTTCAAGCGTGTAGCGTTGAGATTAGGAAGCCAGGCGAGAGAGCGGAGAGAAGCGGAAGGAGGTGCAGGTGGTCTGGGCTTGGCTGGTGATGAGGCTGAAGACGAAAAGGAGATCTGGGCAGTGGGCAGACTAGAGGTTGGTGCCGATGTGTTCGGCAAGGATTGATAGCAGAGTTCATGATGATTTATGAGCAAGCTGTCATGTTTCGTTGTATTTGAAGATCATAGCATTCGCAGGGATCGTGTAGACATTCAAAAGTACTTCATTTCCCAGATATCTGCATATCTCATCATTGTTCTCATACTAACTCGGTTACAACAGAACCCTTCATTAACAGATCTCGAAATAGAAGTAGTCATTTATAGGCCCGTTGTGCAGGAATTACTTGTCGAGCCGATGAACAACAGTTTCCCGTCATAAATGACAAGGAGAGGTCACGTGGCAGGTCATGCACAAATTTCGGCAAGTGAGTCAGGATTTGGCGCTAGCATTTCGGCGTACGGATAATCCGATCTCTGAGAAAGACGGGTAACCCTCACATACCTCCAGGGCTAGGCCAGAAGCGATTTTAGTGCGCACCACTCGGGCTTGAGAAATCTTGCAAGTGACTTTGAGACCCCCTCCCACTCTTCGAATTTTCGACCTCCATCCACCAAGTCGACAACGACCATCACCCAGCAATCAAGTCAAGATGTGAGTAGCACGCGCCTCCAGAGCATTTATTACGGGCCATGAGACGTATTGGGTGATGCAGAGAAGTGTCAGAGGCCGGCCCGGGGCTCCAGTCGATGGCGGATTGAAGGGCATCCCCGCCGAGCCTCTTCGAACATTCTCATGGCATCATAGCGGTCCTATCATCATCAATCGACACGCTTTTCATCATCGAGCCGAGTGCTGACATTTTTTCTTCCTCTCTACAGGGTCAATCTGCGAACCCAGAAGCGCCTTGCGGCCAGCGTCCTCGGATGCGGCGAGCGCAAGATCTGGCTCGACCCCAATGAGGTCAGCGAGATCTCCAACGCCAACTCCCGCCAGACCATCCGCAAGCTCGTCACCGATGGCCTCATCATCCGAAAGCCCGTCACCATGCACTCCAGATCCCGTGCCCGCGAGCTGAACCTTGCACGAAGAATTGGCCGTCACCGAGGCTTCGGAAAGCGAAAGGGTACCGCTGATGCCCGTATGCCTTCGTACGTCTCACCACTATCCCTGGGAGGATGAACAGCATGCGGATGCAGCAAGGAAGCTGCCTTCCGCCATATTTCTCTGGATTTTGTTGATGAGACTGTTTTGGCTGACTTGATGGGATTTGTAGTCAGGTTCTGTGGATGCGCCGCCAACGCGTCCTCCGCCGTCTGTTGGTCAAGTACCGTGCCAGCGGCAAGATCGACAAGCACCTTTACCACGAGCTGTACCACCTCGCCAAGGGTAACACCTTCAAGCACAAGCGCGGTCTCGTTGAGCACGTGAGTTCTACCATGCAGCTATTTCAGAAGATCGAGACACTGACTATTTAATTCTACAGATCCACCGCGCCAAGGCCGAGAAGCAACGTGAGAGACTGCTCAAGGAGGAGATGGACGCCAAGCGTGCGAAGACCAAGGCTGCCCGCGAGAGGAAGGTGGAGAGACAGACGGCGAAGCGCAATGCTCTGATGGGCGATCTTGAGGAGGAGACCAAATAAATCACGAGACACGGCAACTTCGTATCTACTTACTGAATGAAGACGGAAAGGCGGCTTGCATTCGGAGTATCAGGTTGGGTCGTTTTTCTCTACACGTCGTCTCACTACTACTGAATCCTACCTGGTCAGCGTCATCTAGAGACGGGCACCGTAGGGCTTCTGCTGCATGTATTCAGGGCATTGAAAACGGAAATCAATGGGCTTTCAGCACTTTTTCTGAATGATTCCACTCGTAGGCGTGACCATCTCTGAAGCAATGACCTGCCTCCACTATTTTTTTCATATCCTAGTGAGCGCGCATGCCACATGCTAAGTCCAGACATGTCTGTCGTCTTAGTGATGATAGTTGATTGAGATACAATGATGCAGGAAAGCTTCTCAAAGTGGTCTGGGCTCCATCTTTGAAAGACTTAGATTCGAAAGCTACTGGGATCCCTCAAAGAAGCTATGGATGCTATGGATGCTATGGATGCTAGATGCCGCGTACAGCTAGGGCCGGGCATGTATGGAGTCTGAAGAGTGCGAACGTCCGGGACGGAGGTCACAGTCCGGCCACTCGGGGCCGTCGCAATGGCATCCTCCCCAGGAAACTAACAGGATCTATCTCTATAGTGCAGAAGCCAAGGGGAAAAAGCAGCAGTGTAGGCGGAGACTTAGATCAAGACAAAGTGAGCGGGAAATATGCAGTGGCACTTGTCGTACTGCTATCGTGAGAAGAAAAGAAAAAAAGGATGGCCGAGGCCGGAACAAGACACACAAGAAGATCAACTAATTTTTCACATGGTTTGGGTCAGGAATTGCTTCATATTGTCCCTTCAAGGTGGTTGGGTGCGCCAAGGACATCTCATCAAGCTCCCGACAGAAGAGCGGAATTCCATTGTGCGAGCGAAGCGGTCTCATCATCCCCAATTTAGTTGATACAGAAGAAAGGAGAAGAAAGAGAAGGAGGAGGGAGACAGGCGCATCGACGGTGCAGTGGTAGTTATTTCCAGAGCTGCCAGCCCTGGTGGATGTCGGTGGTCCGTGCACAGGACCTCCAGCTTGCTAGGATTCTAGGAAGGTGAGTTGACAAATGAGAGGGCGGGGGATTTGGCGGCGGCGGGGCACCACCACCTGGAGCACCTAGAAACTACAAACTGTAGCAGCCATCATGCCGCCTGCCCGCCCGCCCGCCGTTAGCTTAGGTAGCGTGGGTAGGTAGTTAACCTGATAAACGGCCGGTCTTCCTCGCCGATCTCTTTTCGACGAAACCAAGTGACTTGCCTTGACTTGCCTTGCCTTGACCTCCTCCCTCATAAAGCAAACCCAGCCCGGGGCATCCCAAGGTGGAGGTTATCCAAAGCCTCTTCTGTATGCTCTCCCGTGTCCTGCTACAGCTACAGCTTCAGCTTCAGCTTCAATTGGCGGGCTAACACAGCTTGCTTCCCAAACACACAGTGGTAGTGGTAGTGGTAGTGGCGCTGTTCGTCCGTCACATCATGTCAGTCCCCATCTTCAGAAGCACCTCGCGTGCTGCCATCCGATCAGTGCCGAGATGCTCGGCCTTCCAGAATAGCACCAGGCGGGCTGTGTCGTCCTTCACCACTGAGGGGCAGCAGAAGGTATGTATTGGTTTTTGCTGTATGAGCAGCGAATTGTCGCTAACATGAAGCTTGCTAGGTCCTGACGGCGCACCTTCAAAAGGCGGATCCGGTAATGTACGACATCATAGAGAAGGTATAGCTCCTCCATACCGTCACTGTCGTCGGACCTCACACGCCAACAGCCAGCACAAATACACAGAAAGAGGCATGATGCTGATGGCCAATTCCTGCAGGAGAAAACAAGACAGAAGCAATTCATCAACCTCATCCCCTCCGAGAACTTCACATCCCAAGCTGTCCTCGATGCGTTAGGCAGTCCCATGCAAAGTACGCCTTGAAAGAGACCTCGGTCAATTCGACTCAGACCATATACTGACACGCATGCTTCTAGACAAGTATTCCGAGGGATATCCTGGAGCAAGATACTACGGAGGCAACGAGTTCATCGACCAGTCCGAGCGGCTATGCCAACAGAGAGCGCTGGAGACCTTTGGCTTGGACGAGAAGCAATGGGGAGTGAACGTCCAACGTATGTATAATTGCATGCATTGTGGAAGCTATCCTATCAGACAGATGGACTGACATCTCACTTTCTTGTAGCGCTGTCCGGAGCACCGGCCAACCTCTATGTCTACTCGGCTCTGATGGAGACACACGACCGCCTCATGGGCCTGGATCTTCCCCACGGCGGGCATCTGTCCCACGGATACCAGACCCCGACGAAAAAGATCTCCTTCATCTCCAAATACTTCGAGACCCTCCCTTACCGACTCGACGAGTCTACTGGCTACATCGACTACGCAAAGATGGAGGAGCTTGCCACTTTATACCGCCCGAAGATCATTGTTGCAGGCGCCTCCGCTTACAGCCGATTTATCGATTATGCAAAGATGAAGGACATCTGCGAGAAGACGGGCGCTTATCTGCTTGCTGATATCGCACACATTTCCGGCTTGGTAGCAGCGAAGGTCATGCCTGGCCCGTTCGCATATGCAGACATCGTCACAACAACCTCTCACAAGTCTCTGCGTGGCCCGAGAGGCGCCATGATCTTCTTCCGCAAGGGCGTCAGGCGGACCAACCCCAAGACCAAGGAGGACGAGCTGTACAACCTCGAGACGCCCATCAACGCCTCTGTATTCCCCGGCCACCAAGGCGGCCCGCACAACCACACCATCGCCGCGCTGGCCGTCGCGCTGAAGCAAGCACAGACGCCCGAGTTCAAGGCGTATCAGGAGCAGGTCCTCGCCAACTCCAAGGCGCTGGCACACCGGCTCGGTGAGGCCAAGGACAAGGGCGGGCTCGGCTACTCGCTGGTCAGCGGCGGCACGGACAACCACCTGGTGCTGGCCGACCTCAAGCCGCAGGGCATCGACGGCGGCCGCGTGGAGCGCGTGCTGGAGCTGGTCGGCGTCGCCGCGAACAAGAACACCGTGCCGGGCGACCGCTCGGCGCTGACGCCCGGCGGCCTGCGCATGGGCACGCCGGCCATGACGACGCGGGGCTTCAACGAGGACGACTTCAAGCGCGTGGCGGACATTGTCGACCGGGCCGTCACGATCGCCGTCAGGGTGAACAAGGCGGCGGTCAAGAACGCCGAGGAGAAGCAGCTCAAGGGCCCCAAGAGGCTCAAGGTCTTCCTCGAGTACCTCGGCGACGGCGAGACGGACCCCGAGATCGTCCAGCTGAGGAGCGAGGTCGCCGACTGGGTGGGCACGTACCCCCTGCCGTGGCAGCAGGCTGCATAGAGAGAGGCACCTGTGGTAAGATGAGCGCGGGCCGGGGGAGTAATTGCTGTTGTGAGCGGTAGCGAGTGGGCAATTGGATCAATTGAACATGTGATGGAATGGATGGAAGGTGCGTGGGATATATGTACGTATGAAGTTCAACCTAGGCATCCAAACGAGAATAGCTGGGACGGACTTGCTCAACTGTTCTCCCGGAGTTTCAGGCGTATAGTAGTATACGGGGGAGGAAACCATATTCCCTCCCAGAATTTACGGACTGGCACTATATTGTCCTCACTCATTCGAATAATGACAGTTGCAAGTGCTTGCAAGGTCTCTATAGAAAAAGTAAAAACGAGGAACCCCCTTTGTTTTATTTTCCTATAAGACGCCGCCAGGTTATCTCGCTCGCTATATCCTTTGAATTCAATAAGCCACACGAACTCATATCCTAGTCGGAACCCCCAAGATCAAACAATCCCTAACTTTTTGCCCGTAGAAGCATCATGTCGTCGCCGGATCCTTGCCCTTCCCTTTACCTTCTATCTTTTCCTTGGCCCCTTCCTTATCCTTGGTTGAGTTATCTGCGTCTGACTTCTCCGTCTCTTCACTTTCAGCTTCATCTTCTTCTTCTTCGCTCTCTATCTTCCCCTTTCCTTTGTCCTTTGTAGGTATTTCTTCTTCCTTCTCCTTCTTCTGCTCCTCCACTGGTTTTGTAGGGTTTGGCTTCTTCGGCGTCTCCTCAGCTGGTATTTCAGGTTGCGCGTCTCCCATGACAGCCTTGACACTCTCCCGCGATGCAAAGCTCGTGTACCAACCCTGCAGCCCATCGAGACCGATCTTGCGCAGGACAGAGCTCAGAGCCTCGCCGTCGTCCCTGCACACGCGCGCCATGTCGTGTAGGACTGGCCACAGCGCGTAGTCAGCGACGGTGGCTGGATCGTCGCCCTCGCCCGCAATGCTGCCCCGGTGGGCGCCCGCTTCATCCGCCCACGACGCAAAGGTAGTCAATTCGCGGCGGAGGGACTTGAGCAGAGTGGATGCGTGCTGGCCCTTGGCTGAATCCTTGCTCGCCGCAGCACCCCTGGCCTGGCTGCGCAGCAGAGCGCGCCATTTAGCCTCCAGGCCGAGCGCGGCTTGGAAACGCGAGTAGAGCCTCGCGAGCGCCGGTCCGCTCCGGTTCGTCTCTTTCTCGCCGCCGTATGTTGATGCTAGATATAGCATGATGGCCACGTCGCCAGTCACAGTCGACTTGCCGGCATCGTTATCAACAAATTTCACAGGGAGGTCATCGGGCACTTCAGCGCTGTCCTTGAGGCTGAAGCCCGGGCTAACGCTGCCTTTGGCGTACTTGATATCATACGCCGCGAGCATGAGCGTGACGCGCGTGTCTACGATGTCGTCTCCGCTGGCGAAAAACCGCGGCGAGGCGCTCAGATGCAGCACGTCGAAGCCAGCGCCATAACTAGCTTTCCAGTCGAACGCGCTGCTCTGGTTCTCGCGCCCAAAGGCCTGCAGCATGCGCACGGCCTCGGGCGTCTGGCCGTTGACGACGGCGTGGGCCGCAGCTTTGGTCTTGCCCGTGGCGCCCTGGCCCCAGATGAGCGTGCTGTCGCGGTTGAGGAACGTGCCGATGCGGCGGAAGGTCAGGCTGATGCGGCCGCCTTCGTATGCGAGTTCGGCCTCGGTCTTCTCCCTGTCCAGACGCTTGTCCTGGCGGATGGCGTGTAGCCATTTCTCGTTGGTACGTAAACCCATGCGGCACAGGGAGTTATGTGGAAGGTGTGCGCGCTCGACTTGTCGTCTTTGGCCTTCGACCGGAGCGCTTGTCTTTGATTGTGGGGAGGTTGAGCTATCTTTCCTCGGCTCCTCGACAGTCTTATCCGCAGAGTCGGGTGAAGTGGTTACTCCTTGCTCAAGCGCTACAGAGTCAACAGCTTTCACCGACTCGGTCTTCCTCTTTGAGGGGTCCCTATCAGCCCTCTTAGTGCGGAAGACCATGGTCCTCTCAGCGCCGAGACTGACATTAGCAATGAAGGAGTCTGGCACGACGTCAATTGTCTTGTCGCTGTGCTCGCTGATATAGTCATTGCCGCCACGATAGAATTGGATGAGCACATGATTGACAGGATGCCCTAAATGCTTCTCAACATGCTCCTTAATCTGTAACACTGTCGGACTGAAGGGCACCAGTACCGGTGCCTCGTCAGAGGGATGGCGATATACTGGTTGATTACCTTCTGAATCAACCTCGCCTTGCACAGCGACCAGGCGCGGGACCTCTCCGCCTTGATGCATCATACGCTGCCATTGCACTTCCCCACATACACGCTCGAAGATATTCTTCTTCAGGATTGGTGGCAATACGTTCTGAATGACAGTGGTGTCGCCTTCACAGATAGGTTCGGAAACGATGGGTTTGTCCATGTCTTGAGACTCTTCCGTTGCTGCGTCTGCCTCTTCAGCTGAGCTGTCGTCACTTGAGCTACCTTTAGCAGTCGGGGGCTTTGTATTCTCGCTTTCCGGTGGACTATGCTGGGGCTTGTCCGCTGGTTTGGACTCTTTGGACTCGGTCTCGATCGTGTCCTTGCTGGCAATTGCTTCCTGGACCTTTTCCTTGGCAAATTCTGCACTGATTCGGGTTCTCTTGAAGCTCGAAGCAGGCGATCGCCATTCTTGCGGCGGCGAGTCTTTTATCCTTTGGTCGGCCCTTTCGACACCTCTCGATTGTCTTCTAGCAGCGACTCTCGCTCTGATCTGAGCCTCGAATGACTCACTGTCAATGGGCGATCCAGAGTCGGAATCGGCATCGAGGGGGTTGGCTGGCTCGATGACTGGATCATGGCGCATATGCGCACTTGCGGGCTTGGGCGCGTCGTCCACCTGCAGGGTGGCCCGAGCATCGTCATCGCTCACCACGGGCTGAAGCGGCTCGACTGCAGCCTGCGGTTGAGGATCTTGGGACTTGGGGTCAGGCGCGACGACAGTCCCTGTAGAAGACGACGACTCGCCGCTTAGCTTCAGCTTCTCCATTGACGCGGGCAGCAACTGCTCTGCGCCCGCATCCGCGCTTGCCGCGGGCGGCGGCGGCGGCGGCGGCGGCGCATCTGCTGCAGCAGTGGGGGGTGCGCTGCTGCCCGCTTTGCTGCGTGGAGATGAGAGTCTGGAACGTACGGGTATGATAGTGCGAGCCGCAATTGGGCTCTTGCCTCCCCTGCCTCGACTGCTGCTCGCGACTCGGGACGGGCTGGACGGGCTGGAGATAGCAGGTTCTAGCTTCGCTTCGGGTTTCGAAGAGCTGCTGGGTAGCAGAGACTGGATGACGTCTTCGGCGTACAGTAACTCACAGCCCGTGAGCTGGATCAGTTGTCGCGTGGCCTTCGCATGCCGTATTATGCTGCGATATCCGCAGCAGTCATCCACGATCTTAATGTCATATCCATAGCTGCCAGCAGCCAAAGCCGTGGCATACACGCTCGTGTTGGTGAGCGCTCCACAGATGTAAATCTCCGTTGCGAACCGTCCGCGTAGAAGTTGTAGTAGCTGCCCTGTCTGAAAGGCAGAGTAGTGCGTCTTTGTTAGGCGGTAGTCCTTGGGCTCTATTGCTGCTGCAATATCAGCGAATGCCTCGACTCCTGCTGAGCCCGGCTGCACGCAGGCTCTTCCCTCTCCCTGGGGCGGTCTGCTCAAGAAAGCCTCCGGGTCGTTCTCTGGTGGTTCGGACGGTTCCCTAGACGTTCTCCTCCGTCCCCGCGGCTGTGCTCCAGGTCGAATGGACAGCGGAGGGCCGTCGGTGACGACAATCTGATCATCATTCGCCGGCCTCGGCCTCTCGTACTCGCTGCGTACCCATATTACGTCTCCTGCGCCAGACTGTCGGAAGGCACTCGCCAGGTCGACGATTCTCTTGACGAACCCCTCCGGCTCTGTCACAGGAAGCGCCCCGTCGGGTGAGAGGAAGTCGTTCTGGAGATCGATTGCAAGGAGCGCCTTGCGCGTCCCGAGGGAGGGAAAGCGAGTGGGGTCGAACATGGCGAGGTCGTCATGCGAATCGTCGTTTAGGTATGGTTGATTATGTGAAGGACTATAATTGGTATAAACTGGAGTTCTTGTCAGCGTTTTGAAAGGAACCGAGACCCGATATCATTATATCATGAGCTCATAGGGTCCTGGCCGCTTGCCAGTCCAAACATACAATATTGCGAGGCAATCACGGGTAGTACATTCCTTGCCCTGGCGCGCGGCAGCAGCTAATTCATTTGGGTGGATGCTTGCGATATAGTCGTGTAGGTGTCTAGGTAGGTGGATAGTCGAACGGCCGTATGAGGTGCCGCGCATGACAATAAAGTAGCAATATGAGGTTGTAGTCGTCGAGATTCGCGCCGTTGCAGGTGACACTACATGATGCTTGTTGCGGGCCTAGGCGGCATCAAATGTGTGCAAGCGACCGGTTCGGCTTCGTTAGCCTTGAAGATCACGGACGACAGCAGCACCAGCAAGTAAGTAGCTGGGATGCCCCCCCGCTCGAGGTTGGTCTGGAGTCCGGGAGATGTCGAGGCCAGCAACCTTGGAATGTCTCAGGCTCTTGCCGGCCCTTTTGCGCAGAGCAGTAAAGTACTCGTACTGCAGTCTGTAGTCTGTAGTCTGTAGAAGGCAGAAGAGTGAGGCGGGCACAAGGGATCGGAAGCGATCGCAAGGTGCAGGTCTCCGGTGTCGTTCCTCGGCGTTTCTCCACCGAGTCGAGATCGGCAGTGCGACTGCACTAAGCCCAGCAGCAGCCAGCAAGTGGCAGGGTCCCTGTCAAGGCTTCCTCTCTCACCAATGAAACATGATCCAGGGTCCAAAAAGAGTGTGAAAGATAGGGGGGAGGAGAGAGCTCATAAGGTTCAGGTCGGTCACAAGACACACCTCAGCAAAGAGCAGATACCTTAGATACCTAGGTAATGGGTCTGGGAGAGGGGCCGGTGCTAAGAACGGTACAAAGTCTAAGGTTGGTTGGTAGTAGCTAGCTTTGATGTCATATAGAACGGCGGTAATTAATTATTAGTTTGAGGGTACTTAATTAATGTAAGGATCTGGAAAGGTGCCGCGTTAAGTCACTGCGGGGAAACTCAAAATAAAAAAGGATCCAAATCTGACATGAAGAAAGACAGACAGCGGGAGATTATATTGCTTGAACCATTCTGAATAGTCACATTTCTGAGTGGAACTATAGTTACCCGTTTATTATACGATTATACGTCTTTCCTTTACTTCTTGATACTTAGCATATGCAGGTTGGTTCGGGACGCGCGAGCTTGTCCATCATCTTGTCTCTCGATCAAAGGTAACACTCACTCACTCACTGACTTACAAAACAAATGCCTCCACCCATATTAAAATAGGTCTCTTCACAAGCTCATAGAGCCATTGTCTTACTGAGGCCAAGCCCGCACTCTTATCCCTTCTTGTTCCAGTAGCCTTAATGTCCATCTTATTCTAACGATCTGCTGATCACTCTGAGGAAATGCAACTGTACCACGGACAATGGGGAGTCCAGAACGTTACAGCAAACAGCCCTGCTTCAACGCAATCGCCAGGCTATCGACGTATTTGAGATTAACCCCTGGCAGCCCAACCTCGTTCGAGGCTTAGCCCAGAGCTCAGAAGATTGGGCAGATGGATGGTGGGGAGGTTGGTGATGCTGGCCCTTTGACCACTGAGGGTTGGGCTAATGCACTGTACTTCGCAAGAGCCAGGCCCAAAGACCCTGGCAGAAAGGACCTCACTGACGCTTAGGGTCACAGGGTGTGTGAAATCTTACCTACTGCGTAAGGTAGTAGAGCACCTCGTCTGCCGGCCTTTAAATCGGTTTCATTCACTGATCCAGGTGGGAACTGGGCGGCCTAGACGCTGCTCTTCCGGGCTCCCCGACAGGCACCATTGGCTCGTCATTAATGACAATCGTCCCTGTTGACCCTCATCTTTGATTGCTCTGGCGGTCCTTAAACAGTGCTGCAGGGGTTTCGCCCGCCCCATAAACATTCCTGGGCACCAGCCAAGTGCCGCAAGTAGTTCGCCTTTAAATCGAGTTCAAGCCCTGCTTCCAAAGACTTTGTGATAGATCTCATGTTGGTGACCACGGAAATGGTCAACTGCAGCTTACTGGGAGCACCAAAGCCTATGGTCGACGCTGGTTGGCCTGTTGGTGCTCTCGAGGACACTGCAAGGTTGCAATTCTACTACTTCACGGCTCGGACAACCGCCGGCCTCATCAGCCCAGCGGTCGAGCTCAACCCTCCTCAAGCGAGAAGTGTGAAACGAGTCGCTTACATAGTGCTGCATAGTACCTGGGTTGTCGAGGTTGGTCTGCCCTTCTCGAATCTCTCTTAATGCTTCTTTCAAGATAACGGTCGGCTCCGATGACATCCCCCGCGTCGATCATTCAAAGGCTTGCGAAAGCACCTTGGTTCTCGTCAATGACACCCTCCCCGGCCCAATAGGGCAGCTCTAAATTGAGAGAGAAACCAACAAGTGAGGTTGGTAAAATTTGTACTGCATGCGGCAGCGTCCCAGGCCGATCATCACCAACAAGGTGAAGGATTTGTCGGCTCGGGTTCGTGCGGGTGACGAGTCGACAAGTATCCTGCGTCTTTCCTTGAATCGATCGTGATGTATCATCAACCATAGCCGTGTGAAGGTTTCAAAGAACGTTCCAATGGTCGGAGGCCAACTCCGACAACCTTTCCTCTCGTCGACGACATTTGACAAGTCTTGCCTGCATGGGCAGGATGCAGTACCCTGTCAGCGCTCTCCCGCAGGCCAGTAAACTCTGTCAAGTAAAGTGCTGCCGCAAGACAAGCCTTGGCATCTGAACGAAATGGGCGCTTAGACTTGCGTAATGCAGCTAGCTCTGGAGATCACTTCTGGTGGAAACTCCGACAAGACCATACAAGTCGGTGTTGAAAGTACCGGTTTTGGCAATGGAAAAACTGGCGAGAGCCGATGAGAGGCATGTGATTGGCATCAATAACTTTGACCATCCGGTACTATACGAGACAAATTATCACGAACAATTGTGACAACTCCTCGGAAACTCCCGCATCCCTTTTGAGTCCTCAGCGCGAACTCGACTTGGAGGGCATGGAACTTTCCGAGAAAGACGGGAGACAATGCCACTTTGACAGAATGCATACTGCGTTTCCACGGCACAAGCCCGTGTGGTGAGGACGTAATCATCCTCCCGAATGCGAGCATCCATGTCTCCGGCGACTCTCCGAACTCCTCACCGGGCGAGTGAGTGGCTGGGGGAGTCGGTGTGCGTCGGAAGGGACGTGTACACTACCCGTACCCGAACACCTGCTTCCGTGGGCTTTGTAGGAGATGCCGTGCTGCGAGACGCGTCCACCGGGGATTATTTTCCCAAGCTGGAATAGCACAGCGAAAAGGTGCCAGGTTCTTCTGCAAGCAGAGCAGCCACGTCCAACCACCTCTCCGCCGGAGCGGAAAGCTTGAGATCCTGAAACTTCTACAAACTACCTTCTTGTCAAAGAAGTGATGTGCTTTGATCCTCTCTGTATAGCTATATTGTGTATGTTATGTGTCAAGGATGGTTGCGCTGAGACAGCGCCTACGCGAAGGCCATTGGCTTGGGCTGTAAAGGTCGATATTGCTTAGTCCGCCTCAGAAAATCTAAATCTATTATCCCTACGCCAAGTTCAGGTACCAATACCAAGACGACCGCTTCTATCTATTCTAGAGTAAATGCTTGAGCTATTCGTGTGAAATTCTATCGGAGACGATGCACATCTATCCGGTAAACAGCCATCCCTGATGTCCACTCCAGGGCGGACTATTGTGCTCGGTATTGCATGTGCTTCTCTCCTCAGCACCAGGGGCTAAGTGAAAGCACTGCCTCCTTTCATTTTTATCAATTCTGAAAGTATCTCCTCGAAGGTAGGCCGCTCCGAAACAGTTGAGACAGCACACCTCTGCCGCAAAACAAGTAGTTGTTCCATGAGCCGCTTGTCAGACTCTGCAGTTGGCTGAACTAGGCCAGTGATGTCCTCGACCAAGTGGGCAAAGGCAAGGACTTCGAGCTTCTCCAACAGTGGGGATACAGTGTGGCCGTGAACCGTAGCAGCCCCAAAGTCGCCCAGAAGTGCGTGCCCATCCTCATTAGTCAGGATGTTGTGCGCGTACAAGTCGCCGTGAATGATTCCCTGGCCGTGAAGATGCTCTGCAGCCGCTGCTATTCCTTCCAAGATGCTCATGGCGTTGTCTGCGGAGAGTGAGACATCTGGATGATATTGATCTCGAGTGCAGGACTGCAATGACGGCGGTTGGCCGAGAGTCTGATAATGCGGAGGGATGAGTTGCATCACCAATCCTCCCTTGAACTTTCCGGTGATCTCCTCTGGGTGATCCTTTATTCGGCCAAGGACATCGATAATATTATCATGCTGTCCAGCTGCTATGACGGCAGCCATCTCGTCCTCTGGAGCCCCGTCACTGGTGAGGGCGCCTTTGAAGAGCTTGATGGCAACTTCTTCCGCCGAGCTGTCCTCTGACTGCCACAGTCCTTTCGAGATCACACCTGACGCTCCCTCTCCGAGAGTGTGGTGCACTTCGAGATCGGTCCACTTCACATGATCCAATTGAGATTGCACGCTGCCGTTGGCGTGTCCATTGCCATGCACTATCGCCGGTGTGCTGGGGGTAGAGCACGGATTTCCCGCGAAGCTCAAAAACGACAGCTCCGGCATCTCGAACAGCCAGTCTGGCAAAGCATCAATGTCATTGCTTGACAAGCGGAGCAGACCGAGTTTCTTGCAGGCGCTCATGTGGTCCGGTAGTGTCTTAAGTCGGTTCCCGGCCAGCATGCACTTCTGCAGCCGCTCACACCTCCCAATACTGTCGGGCAGCGAGGACAGCCGGTTGTCTGTGAGGATCAACCATCGCAGCCGTGGGGGAAGGGCGTCTTCGGGGACGGTCTTCATCCCGTTGCCACGGAAAGCGACCATCTCGAGCTGCGGGCATGCCGCAAGCTCCTTGGGGAACGTGATGAAGTTGCATTGCGAGAAGAAGGCAACCTTGAGATTTGGTAGGCGAGGACCGAAGTCTTGGGGAAGAGAGGAAAGGCCAGTGCCTGAGAGATCAAGCTGTTCCAATGTTTCTCCGAGATCTAGGATCTCAGTAGGAAAGGTGTCAAGCGGGCATGCCAACTTGAGCTTTGAGAGTCCGGCACCCTTATATCCCCCACCACGGAGGGTCTCTAGATCGTGCATCTTGCTAGGAGAACAACTAATGCTGTTTGCGCAACGCGATACCACCTCTGACTGGCCACAATATAGCTCAGGCTGGTTTAAGATATATGAAGTATAGAAGTATTTCGGAAGAACAGACAAGTAGTCAATATGTCAGCTACCGCTTGGGTAGTACACATTTACCGCCATTTTGGCGGCTGTCAAGCCCCTTTCTGCTAGCCAAAGGTGTCTCCACGTGTGGAATGCACCTGCAAGGAGCTACTCGCGTCATATCAGACTGATAAGCTTGATAAGAAATACGAGTGTTTAAGATCCAGCTGGTACTTTGGGTTGTTCTAAACCAATTATATCACCACCTGGAATATCATACAACGAAAGATGGTCAAGATTTTGGTTGATGGCACAACAAAGCAAGCGGGTGATTCAAGGTCGAATTGTGCATTCTCTCGTAGGCAGCTGTTGAGCCTCCTTCGTCACTTTCAAGGCACCGACAGGGAGTTGACCTCACTAAATTTTAGCGGGGTATAGAAGCCGTGGACTTCAAGGCGCACGGTCCAGGTCCGGCACGGTCCCATTGTCACCGACGTGACTTCGAAGCTTCTGATTGCTCTTCGACACCCTCATCCTCGACCCAAACACACTCTCCCTCCTCGACTTCACCCGATCCGTCTACGCGCACCTGGTATTTCAGGAGGCCTCTGATTATATCTGATCAGTTACATCGCGGCGCCTGTTTTCATCAACCTGGAGCTGCCGCGTTTGTCCTGAGCGCACAGCGAGTCTTCCTGACCTTGGGTTCACCATCAGCATCCGAAAGCCTTGGGCAAATCCTTCTCGAGTCCCATAAGCCTGAAGCAAAGCCGGAAGTTCCATTATCTACTGGTTCGCGATTCAATAGCCACGATGAGCGATATGGCGGTGGACTCGCCTCCCCGCAAGAGACTGTCGCCGGACAGCGATGACGTTCCGGTAGCGATAAAACGGCAAAGAACAAACTCAACGCACACCGTCGCACCAATCCCAGATGTCGAGAAGACTGCGCGGAAGCCTGCTCTTCCCACCTTCAACGAGCAGTCGCGCATGGGTATACGGCGCGGCATCGTGCTGGCGCTGAACCACGTTGGATTCGATACTGCAACGGATGAGGCTCTCGAGAGCTTCACCCAGATGACGGAGACGTGTATGATTCTCTAACGAGCCTTTTCGCAGAGATAGAACTAATCGCAATGTTGACTGCAGATATCACATCTATCATGGAGAACGTCAAGGTTCTCGCCAACGCCTCCCGGCGTACACAGCCCATTCCTACCGATTTCGAGGCCACTTTACAAGCATTCAACCTCGATCAATCCCATTTGAAGCCACATACAAGACCGCCAATTCCCAAGCGAGATCTCAAGCCTGTCTATTCGACACAGTTGTTCCTTGATGGCGGAGACGTGCTCGACCTGCCATGCTTGGACGAGGAGCTGAGTGGGAAGCCGGACAAGGACGCCAAGATCTTCATACCAAAGTCATTCCCCGACTTTCCGAGTATACATACCTACAAGTACACGCCCACAGATGTCGAGTCCGTTACGGTGCACAAGAGCATCGCCGAGGAGAAGGAGGGCACGGCGAAGAAAAACATCCCCGATTGGAGAGGTGATCCAAAGAAGATCAGAGAGGCGGCCGCACGAGAGGCGAAGCAGGCAGAGGAGGCGCTTAGAGGGCTTGTCCGTGCTAGCAAAATCGCCAATCTCAAGGACCTGCGGAGCGTGGCCGAACGAAATTCGAACTCTAAGGAGAGGTACGAGCTCTGGGAGGCTGCCATGCGCGATCTCCTGGAAGAGTCAGGTGCGGTGCATGGTGCTCCCAAAGGTGCGATGGGGTCGGGTGCCGCAAGAGTCGAGATCGCAGATCATAGCATGATTGTGAACTCACAGAAGAAGTTCCACCGGAGAGAGATACCCAGGACGGCCAAGAGACTTGTTGGGAAGGGTTGAATTTGGAACCGATACGGCACGACCGCATCGCCCATGCAAGTCATTATCTCCGCCTCGCCACGTCATAATGTCTACATTATAAATACGGAACCGGTTGCAGCTTGCCAAAGGTTCTTTGCATGCCCAGGGGGTTCGGTTTAGGGAAGCGACAACACTTGCTAGTCGCGGGAAGCCGTCATTCTGCCGAGCTTTGCCCCATAGAGAGATGATAGACAGAGACAATGATGACAATGCAGGGAATAGTTGCATCCACCAGCTAGCGGCAGAAATCAAACACAGATCATGCTATACTAAATCCCGATTGAACTCATAACTGTCTCCATGATGTTACCAAGTAAAGGCCTTACTTCATTACAGGTGATGCCACAAGCTCCTGGGACCCCCTATTGTAGATAATAATGGCGGGTACCCCTAACTCCTTCCTCAGGCCTTTAAATATCATGATTGATGAGATTGTGTTCAGGGTAGAGTTTTTCCCCTGCTCATCAAGCCGGAGAAACAGGCAGCGTGGGACGCAGTCCTCAACTCGGCATAATCCTGTGCCCATGTCAAAAAAACAACAGGGTGTCTCCTCAAGTTGTCTTTCAGCTAATGACAGCAATATTCCCACTCCCCGTCCGAGTGTCTGAGCTCACTGAAACCTGACGACGTGGACCGTCCATCTGTTCGTTATGCGCTTCGACCCGGTGCGTATCACATTTCATTTTGACTTTCCTTTTCACGTCCTGTTAACCCTTCAGGTGACCCTGGTGCTGCAAGAACTCCGAGGTCTATCCCTCAAACTGATCTAGATGTTGAGATATCCTCTGTGCAGCTTGCAAAGCGCTCAACTCGGTTATATCTATCTCGAGCTCTTCTTTCATCCCAAAATGATATAGAAACACGTTCTGGCGTATAGATTCTACCAAGACGGGGTCCATAAGCTTAGTACGAGTACTTCGAGTTTCTGTCACTGCTCTCTTTAGATTCTCTTTCAAATCGCAGTTGAGCACAACCGGGATAAAGACAACGCGCCGTCGTTCTGCGGCAGCTTTGTAATCTTGAGCAGCTTCACTACCAATAGAATCCGAAAGTCGGCAGTCTGTAAAAATCCAAGTCATGCCCTTGGTAGACTCCGCAGTTGCGATGATGTCTAAGACATGGCGACGGAGGTTTGTTCGAATTGGCAGGTATTCCGGAGAGTCGCGGTCGACCAGTGCGGCCACGGGATCGATGATGAGGTGGTTGTGAAATATTTTGGCGTTGGGAATAATCCCCTGAAGTTCTTGCGCTATAGTGAGCTTGCCAACTCCAGGAAATCCGTTTATATAAATGAAAAAGGCCATGGTTGTGACTGATACTGCCGTTTTGATAATGATCAAGATTGGAACTAGATACACAAACGTCAGAAGAGAGCAGCAAACAGCGGTCCCAGCTGAGAAATCTTTGCAAAACGGTAATTGCAATACGACTTGAAGTTAGTTGTTCAAGGTTCACCATTTCAAGGACCATTTTTGGCTCCTTTATGGTTTGAAGATGACTCACGCGCCACAGTCCATTTCTGGCAGGTCATTGATATGGTCGGCGCAGAAGTCGACAATCCTTCGATCTTCTAAGCCGAGTTAACACTAGATTGCTGAATTGCTAGACACGAGGTAGACAGGTATGATGGATAGTTAGATACACTTGGGCTGTAGATGATAACGTATCATCTCTACAATACTTTATCTCGTGAAATGACTTTAGAGAGGTCATCTGAGCTGTATATGCTAGGTTTAGAGGCTATTTTGGGTGCATGGCAAGAGTAGATAGTCTCTTTGCTGGTCACCGACGTGAAGTTGACTGCTTTAATAGCTGCCACCTGGCTGCCGGTCTGCCAAAGTGGCGAGCAGGGACTCCACAGAAAGACCACTAGTAGCTCATTCTGATTGGCTCCAGCCCCTCGGTCCCAGTATTCGCCCTAATTTTTTGAGAAATTCTGTGCGGCTGCTCAAAATTCCACGGCCTGCTGGAACTGCGGAAATTCAAGCGACGACGAGGCACTTGAGCTCAACACCACCCCATTGACTCTTTCGACCGCCTCTCTACCTCCTCCCACCAGATATCTGAAGATGGCCGAGCAGCTCATCCTCAAGGGCACCCTCGAGGGCCACGTAAGTCGCCGTTCTCTGTCCACGGCAGCCCCGCGAAAACCCTTCTGGGCGATCGAGCTGAGAAATGGCATGGCCGAATGGATGCGATTGCATGGGTAGCTGACATTTGATGCTTCACAGAATGGCTGGGTTACCTCCCTGGCTACCTCCATGGAGAAGTAGGTGTCTACAAAGCTCTCACATGCGCTCCATTGACTCACATTGCGACAGCCCCAACATGCTTCTGTCCGGTTCCCGCGACAAGACCCTGATCATCTGGAACCTCACCCGCGATGAGTCTCAGTACGGTTACCCGAAGCGATCTCTCCACGGCCACTCCCACATTGTGTCCGACTGCGTACGTTTAGATGACTAGGCCTGGTGCGAGTTGACGAGGAATTTTTGTGCTGATGGATTTGGCAGGTTATCTCTTCTGATGGTGCTTACGCCCTGTCTGCCTCTTGGGACAAGACCCTTCGCCTGTGGGAGCTTGCCACTGGCACCACCACCCGCCGATTCGTCGGCCACACCAACGACGTCCTCTCCGTCTCCTTCTCCGCCGACAACAGACAGATTGTCTCCGGATCCCGCGACCGATCCATCAAGCTGTGGAACACCCTCGGCGACTGCAAGTTCACCATCACCGACAAGGGCCACACTGAGTGGGTGTCCTGCGTCCGCTTCTCCCCCAACCCCCAGAACCCCGTTATCGTCTCTGCTGGCTGGGACAAGCTGGTCAAGGTACGTTTCTATCACACTCTGCGGAGTCTCCACCCCGGGCAACGCAATATGATGCTTTTACGTATTTGCTACTTCAGAGCTTGTTCTGCAAGCAATGAGACAATTCTTTACACTTTACACTGATCCTGTATCCTGCTCCGAGCTCTTCGATCCTCTGCCTGCTTTTCTGGGATATGCGCGCTGATAGTGTTTAATAGGTTTGGGAGCTCTCCACCTGCAAGCTGCAGACCGACCACATTGGCCACACCGGCTACATCAACACCGTCACCATCTCTCCCGATGGCTCTCTGTGCGCTTCCGGTGGCAAGGACGGTACCACTATGCTGTGGGATCTCAACGAGTCCAAGCACCTGTACTCCCTGAACGCCAACGACGAGATCCACGCCCTTGTCTTCTCCCCCAACCGGTACTGGCTGTGCGCTGCTACTGCTTCCAGCATCATCATCTTCGATCTTGAGAAGAAGAGCAAGGTCGACGAGCTCAAGCCCGAGTTCCCGGCTGTTGGCAAGAAGAGCCGCGACCCCGAGTGCGTGTCGCTGGCGTGGAGCGCGGATGGTCAGACCCTGTTCGCTGGCTACACCGACAACATCATCCGAGCGTGGGGCGTCATGTCAAGAGCATAAAGGGGCTTTTTTGACGACGGTGTGCTGCTGCTGCGGGGGGTGGAGTGAAAATCAAAGTCGGAGAAGACGGTGGTCTGGGAAGACTGACGGTTCCATGGTCGTGGGCGTACAAGGACTGCTTGACTCGTTTTGGTCTTTCATGGAAACCAGGGCAAGATGCCAACTTCGTTCCGTCATGGGAGCTCTGCACAAAAAAGCATTGGTTGCATTGCTGGCTGGCTGAATGGTCGAGAAAGGTACACTGCTGAAACCAAATTTCAAAAAAGATTTGGCCATTAATGGTGATCCGTAAAAGAACTACAATGTGTCCTTTGCCTTGTGACTCGTATAATGTGTTAATGCTCTCTACAGTCCAGTAGTGTCCATTGTGTATATTTGATCTATTTGCTATAACTAGGTGTGGTCTCGCAAGCTGGCAGCAGTCTATGTGTCAGTGTACCAGCGATGTGCTTGGTGACACTTGGATTTATCTACTGACGTTGTTTACCCCTGGAATAATGCCTACATTCGTCACTATACCTATATATAATTCAGGATGTAGATTACCTAGTTGCCAGATATGTAGAGACAAAGAGGAAAATACGTCCCAATGATATAGGAGGGAGAATGCCCAGGCCCTGAGTATCGCGTCTCAACCATATTGCATCAAAACGCCAGCGGTAAGAGCGGTGGGCTTATTCGGAATAACGATATCAATTACTACTAAGCAAAGATCGAATTTACAGAGCTTTACCTAAACAAGGAGATATTACACCCAATAAGGTTCAAACAAGAGTAAGGCCTCCAAATCAGACAAGCCAAGGGATAGACTCGGTCACAAACGAGCGTCCGCAGTTATGAGTCAATTAAGAAAGCTTCCATTTTGATTCAGCTATATGATGTGTACTGCGATACAATGAGTAATACGATCAACCCTTTGTTGTTTCGCTAGAAGTAGAGTGAAACGATTGTTTGAGCTCCATGAATAAATAAACTCTCTCAATCTGTCACTATATGTTTAACTGCTTATGCCTCCAGTCCGTGTCGAGAGATATTCTCATACTGGATGTCCAGTTGATATCCGAAACGCTTTCTGTAAATAGTTTTATCTCTTTCCCTCAGATTAGTGAAATCAGTAAACTCAAACAGTCTCCCTACTCTCTTTCTTTGAATCCGATATGTCTTGTGTGGCATTTATCAAGCTCAAGTGCGAATGTCTTCAGGCTTTCGTCCCAGGAGTGCTGCAAAGGTGTCAAGGTCCCACGTCCTCTTCAGAACCCTTTGTGTTGCGGGACAACTGCTGTCCTTCACCCATATTCCAGTGTATTTTTCCCAAGCGTCTGCGTCTTCCTTAGTCTCGAACGAGCACGTGTAATATTCATTCTCTGATCTCGGGAAGCCTGCTGGTTCGCGGCCCTCGATTTTCACGATGGTTTGCACCTCGCTCCAATCATGGAAATGTGCGGTCTCGTAATTGGGGTATTCCTCAGCTTTGTCGCTCAGGAACTGGTAATAAGCTTTGGCATCAAGAGGGTCAATGAAGACAGCACTCAGCAAGAGGTTTATTTTTTCACTGCCGTCTTCATTTCTCTGCGGCTCGCCACGGCCGGGGGCCTTGATAGCAATACTGACTTTGGGACGATTCTGTGACATGGTTGCTGTTTGTGACGAGAACAAATCTTGCAGAACAGTTTGCTCTGTAAGTTCAAGCCGGCACTTAGGCAACTACTAGGACTTCAACATGGACTTGGCGGGGCAATGCCGCGATATGCAGCTGAATCAATATTTGAGCTTGAGCAACGAATCATGATGTGCTGGACGAATGCCACACTCCGCATACAGTCCAATCGAGATTGCGGATGCTGTAAGAAAATGGAATAGTTTGAAAAGCTCGTGTTCATGGAGTCATGGCAGTGCCCCATGTCCAAGATAATTGAAGAAGTGACTACTCTGAAGTGCAAGCTTTTTTTTTTATGCAACTAGGAGGACTTCAACACGGGCTTGGCCGGGTAAGATGCGGCTGAGCTCTACACTAACTCGAGCAACAAATCATGTTGTACTGAAACTGCTATGTCATGTATCATTAAGCTCTGAGTCAGACATTTAGGTGCACGTGTACAAAGAGACAACTGAGGAAAAGCCATATCCGTAGACATAGGAAGCTACATGCTTTCCGCTTGCAGACTTCGTAAATTGCGAAGTTGATAAGCTGGCTGACTATTATAACGAGATCGTGCATGTGAGTACCTCTTCAACGTTGATCATTCTCAAGAGAAATTGAGTATTTGTAGGACGTTGGATATTGAATGAGATAGATCCAGAACTTGCAGGACTGTTCACATGATATAAGCTGCCCTGTCTTTATACTTGAATCTCTTCCGCTCTGCTTCACCACAGACCCAACAACATTGAGGACCGAGGACAACCGTCAAGTCTCCTCGAGAGACGCTGAGAACACTCGCTGCCCGCTGCATGAAAGCTGACGAATCAGAAACTATAAACACCAAATGTCAGACACATTTGTATTGAGCAATAATCCATTCTGAGTTATTTATATCCATCGTTGGAATTGACCTCTTTGAAACGACGTGCTCGTTGAACATCAGCCATTATAGGCCTTGACAAAAACAACAAGCTCAACGATCAACTACCTAGATAGCAAGGAATAGACAGTAACAGATTACTAAAGTTGTCGAAGATGGCCAAGCACTCTGATGTAATTTCAGTTTGCCATGTACCGCTGGATAGCACTGAACTCATGGATAACAGCATGGTTTGAGGTAATATGCGCTTTCAGAAACCAAATCGTGATCGCTGAAGTCTAGATACCATCTGGCGGCCCTCGTTAGTATGACTCGAAATCACGACAGCGCAGCTTTATGGCTGAGAAAGATATCACAATACGTTATGGTTTGCGGGGTCTCTATATCATAGCTTTAAGGATAGCGACTATTATTGAGGCGCAACGCCATTCGCTTCGTAGCCGCATGGCTCAGTGGCCCTGCAGGCCTAACCAGATTGTGCCTGTACTTGAGAGTCCTCGTGGCTTGCATGCAGCAATGACAAAGTCTTATGACTTGCTTATGAGAGTTGTCGCGACGCATTGGCTTTCACCTTATCCAAGAGATTGATTGCCGCTAGGTGTCTAGTTATGTGAGCATGGATCCTGCACTCTCTTGTGACAGCTCCCGCCTTATCATCTATGTTGAAGTGATATTCGCCTCCTGTATTGAAAAATTGTCTTCCTTTCACACGATTAGCGCCGGTGGGCTTTGGTTGGACCTCATACGACACACTGACAGATTTCTATGCTATAACTTCAACATCTAGATGCAATGACATTGGCACACAAGCATTGGCTGCTTGATTCCTTCACGAAATCTTTGGGAACACTCTAGCAGGCTTTAAGGATGTAAGCTGCATGTAGCAATATTATTTTGGCGGCTTCCCTCAAATTAGAACACTTCCTTTTTCTACACGCGCTTCTGCTGCAAGCTGAATCTACCGAGTAGATGCGCGCCCACCTTCTGCAGGTGAACAAAGGAAGCATTCCTTTTTCATGATCCGTGCCACGCTAGAATCTGTACTAAAGCTCGCGTGGAAGATCGGCGTCTGCAGAAAATTTGAGCTGTCATCAGAGTGGTGAAGGGGCGGCAAAATGCGTGAAGACGCGAAGAATGTAAACTACGGGGGAGTCAAGAACGTAGAGTGGCCTACGCCGCATGCCATTATCAGACTTCATGATAGAAAGATGGCCCCGCCTCGATCCAAGGCCAAATCTGAAGAGCTTCTGTCTTCAAATCTGAGATACTGCAGTTTATTTTGGTGGGAGTAGAATCGGTGTGAGTAGAATCAGTGTGAGGATCATGAAGTCGGGACGTGCCTCAACGTGCAGCCGGACCTCGTGGTAGGGCAGCGAGCTATGAGACATATCGGACTGTTAAAATCAAAAAGCTGTTGGTCTGGCTCGAGGCAGCCTGGCTAATAAGACGCGAGATAATTAATCCTGCTCTTGACACGCGCCCTGGTTCTCGGGATGTGGTGCGGCTCTGTCCATCTTCGATCGGCAGGGGTTTGTGTGGTGGTGATGCTTTAAATGCAATTTCCCGGCGCGCAACTGTTGCGGGGTGGCGCAGCTGACGAGCGCGTCTGGGAGACCTCCAAAATCTAGAATCCAGGGACGGCCTGCAAGGACGATCATTATGAATCTTTGGTGGTTCGATTTGCACGATCGGTTGATCCGGCCAGCGGCAACTATGGCTTAAGTGCCTGCATATATTCCAGACTAACGAAGGAAGCGGCACAAGTTTGAAGGCATTTCAATAATGAAGCCTGGCTGCAGGTGATATCAAATAGTGGATTAGGTGATGCCCACTCCTAATCCTATAACATAAAATATGGCAGAGAGACAGCCTGCACGGTACAAACAACTGGCAATGCGAAATAATTCAGAAAGGAGTCTGAGGTAGTGTTGGGTCTGCATACTTCGGCTTCCTTCATCAAGTGCTCAGCAAGCTATATCGCGAACATTGCCCAGATGGGAAATTCCATAGCTGTTTCAACTGACGGGCGTCGTTATTTTATCAGAAACGGTGGCTAGCAATGCCGATGATCTCACACTCAGCCTTGGATCACAATCAAGTGGGAGGCGTCTTCCCGGCGGAGAAGCCAGGGATTGGGCAATTGGACCTGAAGAGGAACGTGACAGAGACCTGGATGACGAGGATGGTGGTCGAGGTGGATGTCGATGGCAAACGCTTACCTGACATTGGATGGCTGTGATTGATGGACCTAAGAGCCTTCATGTGTCTGAAACACCCGCTGGCAGTGGGGATCAATTTTATGCTGCTTGTCACGAGGATAGTTATCGATAGGCCGGCCATTAAATCGACGTCGATTGCGTGTGTTCCTGACTGATGTGCCGGAAGCAGTGCAGGGATTGGAAATGGAGGACCAAGGAATTTTACGCCATCTCGTCAGTGTGGTGACCGATTTTATCAGGTTACTATGGTGAGGCATAAGTTGGCGGACGCCATCATTTCTCAGTCTACTGTGGTAGGATAATGGACGCAACGGGCGTGGCGTGTGAGCAGGAATGCTGCTAATCCCGTGCCAGATTTGTAGTGCAGCGACTATATTTGATGCAGAGGCAACGACCTCTATTTGACATGATGTCTACACGGGCTCTTCGCATTACGTCGTCTGCACGATCGCACAGACGATGCCTTCCCATTTTCGGTCTTTTCGGAAGACCAAAGGGTTGCAATGCTACTGCGAGCAAGCTTCCGCCTGGTAGCGCAGGCAAGCGATGCCCCTGACAAGCCCCTGACAAGACCCTGAAGCATGGGACAGTTGTATTGAGGGGTAAGCTACCGGGTGTACCTGACCGACAAAAATAGGCCTCTCGGATTCGTGGATAGTTGGTGGCTTAGCGGTTTCGACCCCAGTGCCGATCTCCTTTCTCATGCTTCAGACCAGGTCGTCTGGAAGGTGAAAAAGAAAATCGCTGGAGCCTGTGGCTGCAGAAGATCCTCCCGACTTATGCGGCCGTCCATCCATAATGACTAAATAGTCGTACAATAGCTGTTGTGCCCAAATCCATCTCCGCTGAAGCTGCTGCTCTGAATGGGTGCCGGTGAGCAAGCCGTCTCAATTTTCAGATCCCGGAAAAGGGGCATTTATTCTTAACCCACTTTAACGCAGTAGGTAAGCTTGCGGCTGTCCCGTTGAGAACCCGTCGAACCGAGAGTCTAAAAGGAATCTGGCGAAGATACGCGCGAAATGGGCACGATGAATTGCAGCAGCACCGCCCGATGAGCACCTCGGGTGCAAGTCCTGGGCGTCTTATGCTGCATTGAATGGCGTCGTAATGGGATGAGAAAGCCACAAGGTGCTCCCCTTGTCGGGCACTCATCCCCTGTAGATGCAGCGCAGTGTTCTGTGCCGTAACGTTAATGTTGGACGGCGTGATGCTGCGAGAAAAGTGTCAAGGTGCAGCCAGCCCATTTGACATGGCAAAGGTTACTCGCCAGCGGCACGAGCCATTCCCATCGCGGCGAGGCGGACGTTTTAGAATCGACGACACTTGCATGGGGGGCCCTGGCATTTGAGATGGTCCCCTCAATGTCTCCCGACCTGCCCTCCCGCTGTACCTGAGAGGTGTTGTGAATTTACCAGCATTCCATGTCCACACGCGCCTGGCCTTCCGACAACATGCCTGTCCTGGCTGCGCTGGGCTTGGTGCCGGTGTCCTTCCACGATCCGATTGATCATAGCTGAATGTGGATCGGGTAAGGTGATGGAAGGTAAGTAGGTCGGTGGTTGCAAATTGAGGTGTTTGGTGGTACTGTGGTGTGTCGTCGTCCTCGTTTAACACCTCTGGCATCCTTCCGCAAACAGCTGAAGAACCTCTCTCCTTCTCTCCTTCCCTTACCCTCCTCCACTTCTCTCGTTCCCCAACTTAGTAGTTGCCTTACTTGGTCCGTTATCGACGACTTCCTGTTCTGGTCTCGGCCGTCCATTCTTTCCCTCTCTTTCTCGCTTTAATACTACCTTACCATACCTCACTCACGCTCGCTCCTTCGCTTTCTGTTTCTGTGGTCTGATCGAACTTTCTTCCTCGATCACCAGTCATCAATCAACAAGTGGGTTCCGCTTTTGGACCTCATTCCTTTTCAACTTCAAAACTCAGTATCACCATCAGCGCCTTCACGGTTGAGCTGGACATCCCCCCTGAGCCAGGGCAGAGTGCGGTCTTCTATTCAAAAATCTTCACTTCACCTCACGTCGCCACCACAGTGGTCTGTGTTACGTTCACATAGCAAATCCGAAGCGTCAATCTCGTCCTTGTCTGGAGACAGTACTTGAGCCAGAGGATTATGACTCTGATTGGCATACACTGACATAGATTGGTCGTCGTCCCACGATACAATCTTGCTGAGACAACATACATCAACATTCAAAGTCGCAAAGCCCACCTCTCCTATCGTTTAGCCCTCGGGATTGGTTTCACGAAAACCGAGAACACCACCTTTACAACTTCGAACCAAATTCATAATGTATTCCTCGCCGATGAGGTATATTGCTCTTCTCTCCCTAGCAGCTACGCAGCTCGCTAGCGCAGATTTGTTCTCAGACCTGCCTGTATGCGCGGTAAGTCAAGTGTACCCTCAAGTTTCGGTAGTGGATGCCAGTTGCCCTATGATGCTCAGTTGGTCTGATTCCTTTTACCTCCTCGTGGAGTATGCGGAACGAGATCATCTGCGCGGCTGGCGCCATATGATGTTTACCGACTTTGTGCCTCCGAAAACACGACTAATTTGACCATTTGTTCATCAGCAAACATGTATCAATGACATTCGAGGATCAGGGCTTTCGGATGGCGCATGTACACCTGCAACAGACTCTTGCCTCTGCTCCAATGCCAATTTCCAGTTCGCTATTCATGACTGTGTCGTAGGAGCTTGTGGTGCCGATGGAGAAACCATGGCCACATCTGCTTCGGCCGCTGCCAGCTCCATCTGTGCAAGTAAGTCATCTTAGAGCTGCCCCTTTGACGAGCATGGGCACCACCCTACCGACAAGAAAGTTTCTAACATCAATGACAGCTGCCGTGCCGACAGCTGCCCAAACTGGAGCTGCAAGTGCTCAGCCCACAACGGCAGAGACTCCTGAGCCGACCACAACACCAGCCCCAGCTACCACCGCACAACCAACCGCAGAGAATACCGAAACGCCAGTGACTACCACAACCTCGACGCCAGAGGAGACTCCAACCCCAACACCAACCCCGACACCTACTGAAGCCTCCACCAGCGTAAGTTGATACAGCCAAGGACCATAGGGACCGATCCGTTTTGCTAACCCAATTCATAGACCCCTTCCACCACTGCAGCTGCTGAGAGCACCGAAGCCTCATCCTCTACTTCTGCAAGCAGGACTTCATCTGCAACTGCTTCCGCGACGACGAGTGCGGCAGCATCAACTGAAACCCCTGCTGCCGGACTTGCTACCACCGCCAAAATCGGCATTGGTATTGGCATTGCTGTTGTTGGGGTCGCCGCCATTGCTCTTGCTGTCTGCCTTTGCATGCGGAAGAGGCGGCGCAACTCTACCGGTGGTGGAAGCGGACCAAGCCGCTCCCGATCATTGTTTATCTCCGATCCAATGCCTGGGTCTGGGAGGGCGTATGCCAACGATCACCATCATGCGCAGTATTCACCCAAGGATGGCTCGGCCGTTTCGGAGTTGGAGATGAAGTCAAGACGTTATGAAGACATGCTGCCAAGGCAAAAGCCGAGGTACATGGTTTGAGCGTGGAAGGAAGCGTGCTGAGTATGTGAAAGAACGGAAAGGTCTGGGATGTGTGACTCTGGCAGCCGACTCAACTGGCTCGAGGTCACGCATGCAACAGCAGCAAATTCATCTCATTGTGGGGATCATTGCTGAGATCGGGTTGTTGTCATCTTGATGATGCTGTCTACACGACTTAATGAACATATTGCTGTTTGGGCAGGAATTTGGTCCTATTGTGAGATGAGAAGAGTATCTCCTGAGTGGGTTGTTGAAGCGAGCTACCTGTCAACATTAGCATAGGCTACTACCGTGTCTCTTGAAGATTGCGACGTCAAGCCGTGATGTAGAGGAGCTTGATTCATATGCAATTGCTGCACCAAAGCAGCTATATCAGTATTTTTACAGGCTCTTGATGCTACAAAGTGATACATTGGTCTTGACGTGACCGATTCCTGGTTGTCGCTTTCTGAACACCACCGAAGAGAATCTCCCGCTCTTCAACCGCTTAGATTTCATTGTGTTCATCACCAGCTATAATGTTGTCTTTGTGCTGTGACTGGTCGATCTGGGAGATGAATCCACGGTCCTTGTCTGTACTCCTTGGCTTTTCGATCATTGAATTCCCGTATCCGTGTCTTTTCCTCCTTCAAGCGGATCCATATTCCTGTGAAAAAATCAGTCCTTGAGCTGCATCGGAGGTCGATAAGGTGTGAGATAAGGAAACAACTCACTTGTTGAGGGCTTCTTCTTGATGAACATCCTTCCTCTAGCCCTGTAATCCGGCCGCATACCTCGCCACGGCCCTTTGCCGACCCAGGCCTCAGCGATATACAGACGTGTCGGGTCGTCCACGTTTAGCCACTTGCCCTCCTTGGTCTGCAAAGTGACCTCCTGGCCGGGCTTGAGAACCTCCCCGTTAACCTGGCCCAGTCCCATACCACGTTCAGCGACAGCGACGGCCTTGGCTTCCTCCAAAGAAAACCTAACTTCGCGAGCCATCTTCTTCTTGCTGAATTGCATTTGCTGCAAGGCATCCTCGACGGTCTTGCCGTGGATTTGATGTGCTAAATGTACCAGCTTCTTCGTAGATGTGGGCAGATACATGGAGGAGCTGAGGGAGGCGCGTTCCGTCCGCGCAATGCGTTCAGCCTTGGTCTCCTTGCCAAAGGGAGAGAGGCAACGGGACGCGTGTCGAATCACCATCTTGCGCTCCCACCGCACTCGAGACCGCGCATCCGGGTCCACGGCTTGTTGCATATGCTCGCGCATCTTTGATATTCCGAGATCGTCCGTCGATGACGGTGTCGCCGTCCTCTTGGCATCTGAAGCAGGCTGCGCACCTGAGGGTGTCTTCCTCCCTTTTACGGCTTCGAGCTCGTCGGCGAAGATCGAGGCAGACTCCATTCGGCCGGACGTCATGCGCTCGCGCAGTGCTGTCCGCACATCTCGGTCCTTGGTGTCACCCCATACTGTAGTCGTTCCGGATTGATTCTTCTTTTTCTCGTCCTTCTTGCGGCTAAAGAAGCTGCCAAAGCTGATTGCACGGGTCTGCGCATCGTGCGTGGGAAGGACAAGGGTCGGCCGGAGGGCTTTGAGAATTGTGGGAGCTGCTGCAAGTTAGTCTGCGTTTCAATTGCAAAGATTTTGTTGTATGTACCAGTCCCAAGGACCCTCCTCGACGGTAAATGGAGGCTCATTGTCTCTGTGGCGAGTGCATTGGCTCTCGATGCTGAGCTTCCACTTCAACCTTCAGGAGCTCTGGCATCTAAAAAATGTTCGGACGTAGCAGTGACTTTGGAGCTTACCTAAGGCGCGCATTTGGTTGGCTGGAACACGTGACTTTTGCCGAATTAGCGTGGGTCAAACATCAGGTCATGTCTGAAGCTTCGTTTTCGTGAACCCGTCAAACCATCACTCCCTCCCCCCGACCCTCCGCATAAACTAGCACAGCACTTCCCAAGCTTCGCAAACCCTCAAATCATTCGCAATGGCCGTCAAACCTATCACCGGCGTAAGTCTTATCCTGCAGCAAGGGGTTGACATGATTCAATGGCTTGGCTTCTACCGACTCAACTACTAGTCCGACGATTGGTAGCTTAAGTACACGAGAGAGCTGATTCATGTGATAACAGATGCTGCGCCGAAACCTCATCCTTGATCTGGGTATCGCTCTGGGTGAGTTTCTCGCTGCCCCTCAGAGCTTCTCTATGGCTTCGTTCGTGTCAATTGATTGACACGGGCGACGCTTCACGAGCTCTTTGATTCTGTTGCCTGCGACGTCAAAGCTAATTTGTTTAGGTCTCGGATTCGCCATGGGCAACCTTTACTGGTATGGAGACTCGACAAGCTCATAGCCGTCCGCAAGGTTGTGCAATCGATTTTCTAACTCGATACAGGTACGGCTACCACATGCCGCGCACCCACGCCCGTGACAACTTCTATAAGAAGCTCGAGGACGAGAGAGCCGCGAAGCAAGGGGCTTAATTTTTGAGCGAAGGAATGGCTTGAATCAAGTGTATATATCCATATATCCATGGAGGAGAAGAAGACTCGGCGCCTCTGCTATAGAGAAGGTGGCCGCATCGGTGTTGTCTTGATAGGGATAGACGAAGAAAGCAATCGAGTCAAAAGGCTCTCGGGCCGCCCATCACTGTCTACCTGTTCACAGATGGAAAATGCAGAGATGATATGTTCGATGTCCTCGCCATCGAAATCGACTTGCGAGTCTACTCATGGATGATATGTTATTGTACAAATGGCACATCGACGAGGGACTTCTTGCCATCTTCAAGCTGCCGGACCATTCTAATGTTGAGTTGCTGCCAACATGCCTAGCTCGGTCATATTCGCATGTCTGAATTACTTGAGACTGCAGAGACGCTGCCATGCTGTGCTATTGACAATGTATTTGATTCTGATGATGAAAGCGCCTCCTGGTCGACAGTGTATTCCTTTTCGTCGCGCCCTCAACCCTGTAATGAGCAAGCAACAAAATAATCGAGCTTGTTTCTCTGAGTTACTGCCATCTTCTATTCCTAATCCTTCGCATATGAATATGCGTAATTCTGTCGTTGGCCGGGCACTCGGTGACAGCATCTGTGTGATGTGTTGGTCAAGGTGGTGACATCACAGGCCGATCGTGAGCTGCGACGGAGATTTGAGGCTACTGAGTTGCACACAAGGAAGCACATTCCGTCTAAACTAGACGTCACCAATCAGGCAGGAAGAAGCGATGGAGGAGACCGCCCATATTCATCCAGGGAATCATCGCGGAAGGTTGTAGGATTGCGGCGCAGGGAATGCATCGCAAGAATTGGCCGCAGAGGCTGTATTGGAGATTATGACAATTTATTCGCATCATGCCAGTGGCTTGTCAAACCAGTGCCATATGAGCCGCTCGTATCTGACGTCTCCCGTGTTGTGGCAGGAGCGGTCTGAAGACCTTCCCAGGCGGTGGTCTCGACCGTGAACGGTCCCTTCTTGTCCTGACACCTGGCGGAAATGTTAGCTTTCTGACCTTTCACCTAAATCCATCAATCCGACTCTCTGCCCATCATGACCAGAAATGTGTAAACCGCTTCGTGTTTGCTGACGATAAAGAGCTGCGCTAAGGGCATCTCACCTCCTGAACCACCGCTGTACGGGCCAGCACTTGACCAGAGAATCCCGGCGCTCCGGATGGTCCACGCTGCAGCTGTACTGCACCAAGCCTAGCAGTTCGCAAGCGCTGAGATCGATAGTCTTGCCGTCGTCTGTCTTACGTTTCCTCCCACTCGCATCTGACTGAATCTGAAGAGGTAATTGCGACGCGTGGAAGCTGGCGCAGGGCGGCGACATTTTCGTGCTTCAGATGATTTTTCAGGTTGTCGACTGAAAGAGTGATGGCTGAGGCTGCTGTCGGCAGGAGAGTCTTGGCTGAGATCGAGGAGACAAGTTTGGATCAGGTACGATTATATTTCATTCTTGACATGTTATTTTTGATGCCTGCTCAAGAATGAGAGCTCTCTTTGGCACTTCACCTGGTTACGTAGTCGGCTTGAGGTTGAAGAATTCACGTCACGATCGCAGGAGAAGCACCAAAACCTTATCGCCGATAAGCGACCACTACTGATCTCCAACTTAGATCCTCACGACTCTCCGCACAAGTCTTAATCCAACGACACTTTTTTCAAACACTGCAGAACAAATTTCTACTTCGATCGTTTCAAATGGAAAACCCAGAAAATTTCCCATTCCTGAGCTGGATGACCTCGTGGCACGTCACTTCCGAGCAACTCAGACGACTCCGCTGGTCATTTCGGGCAGGCACATGCCCTTGATATATCTCCTTATTGCAACACTTATAGCAGCCCCGCACAACAAAGCTGTTGTTGTGGTCGATGTTGATGGCAAGTTTGATGTTACGCGAGTTCTTCATTGCACACCGCATGTCACAGCTCAAGAAACAGTTGTTGCCATCACAACTGACGAGTCGACGCGGGATGGAAGCAGGGCAAATTCACCAAGCCATCCCAATCGACCTAAAGTCATGGTGCAGGATACGAAGCATATTCACGTCTACCGTCCTGCGCGCGGCTCACTGTCTCACGTTCGAGAGACTGTTACCTCAGCCGAGCAGCATATGATCTACGGAAGACATAACAGCACCACTCGTGAGTGGTGGGGAACGGTGGTGATAGGCGGTGCCAGCCCGGTACTCCTGAATCCGGTACTCGGGCCAGTTGCCGGCTCGGGTACCGTAGATGTTACCACAGGATGGAAGGGATGGCTCCGCGTCGATCGAGAGGAGGTGAGCGGCTTCGGCGTCGGCATGAGTGCTCAGGAGGCACTGTCCGACCGGGAACGGCGCCACGCTGCAGTGCAAGAAGCTGGTTGGAGGGCAGGCTGTGTGTGGGGTGCCTTCTCTTTTCAGGAGGCAGAAAAGGGAGGCCTCGCAGCCGCAAAAGGCGGTGGCACTTGAGTTTGGTGGGGGCTTTGTGGAACACTGAAATAGGCGAACGCATTTCGTACATGGTGTTTTGTGGAAATCGTGTTTCGAAGTCGAGCCAAGGGGTTCTGGGGTATCGTGGAGGTTAACATTGGTTCGTGGCCAGAGGCAGTCTAGTGGGCCGTCAGGAAAAACAAATGTGAGATCTGACCCAACGCCGTGAGGGCGGGCTTGGTTATCACTGATGGACAAACGGGCAGGGTTGCCGATCGAGGTTTCTAAATGCGAATAGAGGGAGACTTCAAGGTCGATCACTGCTGACCAACAGCCACCGGCTTGTCGCAACTCTCTGACCGCTTTATCTGCCGATATTCGACTCGACAAGCCAAAATGATGATATGCAACCAGCTTCAGCCAACTTCTTGATTGATGCCCGTCAGGCTTCATCAAGACGCTGCTTTAACGAAACAGTGGCTTTTGAAGTTCGAAGGCATTTCATCACCATGCAGTCCCTGCATTGCATAGCCTGCGCGCGATCATAGCGATATGGGCCTGAACGCACCTGGGCGGGCCGATTGCGGGTCCTTCGCTATCGAAAACCACAACGTCGTCATATCTCACGCCAGTCTTGACAAGCATGGCTGCAGAACGAGGTTAATTTCCCATGACCGGCGAGATACTGCGATAGGGAGCACAAAGACCGTAGGTAGCGGGATATCGGCAAGTTATCAGACGATGAATTCGGGGGTTCCGCGTATCTATGGGATTTAATACGGCAAGTGTCCAGAAAGCAAGCGAGAAGCCATGCCAGATCACCAGTAACCGTTGCAATTCAAAGAGAGCCCGTCTATAAGCCGAGACAACCATTAGGATGTTGCAAGACGAGTTACCAGAGGATCATTTCCAACACCACTCCTCATGCTTCAGGCATAATCAGATGCATGTACCATAATGGCACATGTAGCATTGCTGACGCGACCTTGATCGCCTGTTAATCTCTCGGGAAATGCGCTTGCACATGTCAACAGAGCAGCTTGAATAAGACGGAAAACATCAAGCAAGGCGTGTCGAACGGTTATGACGGTACTCTCTCATAATGATGGATGAATTATGTGCGACTGAAGTGGATTTGTTTACCTGTGGCCTGCAACAGCGACCCAAAGATAACCAATTGCAGCGGGGGATCAACACCCCCTTTCCACACCATACAGTTCCCTACTTGCAGATTCACATGCAGCTTGAGAGCAGTAAGAGTAAAGAACGCATCCAAGACCCACATGGCAGCAGTGCCTCAATAGGCTGCAAGAATCCTGCTAGCTTGTCTCTGTAGACTGTCGACTTAGCACATCAACGATTGCTCGGTCTCACGGAGACGTACAGTAGACGCGTACATTCGTCGACGGTGTGTTTCGGTTGGAAATGGAGAAGGGGAAACCCCAACATTGAACGCTCTCAGATGGTCGAGGGGCAAAGCGGCGATCTTGGTGGGATGTTGAGCCGCGTAGATTCTCCGGCCTGGCGGTAAGGCGCGCCTGGGCGTGCTGGCGTGGTATGACAGGCGGCGCTGCGGCGAGTCTCAGGGTGGCCATGGTCATGGTCAGGGACCAGAGGAAATGCCGGGCCACACCACACACCATGCCGACCTCAGAAACACTGCACAGACATGCCAAAATCCGCCGAATCGGCAAGGACGGCTGGAGACGGCCGGCTGCGCTGCGCTGCACACACGCAGGTTTGACACGGAGCACGCAGGAGTGCGGCGTTTACACCCTGGAACAACGGTATCCACGCCGGACTCCCGCTTGACGTCATGGTGATCGGCGGCGCATCCGCGAAGGTTCTTGGCGGCCACCCACGTCGCAGCATGCCACAAGTTCTGTGGATTGCTATTTGCAGCGGCCTCGTAGTCCTAAAGGGGAAAGGGGGCATCGCGGGCTTGCTGGTACGTTGCACACGCACGCAGATCTCGCCAACTGTTGAGTCGAGATATCCAATCCCCTGCGAGATACGGCACAGGTGTGGTGCCCTGGCTCGCCTGGCTCCAGTAGTTGTCGACGGGTTCCTGGATCATTATTTTCGGTGTAATTCTGCAAGATAGACACTGTATCGTTCTTACTCGCCATACACCACCCGCGCGACTCGAGAATTGACCGGCCAAGGTCGCTTGGTGACGCCACCTCGCACAAGCACTGGATCATCGCCACGCTCTGCCTCTTTGAGTTGATAGATGAACGAGTTTTCCCGGCTGCATCCACCCTTGCCTGGCCACAGCCTTCCCTACTTGGTTCTAGCACCGGCTTGACTCAGATTAAGACCCTGAAAAAAGTCAGCCGCATAATCCAAGTACCCTGCCGAGCTTATATGGATCCCTGTGCAGACTGGCTGGCTGGCTGCCGCCGGTGAGAGAGATTAGAACAATGACGAGACGTGAATGGATGGTCTGTTTACGGGAGGTTAAGGCAGTTGTTTGGCATTTGCATCATCCTGCTTATTCGAGCGTCTCCACCATACTCCGCCGTACCCTGACTCCATCTGGATCCCAAGTGAAAACTCGTTCATGATGGCGGTTCCACTGTTTCCACATGGCATCACCATTCACAACACTATGGCGACGTATCTCAGCCCAGGAGGCAATCTACCATAACAAATGTCCGCCCGTTCCCCAGACACACCCGCTTCAATCTGGAGTCCAACGGGGTATAAATACGGGCCTGCTCCCCTTCTTCTAATGAGCTAAACTCTTCTAATCACCAGCCGTCTGTTGAAAAGTAGGAGAAACTGGTCCGAAGACCTACTTTCTTTCTTTCATTCGAGTCATTTTGTCTATCTCACCGGAGCTACGTCCGAAAAATAACAGCACAGAGCCCACGATGTCCCGACTTCAGAGACCCGCAGGCCCTTGCCGGACCGTGTCCGCTAGCAGTTTCGCAGAGACCTTTGACATTGCTCGAAGGAATCTCGAGGACAAGATTTCTCATGAACAGCCGGCTTCCCCAGACATTCTCTCCGACTCAGAGCCGGCCTCACCGGCGTCTTTGGCTACGCCGCAGGCGGGAACCCCGGCGAGCCTTGCGACTCCCTTGACCGACCCGGTCACTCCTTTCAATGCCGATGAGGAGGTTGCCGACAACTTCGCCTTCGCCTTCGACATTGATGGCGTTCTGGTTCGGGGTGGCAGTCCCATCCCTGAGGCCATCGAGGCCATGAAGATGCTGAACGGTGAGAATGAGTACGGCATCAGAGTGTAAGTTTCAAATCAGATCGTCTCGAATATTGTTCGATACTAATATGTTTCTTGTTAGACCATACATCTTCCTCACCAACGGCGGCGGTAAGACTGAGGCCGAGCGTTGTGTTGATCTCTCACGACAGCTGGAACTTGAAGTGAGCCCCGGTCAATTCATCTGTGGTCACACTCCCATGAGGGAGCTTGCCCAGAAGTACCGTGGTGCTGTTCTGGTTGTTGGTGGCGAGGGTGAGAAGTGCCGTACAGTCGCTGAGGGTTATGGCTTCCGCGACGTTATCACACCTGGTGATATCATCAAGGCCAACTCAGCCGTCGCTCCTTTTCGGAAATTGACAGACCTTGAGCACGCCAACTCTCGAGATCTCCTCGAGCGTGGCGACCTTAAGGACATTGTCATCGAAGCTGTCTTTGTCTTCGCTGACAGCCGTGACTGGGCATCTGATCTGCAGATCATTCTAGACATTGCTATGTCTAAGGGTGGCCGGCTCGAGACCCGATCTGAGACCTTCGATGAGGGCCCGCCAATCTATTTCTCTCATAACGATATCGTCTGGTCTGCTGCACATGAGCACGTCCGTCTTGGAATGGGTGCTCTACGCAAGATCGTCGAGACTGTCTTCTCCGATGTCACCGGAGGCAAGAAACTAAAGACTCATGCCTTCGGCAAGCCACAGGTCAGCACTTTCGAGTTTGCAACTCGCCTGCTGCAACAGTGGCGCGCCACTCAGCATGGTCTTGTCGACTCCAAGCCGCCAGAGACTGTCTACTTTGTGGGTGATACCCCTGAGTCTGACGTACGCGGTACCAACGCCATGGACGCCAAGTCCGACAACACCTGGTACTCCATCCTCGTGAAGACTGGTGTGTACCAGGACGGCACTGAACCGGCATACAAGCCACGTGCCACCGTGGAGACCGTGCTGGATGCTGTCCGTCATGGCATCGACCGCGAGATGCATGCTCGCAGGGTGAGGGAAGCCAAGATGTTGCTCAAATCTGACGAGTCAGGCGAGATGATCGAGAAGCTCGCTCGCATCGAAATCCGGGAGCAGGCTCCTGACGGAGTCCTGCCTGTGGCATGAGCAGCTCTCCGGAAAGCATTTTAACGGCGTTTATGACACTTTTTCTTTATCTTTTCATGGGGAAGATTAACCAAAAACAAGAAGGCTTGGATGAACCGGTTCACATTCATTGAACCACATTGATACCACATTTGACACTTTCTATCGTTACGATTTAGATGAATCAATAGATTTAGATCTGAAATGCATTCATTTGAATGATACAAACTACTGTCTGCTTTCCTCGAATTAAAGCGATACTGGTGATGATTCAATGATAAGATGCCAATTCAAGGCTCATTGTAGTGTGTGTGTCGCATGTGTGTAATATGCGAGCACTCTCGGACAACGTCGGGTAAGGTTCTCTCCGAGAGATCGTCTCTTTCACTGCAATTTTAGCTCCAGCGAAGCGTCCTCGCCTGCAGTCGGACGTAGGCATCCTTCATTCTAGACGCAAAATGTTGGCACTGCTCACCTCCCCACCATTTGACGTGGAAGATGTGCCTAAAGGAATGACCCAAATCTACCAGCATGCTTGATACCACGAGAAATATGCCTATTCTGTACTGGTGAACGGGAGAGTACTGTGTGGCATTAGAAAACGCCCGAAGCAGCTAAAGCTGCTGATCGGGAGACACGCCAGGACCTGGGGGTTTCCGGAACTACGTACCGTTCACATTGCTATGGAGCACGTTCTTGTGGGAAGATCGGACAGGCTTCAGCAGATTGGATCCAAATACTCAGCAAGGGACTTGGGCAGCTTCGCATATCGTTAGATTGACGGCCATCACATGTTCCAAATAGCTCGTCATTCAAAGCTGACTTTCATCATAGGGTTATAATATTGTCAAGATAGTCTCATTAGGTGATAACATAAGCCCCCCCAGTCCCGCAGTCTAACCCTCAGACTACTACTTTGAAGGCGGGATTTTATTTGAGCTACAGGAAGATCTACATCCCTTTCCGTGCCATGAAAATGCCATACTCTCTTAAAAGGGGTATAATGAATTCCACTCCATGTCCCATTCACGCCTTAGCCGCCCCAGTATCGAGCCCATTTTGCTGCTGTTGCTGTTGCTGTTCTGTCTGTGTACTGTTCTTGTTGAGCAACATCGATCTGAAGTCGTCGTTGCTCTTCTTCCCGCCGCCGGCCGGCGCAGTAGATGTGCCGTTCGTCAGCGCGTTGCTACCATTCTCATGTACTTTAGTCTCTTTGCTGATGGCGCCGGCAAAGCCCAAGCCTCTCTTTGCCTGTCCCTTGCCAAGCACCGGTCGTTTGATTGTGGGCGGCGGGGCCATCAGAGCAACCTTCGACGCTGGTGCTGTTGAGGCGGGAGGCCCGTGTACCGCCGGCTTTCTCTCCGTCTTCGGTGGCTCGCGCTGTTTCTTCTGGCCTGGGTTGGAGTGTTTCACCTCGAGTGTGTAGCGGCCCTCAACCTTCGTGTCATCAAACTTCGTTGCCTTGGTTGCGCCCTCGGCATCACGAAACGTAACGTAGCAGAAACGCCGATGCGTATTATATTTGAGACTTGGCCAACGAATGGACAGGATCTCGCCGCAATCCTTGAACAGCTCCTGGATGAAGGCATCATCTGCTCTGGGAGGGAAGTTGGTAACGAACAAAGTTAGTCCAGTTGCGAGCTTGACGGTGATCTGCTGTTGGTCAAAATATTTGCCATCGCGCAGGAGCGCAGACTGAGCTTCTTCGAAAGTATCAAACTCTATGACCGCCACAGCAGAATTGCCATCTTCCTCAACCTTGTGAATGAAGTTTTTGATGTGGCCATATTCGCGGAAGTATTGCTTGATCTTCGTCTGGGTCGCTTCTGCGGGAAGACTTGTCACAATGATAGAGGTGTGTTCTCTGTCACGCTTTTGAGGCTCTTGCTGATGTTCATTTGTAGTTGCTGTATCTTTGACAAGTTCAGCCTCACTCTCGTTCTTCACTCGCTTACTCGCGGTATCGGAGGCAGCTCCAGGTGTAAGCTCTCGTTTCCTCTTGGAACCAGACGGTGACTCCGGGCCAGTTTCCTGCGTCGCAGCTTGCTGGGCCTGCTCCTGGTATTGAGCGTACTGTGCGCTGTATGCAGCCGCAGCATCAACAGCCTCCCTTTCTCTACGTTTCGCAATCCCCTTGCGTGTCCTATAGACGGTGTCGAAAGCGCGGTGCAAAGTCTCGGGTGTTTCGTAATCGTTGCAGTGTTGGAGGTAGATTTCCATCACCCTCTCTGGCCAGTCCAATGTCTTCTTAGAGATTGCCTTCTGAAGCACATCTGTTGCCATGCTAGGCACCTTCAGAGTCCTTGGCCCTGGGCCAGGCGTAGGGCTGAGAGCTTTTCCTTTCTGGGAGAGGAAGACGGACAATTCCCACATATAGTAAGTAAGCCAGAAGTTGTAGCTGTCGCCATACAGGTCCTTGGTTGCTAGTTCTTGCCAGTGCTCGCGTGCCTCGTCAATAGCACCCTTCTTCTCGGTGAGGTATTGGATTAGTATGCGCTCCAGGCGGAAGTTGGGGTCCCCTTTGTACGCATCGCCGTATATCCGTTTCCCCCAGATTTGGACATCTTCTAGAGCTGCGACTAATCCCAGATCAGCGACATCGGAGTCCTCGTCGGTGGCATTTGGATCCATGGCTCGGCGCTTCAAGTACCCGCACCAAGCAGCATACATCTCAATGACTCCCGTTAAATCGTCTCTGTCAAGCTCAGCGCTGTCGGTGGCGGCATGCTTGATCCGTTCAATGTCATGGAATGCTAAGCCGGCTTCCTCGGCACTCAAAATGTACCTGGCCCACAGATCGCCGGACCACGGACAATGTTGGACGGCACGTTGCAATACGTCGAGTTGGCGAGGCAGCGCTTGCAGGATTTCCATCGATCTGAGCTGGCCAGCGAAGAAAGAGTGTTGCGTGGACAGCCATACAATATAGTCCGTCCAAGCGCTTTCATCCCGAGAGAATACGCCGGTCAGGGCACGGGAAAAGAGACCAACACAGATCTCGATGGCGCGCTCCTTGTGTTTCTTTTCCTTCATATTCTGCTTCGTCTCCCAGTCCAGGTAGTCTCTCATTACAGCCTTGTAGTCGTCCTCTTTGCCTTCTCTAGCAGCAACATCAAGTTTCAGCTCGAAGGGGTCGCGGGACTCGTATATCTTCTTCGCCTCTTTGGAGAGCGAGGTGATCTCCTGCATCGTAGACTCCCAGGCGGCTCTGTTGTACTCGGAGAGGAAGGTTGAGAACATCTGCGAGGTTTCATCCCATGTCTTGTGGGGTGTCTGTAGCCGGTTGCGGAAGAGATGAGTAATGCGCTTAACACCCTCAGGAGTTCTCGTCCTGGCCAACAATTCCATCTCGAGGGAGATCCAGCGGTTCCAGAGCTCATGGCTGTCGTTCAACCTGTAGCGCGTTGCCTCGTAGGCCGTCTGCCAAAGGCTCAAGGCAGCATCGAGTGTAAAGAGCTGACCGGCCTCGGCTTGTTCTTCGCGCGACCAACCTGCATCGCTGTGTGGTTGGCATCCAGCATACAGAGACCAAAAGTAGTCACAATACGCCACCCAGATCTTCAAGCTGCCCGGCTCGGCAGACACAGCCTGCTTGAAGAGCTCGATGTTCTCGATGCGCGACAGCAGATCGGTAGGACGGCGGCTCTCTGCGACTGCCACCCAGGCGTCTTCGCCGACGGGGGGTTGTTGGTTCGGCATCGTCAGCTGCGCCGCAGACGTCGTGGAGCTGGATACAGCTCACTTTCGGTAACACTTCGCTTGGCTCTAATGGCTTGTATTCGCAATGCGCGTCAGCTAGGAGGCGAGCTTTGCTGCTCGAAGCCGTCTGCTAAGGGAGAGACGGTGACTGAAATACGACCGCTTCGTTTGCTGCGGTCGACAGGTAGTTGGAGGGTTTGCCGTCCAACGGCGAGCTCAGCTTGTTGCGCGTCGCCTGCCTTGTCGATATGTGCGTTGCGACCTCTTTCCCCAAATTGTTAGCGAGAAGAAGAAAGTTGCCCGCGGTCATGGCAACCTGTTCGTTCTAGCGCTGCACCGGACTGTGTTTTGACAGGTTGCGCGGGATGAAGGCGCTGTGATGCCAAAAGCAACAAAAAAAATAAATAACAGCTTTTCAAAAACGAACTGAAAAAATTCAAGAGGGAGGAAGGCACGATCTGCGATCCCTGGGGCTGGGACTTGGGAAGATGGGGATCGGGTTCGGCGACTTCAGCTGGAGCATACGCACCTGATGGAGACTCGAGCCGCTCTAATGGGGGCCTGTGCCCTGTGATGGGCGGACTGCACCTCCTTAAGGTACCTGGCAACCTTACCTAAGATAAAGTACCGTACCGCTATTAGAGCTGATCTGCGCCAGGACAGGGCAGGCTGTTGCTTTGCTGTGATTGCTGTTAGAGTACAGGGTATTTGTGTTTGCAATTCCACCATCTCAGCAGCCCAGATCCATCTGATAAGTGATTCCACACGCTAACAGTTCAATGGCATCCATCCTGTCACTTCTCATCTTGTCCCTTTGCCGGCCGTGTCATATACGTACCTTCTCTCTTAGTGTAAGCCCGCTCTCCCCTTGAAGCTTTCCCTCCAGCAGCTGCTCTGCCGTGTTTTGCATCGTTTCAAAACTTAGCGGGGAGGAGCCACCCCGGGATGAAGTGCTGGATCCTGCCTCATCTGTCCCGCGTTGGGCGCACCAAGGAACACAACACGAATGAACACAGGGCAACCACGCGCGCCGTTCATTGCACCTGCCTTCGTTGACTGTTTTTTTCCTTTCTCTAGCAAGCACCTTTCTCAGACTCACTGGACGGCTGTATTGCCCTGTTGTGTCTCTTTACTAAACTCTCACGTCTCGTGCTCTATGGAGAGGCGTCATAGAATTCTGCACCTTCCCTCAAGGAGTGCCCATTGTCCATCCCACACGCAACTGTCTACTTGGTAACTGCCATGGGCCATCCTATAGGTACCTACTGGGCAATATGCAGGGCTACGTTAGCTGCTGGAGCCCAGCGAATAGGCTGTTACGGGCTGCTATGTTAGGGTGTTATGGCGTCAGTTGGTACCTAAGCCTATCGCGGTCTCTGGGGGTCGAGACCCCGCCGATCGCTCTTTCGCTGCAAGACAAGAATGCTGAGAACCGGGAAGGAGCCACCCAGTGGACAGCCAGCCGAGCCAGCGAAAGCCACAAGTCTCCGTTTGGGCGTTCCCGAAATTTCGCTGCAGCAGCGATCATCCGCCAACACACGCTCCCAGGGCACCACCGGGGCAAAGCCTGCACGTGAGATGCCTGCGTCGCTCGTGCCGTGCTAGCCGATCTGGCGCCGCTCTAAGAATAGGGGACCTCAGGGGACCCTCTGTGCCAACTCACTCAAAGGGTCCTGCTTTGAAATGTGCTGCTGCAAGTCTGGGTATACGGTATGTTATGCATTGCTGTAACCAAAAGAAAGCTTTTCCCGCTCGCTCTAAGTGATCCTCTCGAAAATGGAGACCCTGTGGCTTGGGGGGAGATCCACGGCCCAGAACGCTGTAGGGCGGCTTTCCAAGACCCTGATGACGTTGGTGAATGGGCCTCCTCCTGTGCATCCACTCACGCGTCTACCAGTACCTACATGCTACTTACAGTACTCTACTTTACCCACCCACACCAGAGTCCGGACAGATTGTTCTCCGATGCTGTTAAGCTAAAGTAAGGTAAGGTAAGGCAAGGTACCGACGGTAGCTTTGACATGTCTTGAACATGCATAGCAAAACATGCCTCGGCCTGCTCGGTAATTGCAGCCAAAAAAAAAAAAAAAAAGACGGTGTGCTCAAACATGACCACCAAAGAAATTTCCAGATCACGTCCTGTCGACATCACTCTCCTCAAACAGAAACACTAACGCCGAAGGTTTGGAAGGCGCACGGTCTTGGCTGGTTCACGATGGACTTGAGAGGACGAAGAGGCAAGCTAAGACCAAATATCGATTGGAACGATTTAACGGTCTCAAAAAGAGACAAAAAGACACACCAGACTTCAATGAGGAAGAAGGTGTCCTTTGTGACAGCTTGGGCGAGTCTATCGATGTGTGCCGAGCTGGCCCCCCTGAACCGGTATGGCATGTTCAGTATGTGAAGTCTCAGGGGGAAAAGTCGATCATCTGGCTTTATGGTAATCCTACTGCAAATCCCCCATCTCGGGACAATGGGCGACCGACCTGAATTAATTTGGCCTAGAAGGGCCGGAAAAATCGATATCACCTGAGTCTCCGGGGATCAACAATGCACATCACTTTCTATTCAAAGACACCTGGTCGATCAATTGTTCCCGACTCTACCAAGTCAACCAATAGCTCATCCTCGACGACCAGTTACAGCGCCTGCGCCTGCGGTCGGTATTGACTCCGAGACGCTCTCAGGTCGCCTTGTCCCTCTCTTGCGGTACCAGGCAGCCGGATACCGCTCATTGTGTTTCTAGTCGAGCAGATCCTTTCGTCTAGGCTCTTCACTAAACAAGGCAAACCAGCAGCTTTGTGGGCGGGTGGGCTGTCTCTGTCTTGTTAAACCCTCCTCACTAGCGCTGCACATTGATTTGATTTAACTGATCGCCGAACGGACCCAGTAAGACCCGCCTACGGCAGACGGGGCAGGTCTGCCCCGATCGCTCCTTCCCACCCGAGGGCTGCGCCGAGCTGCTAAGGCATGCCAAGCTGCTTGCTCCGAGGTGCCACTCCGGAGCCGACTTCCACACGGCAGTACACCGGCTCCGACTCGCCGTGAGTATAAGCGGCACGGCACCCTCCTGGTGAACATCTCATGCCGTGTGACCGGGGCCTTACGGCGGATGCAGGCATCGCTTAGTTGTTCAGCACTTAGTGTGCCTCCAAATCTGCCTTGCCGAATCATCAGCCAATCCTGTTTCCGCGATCACCTCTGCCAAACAAGACTGCTGCTTGATTCTTACTTTGCCGACTGTGCATACTCCAGATGTAGGCTGGCGGCGTAGCATGCTTGAGGTTTCTATAAATCGATGATGTATGTCTTGTTCCTCGCGAAGAAGCGGCTCTAGTCAAATTCCGTGATCACATCTTTGTCATCTCGTTCCGCGCAAATTGCCTAGAGGTCATGGCAACTCTCATCACCAACGTGAACCTTTTTGACGGCCGTGAGTTTCACGGCCCTTCGACAGTCTTCTTCTCCGACGATGTCATCCGCTTTGTGAACACCAACTCTGCAAGTGCGATACCAGATGACAAAGGTGAAAGCGTCACTGTCATTGATGGGTCCGGCCAGACACTTCTGCCAGGTCTCATCGACGCTCACGTACACGCGGATCATGCCTCCGCAGCCAGCGCATTCCCACCGTTCGGTGTCACGACCGTCCTCGACATGGGCACGCGCAAGACCACCGAGGAGCTCGACTCGTTACGCCAACGCACTGCTACCGCTGAATCCAACAACACCCCGCTGCCATCATTCCTCTCCTCAGGCCTCTTCGCCTCCGCACCAGGCTCCCGCCACGCCATGATGTTCCGCCTCCCTGACGCAGAGCAGGTCAAGTCCCCCTCGGAGGCCGAGCCCTTCGTGCAGGCGCGCGTCGCCGACGGCGCAGACTACATCAAGCTCATCGCCGACATGCCCGGCTTCCCCGAGGAGACCCTCGCCGCGCTGGCCGCCGCCGCACGCCGGCACGGGAAACTGAGCGTGGCGCACGCGGCCAACAGCATGGCGTACGCGCGGGCGGCGCGCGCCGGCGTCGACGTGCTCACGCACATCCCCACAGACGCGGTGCTGCCCGACGAGCTGGTCGCGCAGATGGCGGCCGAGGGACGCGCCGTCGTGCCCACTGTCATCATGATGGCCGGCAGTAAGCAACTTTTTGGGAGTTTATTTTCACCTCTTTTAGCCATGTTTGGTGTAATGGAGACAAAGTCACCGTCCTAATGTGGGCGGCTACTCCCGAAACATCTCTTTTCACGCCCTTTCAAGCCCTTTCAAGCCTTTCCCTACTCTTTCACTGTCCTCAAAAGGCAGTTACTGACTCCAGATGTTGCAGTGATCCCCGTGATGCAGGCGGCCCGGCCGCAGATGACGTTCAGCGTGGAGAACGCGCTCGCGAGCGTCAAGAAGATGTTCGATGCGGGTATCCCGGTCGCGCTGGGCAGCGATAGCAATGACGCCCCCGGGCTGGCGGTGCCGTATGGCAGCTCGCTGTACGACGAGCTTGAGTTCATGGTGAGGGCTGGGCTGACCGAGACTGAGGCGCTGAGGAGCGGGACGAGTGTCTCGGCGGGGATATTTGGGTTGACTGATAGGGGTGTGGTTGCAGAGGGAAAGAGGGCGGACTTGATTCTGGTGGATGGTAATCCATTGGACGGCATCCAGGCTATGAGAAGGCTGAAGAAGGTATGGGTCGCTGGTGTTGAAGTCAGCCAGCTGGCTGTGTAAATGCTAATGATGTTCGAGAGATATTTTTTAAATCGCACATGTTGCCAACACCATGATACCGTGACTAACATCTTGATATATTCATCTCTGAATGTGGGGCTTAACAACAACAGCAGTGTAGATCATCGAGAATTACAACAGCAATCATATCAGACACTTTTCAAGTCTTTTTGGTGGGTTACACAAGCTGAATTTGAAAATCAATGACATCTACAACATGCTTATGAAAACGGAATCGGTCAGAGGAGTAAAAGCGGGATGAAGCTGGCTGTCGCATAGGGCCAGCCGTGCAGCAAAATGCTTTTTCGTTGAATTTCTATACGTCTATGATACGTTCGCTAAGCGCAGAAGCCCAACAGTCAAGTAAGGAGTCTCGGTGACCACTTCGAGGATGTGGCTGTGGCAGTGAATTATTCCGTCACTATTCTTGCATCTCTATTAGGCTCCTCCGCTCAAAAAGTTGAGCAGAGAGGTACAATAATGGCTTTAAGAGCTTCATTAATGCCTACAAGCTCATACGCCTAGTAACAGGAATCTGAGGTTGGGCAACTAGGTAAAATATTGATCCGTCATGTCACTCACAATTTCACCATAAAACGGAATCAAAATGAGTCAGAAGATTGTATCATACATAGTTTCTTTAATGCGAGCTTGATTTGAGACGAATACTCCAGGCACGTATTGCAGCGGCCTCGATACGTTCCTCCTGGTAGATGGAGCCTGACAATTTGCCTAACCAGACCACAGCTGGAAGGGCGCGGGAAACTCGCACCCAATCAGTGGTGATCGACCTTTGATGCCTTGATCGAGGAGCTGGCTTGCAAGCCACTGCCACGTTGCCTGCTTCATCGACTTCATAAAGGCCAGCCTTCAAGACCAGAGCATACTTTGATCCATTTTTTCTTAAATCGCTTTTCCCAGCGTGATGTTGATCAACATGAATTTCTTGGTCCCTAAGGAATACGATTCTGGTTGTGATATTTATTCAGACACATTTAGGCAAGATACTTAGAGATTAGTCGCATCGATGTGGAATCCACTTGGCTCCGAGCCACTGAATGAGACGGCACAGTGGCACCAAGAGCCTGATATTCGCGGAACATGGAGTATACTCTTCAGCTGTTTATTTACACTCGCGTTGTGTATCTGGACGGCGGTTCATCTGAATATCCCCGAGCATGGGACTAGCACGATGGCCAGATATTGGCTCAAGACTTTGTGGCTGTTTACGGGCTTGCTCGCTCCCGAAATAGTAAGTTGATATATGCTTATGATCATGCCTCACGGATTCTCATATATGCAAGGTGGTTCTGAGCGCATACATGCAATACTCGACCACAAAGTATCTTCATGCAAAGGTGGCGATACATCTTGGTCAGAAGCACTACCTATCGCAGAGACACTGCTGGCCGTTCTTGCGAGGCACGCACTGTCCAAATTTGCAAAGAGAGGAAGGCAAAGACCTTCCGAATCTAGCACGACGGCACACTTGGACTAAGACGCATAGCGCCTACGCTGTGATGGGTGGCTTTGCTTTCGATGCGGGCAACCGTCCAGATCACTTGCCGCTTCCACAAGGCAGGTCCAGATTAACTTTGAGCAGTGAAGGCTTGACATTCTTGGCTGAGAAGGAGCCACAACTGATACCGGATATATCTGAGCAAGAAATTAGTGATAAGAGTAAGTCAAACGGCCTAGCGAAGTTCTTGGTTTGTACCCAGGCGATCTGGTTCTGCGTGCAATTTATCTGGCGGCTTGCGGATCTGCTTCCTGTCACATTGCTGGAACTGAACACTTTCGCACATTGCCTTTGCGCTCTGACGGTGTATGCTCTGTGGTGGAACAAGCCCTTCGATGTCGAGGAGCCGACTCTCATCCCTGCGTTTGATGGCACCGCGAGAGGTATATGTGCTGCTATGTGCATGAGAAGTAGCATTGGACGACGTATACCAAGTCCACGACGTGTATCAGAAAAAGACGTCCTTAGTAGCGGGATCCTCGGGATTGGGAACGAGAACGCTTCGATGCACGACCACGATGATGGTAGATCCGAATCGCCTGAACGGCTCCACAAGTCCGAGTCGACAACATCAAAGGCGACAACGGCGGTTTCTCAAGACTCACTTGATACGACTCTGGCCTTGGAACTTGAACAGATGGAGCATGGTCATATATACCGAAGGACAATACACGGCAAGATCCTACATGATGCTCTTGATTTTCTCCATCTTAACGACGGAAATCAATCCATGCTTCAAGTGCCCAATGGAGAAACCCTAATACAGATCCCTAGGGAGACATTGAGACTGTGCAGTGAGGCTCGAGATGCCATGCAACAATACCGACTCTTCTCAGATGGAGAGCAGAAGACGAAGAACGACAAAAACAGGCCAGGGCGGCCGGATGTGGAGTGGCTATGGACACACAGCTCGAACAGCCCAGTGGGCATACTACTCCAATACAAAGACACATGGAGGGCCATTCTCTGGGCATTCTTGTTCTTCTTCTTCTATGGCGGATTTCATATGCTTGCCTGGGAGTCTCCTTTCCACACTGACATTGAGGACAAACTGTGGAAAATATCTGCCCTATCCCTGGTAGTCATACCAGTATTACTTGGTATTATTGCCTCCTTCCCCATCACCCCTTCCATTCAACCTTGGGAACTTCCTTTCCACAGCGGGTGGGTTCTGGTTCTGAACGGACTGTATTGGACGGTTTACGTACCACTGGTAATTTGTATGCTGGCGCTTTGGATCACATGTCGTGTTTACATCGTTGTGGAAAGTTTTCTTAGTCTTCCCTACGCGTCGGCTTCAACATTCGTTCAGCCTTCTTGGCCGGCTCATTTCCCACATATTGGATAACATTATGTTCATTATCATTATAATTAATCAATACAGAAACTCGTTAACATGACCTGCTCTGAGCAGCCCTTCACACCAAAGTTGTTGCCGTCGAAGAATTGTCACGATGCTGGCTATCCGTGCTCCGCTGTGTCCTGACCTTCACCAAGCTGATTTGACTCCACTCACCTGCTTGCTCCTCCGACTGCTTTGCACATGACGGTCTCCTCCTCTCGTCTCTTTCTCTCGAGTAGATATGCGATCTCGTGGCGGACGGCGCCTCGGGAGCTGTCGAGCGTCTCGAGTTCATCCACGTCAGCCGCGAGCCGAACGAATCTGAGAATCCTATGCTGGGGAAGAGTCGTTTGCATAGTTGAGGGAATGATGGTAGGCATGCGACCACAATACCGACAGAGAGCTCAATGCATGACCATAACGCCACAACGAAGAAGTTGTCTGGGATGTAAGATTAGAGTCCGCGCGAAAGCCATGGCTTGGGTATGCTCACTTGTGACGTTGGTCGTGCTCCTGAACAGGACAAGACTCTTCAGCCTTATAGAGCTCGCTGCGGTTAGACTGGGAGTCCGTCAGTATACTCTCATGACGTTATGGGAGGTAATCATACAAGATGCCAACTCCAAACATTGCAAGGACCCATATTTTCTTTTTCAGTTGGATGTTCAACCCGTATATCTGCGTCGCCGGTAAAACCAACATCCACACATCTAAGGCGGTGTTGATACCGCCATGCGCCCACGCAATCGCGTTGATGTCCCAGCAGGAACCCTCGTGCTCACCGTCCCACCCTGTCCAAAAATAGCTCACTGGTCGGCACTGCACGCATATGATGATGATGAACGTGGTAGCGCTCAGCAGGTTGAATATCTGCGTACACCACAGCACAATGCGGAAGGTCTGGTCGGGGAAGATGCGTAGGTAGAAGAATAGGATCGACGCCTTGATGGTCGCGAGCGTGAAGAAGTACAGCGCCTCGAAGATGAAGAAGATCTTTAGGAAGCCTGTGATCTGGTCGAATGACAAGGTCCAAATATCTTTGCCGGCACCGTTGCGTTGTTCTATAACTCGGTGTCAGGAGGAGTTTGAGAATAGACAAGAAATGAGGCAAGGGGAAACTACCAAGAAATGTTGCGGCTAGAAACCCGACAGCTCCAATCTGCAAGTATCGTCAGTGTCTGAGACACTTGAGGCTCTTTCCAGGCCCACTTACATATGACATTGTCATAACCGTATCGTCCCACCACCATCCAGAGAGCTTCAACACCTTGCATGCGACTCTCGCCGCGAAGAAGACCGTTTCTAGCGTGAATAGCACTCCCTTCATCGCCTCAATCATCGTCGTATGGTCATGGAGCGGTCGCCCGCAGTTTGACCATGTTACTTTCTTCGTGGCTGGATGATATTTAGTCAGTGGTTGTTTCTAACATGCTATACAGTCGTTTATAGCTCGAATTGCGTACTCAATGCCTCCTTCGCCGTACAATTCGCCCTTACACAATCACTCGCCCAATCCGTAAGTTGCTGGTCGTTGCAAAGGCATTGCGAGTCTCGCGTATCGCAAGTCGTCTCGGACAGAGACGCAATGAGACATGAGACCTACGAGTATTCGAGAACCAAGTTAGTAAAGACCATGTGCATCCCAGGGGCAAAATGCCAAGCGCGGGGTTCTCGACTCACCGCACACGGAGGCATCGCGGTCAGGTTCATGGCTGCCGCTGCGAGCCATGCCCACGCGAGCACAGCGACTACGTGAAGGCGGACCATCTCTGTCTGCTCACATCGAGAAACGCCAGCAATGAAGCACAGTTGCAGGGTGAAGAAGAGCAAACCCAGTCAGAGATTTTGTGAGCGCCATGGGTGCCGGGGTAATGCTTGCTTAAGTGTATTACAGCTTACTTGTTCACAACACGGCACGGGCTGGACAGGCCAAGAGTCACTTGTTCCTGGTAGGATTGACCAATGCATATTGGCTTGATATTGGCCCGTACCTTCAGCTGATGGCGATCCCCCAGAAGGTACGCGATGGGATGGGCCTATCCAGATCCGGGACTGTCCAGGGGGCTTGGTTCGTTTAGGGCTGGACCTGCTTACCCGCCCCCAAACCCTCCGCACGAACCTTCAGATGAGCGTGTATGTACAGTAAGTACACACGGGCCTTGGCTGTCAAATGCCAATGTCATGCAATGACACCAGATCAGAAGCCGTGCTGTCTGTGTGTTTGACAGCGCCACCTAGGTTGCAATGCCAAAATACCATGGGAAATAAGATGGTGGTCCGTCGACTTCCCGACACAATCTAGCTCTAGTCGTCAGTACAGTCGGATCGCCAACAGGGTATGGCGGTCCTTTTCGCTTAAGATTACGGCTTTGCGATGTTTTCCTGTTCTCGATCCGCGGTGCTTACCGCCCTGTCACACTCGGTCGGGTGTGATCGTTCGTGACGTGGCTGCATCTCAAAAGTCCTTTTGCCGACCACGACTCCTGGCACCTCTCGACTTCCGCCTGGCGTAGCAACAGCAAGGCTCAATCATCCGAAGTGTCGTTCGGTACCTGGATTGGCGTCTGCACATCACAATGTCCCAGTTCAGTCATTCGGCTATCTGACTATGGTAATTTGGCGCGCTGTCTAAGAACTCAGGGTGACAATGGCTGACTCGGTGACCTAACCCTCATTTCCCGTGCCTGAAAAAGATACTACTGCTTCTGGTCCTGAAAAGCGTCAACATGTCCATTTCAAAGACGTCCCAACGTCCTTCCACCTTTGGAAGCAATGCGTAGTACAAGGTGGCACTCGATCCGAGGTTGCATGACGATTGATCGGACAACAATTGCGTGTCATTGATGGCCTATGTAACTATAGTGCCGCTATACGGTCTTTGAACTTCATTCAATGTGACGTATAACCCTAAAGAGAAAGAGTTGGCTACTCCACCGCAAGAATCTCAAAGTGCGAAACCGTTTTGGTATGTCCTATGCCTAACTCCGGTACTCACGTACGTACATGGTTCCCAATTGGTATATACTCCCTACTTGAGCCGGCCTGAATGATATACAACCTCATATGGCTCGAAGAATGATTCCAGATCGGTCGTGATTCGTGGAATTCACCCAATTATCCTGACAAGAACTTGCCCCCTTCTTGCTTAAATAACCAATCGCGGTTGGCATCAACCATGAAATCCGTAATGTTGAACTCATTTGCTCCTTGCAAAGTGCCATTCGTGTTGCCGTTGCCATTTGGATTAGGCCCATCGGTGACCATCTCGCCGCCAGGGTTCCCATTCGTACCATTCATACCAGGTCCTACGTCTGTAGGCGCGGCAAATGGCAACCTAGGCACGTTAAAGAAGTCGAACACATCGAGATATTCTAGATCATTCGGTTGCGGTGTCCTGGCGGGAGTTACACTTGGAAATCTGCTGAATCCACCATTGCCCATTCTACTATCTGCTCCGCCGCCAAGATGACGAGGCTGGTGACTGATCAAGAAGTCAAGATCAAATGCTGTTCGTCGCATGTCGGCCAAGATCTTGACACTGCTCGGAGTTACGCCGTCACCCTGCCTTTCGCTGTCCTTATGCTCGTCTAATACACGCTCGAGGAGACTGCAATAGCGCTGTGCAACCGGCCAAAACCGGCCCATCTCACGTAGGCTATCGACAAAGAAAGCAATTTGTGGCGAGAGTTTGTGCTCCACAGTGCTGCCATGTACAAGAAGCAAACGCGCAGCGACCCAGAGAGTGAAGGCAAACGGTGGCCCCAGTTTGGGAAGGAGACCGTTGGCAAGAACGAACTCGCCAAGCGCGGCGATATTCTCGACAGCTCCATGACAACGCTGACTGGCAGAGTATGATGGGGTGAAGATAGGTGAGCGGGTTGTGGGGTATGCGGCGGACGAGTGAAGCCGGATGACAGCGGTGTGGTAGGTCGCATGCAACATCACCCACCCGCAGTTCAGTGTTTTGGCCGAGCCCGGCTGGAATAGCTTTGCCATATTGCCATATTCACCGGGCAGGCCGAACTTCCAGCTCGTCAGCATATTATCAAGCTCTTTGTAGCGTAATTGCCACTGCTCGACATCGGATAAGGCACTAATGTCGACGGGCAGCTTCAAAAACTTGTGGATTTTGGAAAAAATGCCCAAGATCTCGATATAATAGGAGAAAGCACCTAGGTTTTCAGGCTTATTCATCTCGTATTCCGGTGGCGTACCGCCGTCTGGTCGATCTTCAGGGCGAAACCATCGCGTATCTACCTTCTGATTCTTGATCCACAGGTCGTCCCGACACGGCAAGGTGCGGTCGATTTCCTTGTCGTCAAGTGCAAACTCGAAAGCTGTCGAGATTGTAGCATATCGATCAAGAAGGTAAATCATCCAGAACAGCCGTCTTCGTGATTCTTCTTCGATGAAGTCTTTGGGCTCAGGGAGCACCATTGCGCGGAGTGTATATATGGATGTATAATTAGGTGAGACGGAGAATGAGTTCGACTCGACAGCAAGACCGAGCTGAACCACAGATCGAGTGATGAGAGCCATGATATTCCATCCGGGTGGGCCATTGCTACTACCGATGAGGTCGAGGGCTAGGATAACTAATGCCTGGAGAGCCTTAACCGAAGAGTTCTCCATGCCATAGAGTAGAACACGCTGTTTTGATATATCGTGGTAATGCCGCCTTCTATCCTCTGTTAACCTGGCATCGGCTGAGTAGCGTAATGTGGTAGCAACAATTGCGTGCAAGAGTATCTTGTCCGCTTCGTCGATCATTGAGGGCCCGAATAGTGAGTCCAAGGTGGTCTTCCGGTGCAAAATCGGGCACCACGTATTTATGTGTTTGAAATAGAGGTCCACTAGCGCATATAAAAGATCGTATGGCGGGAGCTCCTGATCTGAGGATATCTGTGCTTGGCCTTGGCCTATGCCTACACTGGGTGAAGAGAGCGCTCCTTGGCTAGGGCCGGTGCCGTAGTACTCTTGTGCCGCGGCAGTAGGGGGGATCGGTCCTGACAAATGTCCATGGCTGGTAGGCGAGATACCTGCCATTGTGACGGGCGGTTGAAACCCGTCGTGCATAGACTGGAGGGATGGAGATGGTTGTGGCATAGCGAAATCCATGGACTGGGTGGTTTGTGGGTATGTCGAAGGCTTTTGCAGGAACAGAGCTGTCTCCGCTTGAGGTGTTCTCAGAGAGTCTGTTCTTGCGAACATGGGCGCCTGCTGAACCTCCCTGGGGGTGCCATGATCGCTGGGCAGGCTTGCATTGCTCCCTCGCAGGCTCGGCGGCGCGTTTGGATGCGCCATGGCGTGCCCATTTTGCTGGTTTCCGGTGATCGAAGCCTGAAGTATCTCGGCATGAGTGCGAAGGATCTCTTCTAGCTTGTCAAGCCGCTGCTCAAGCTCCCGACCGTACCCGGCACGCAGGCCGGGCTTCTTTCTCTCCTTGTATTCGCATAGGGCGCCATTGCGGCTACACCAGCCACAGGATGGCTGGCCACGATCGCATTTCACCTAGAGAACAGCAATTAGTATTCTGTTGACGCACCCACAGGGACAATTGTCGATTAGTAAAGTCCACATAGCTTGCTCTGAGATATGCGTGGCGCGAGAGAAAAGATGATCGTATGGTATGTGAAAGAGGCAGAATGACCTACTTTTCTCTGCTTACACAGCTCGCACCTGGGAATTGGATTGTCATCAGCAGACTTCTTTAGCTCGAGGCTCAAGGCAGGCAGGCGAGGCTCGGATTGCTCGTCCTCTTCGCCCGAAGTGTGATGGGACGACGGAGACATGTGGACAACACAACGAGGTCATTGGAGGTCGGCAAGGAGAGGGGCCGTCCCACATGTGATCCACGATCTGCTCCACGACTGCATGCGAGGCGTTGCGACGGGAGTCGAGAGCGGGAGTGGGAGTGGGTGATGTTGGGATAGAGGCAGTAAAGTGTGGAGATGTGGCGATCAGATAAGACGAGAGGAGAGGCAAGGAGAGACAATTGGGCTTACGAGACAGAGATGGGCCGTTTGCGCTTGCCGTTGCGGACAAGGTCGTGCGAGTCGTCTAGGTCGTTATCATTGTCGCTCCTGTCATCCCCGGAGTTGTTCAGCCCTCCCTCATCACCGCTGTCCTGCTCGGTATGAAGGCGTTTGATGGGCCGAGGTGAGCTGTCCGAACCGGTGTAGTGCAGCTGAGAGGGCGACTGGATGGTCTGGAGAGACTGCGCCTGTGCCGCAGAGGGCATCATGGCGACCGTCTCGAGTGGCGGCAGCAGCCCGCGCGAGAGCGAGACTGCTCTGCACTGCAAAGCGAGGCTGCCGGGTAACGTTAGGGTTGAGCTCAGGTCAGGCAAGCGTCCTGTCCGAGACTGGCAGGCCGTACATTGATAGCCCGGCGGTCGGCAGCAGCAGGTCGCGCGCACCGCGCAGTGTGCCAGTGACGGTGCACAGGACTGGAGCTGGAGAGCGTCGTGCGCGCGCAGATAATGTGCTCGGGGTAATGTTGAGTAGAGGAATCGAGAGCTGCTCGGGGGGCGGGCATTTAATGTGGGATAAAAAGGCAAGGCTCGTTTTATGCGGCCCTGCCGAGCGCCCGCCCGGTTCCAACGCCCAGTCCAGTCAAAGCTCCATCCGTCAGAAGCCAAAGCCAGAGAAAAAATCCGTACGTGTGGAAAGCGTGTCTTTTGCGTCCCTACCTTGTCCTGGTGGGTGCTACTGCTTGCTGCTGCCCTTGCTGGTCAGGATTTACGTGCGGGGAAGCGAAATTTGCGGAGTCATGGTGTGCGTGACCCGGCTAGAGTCCACTAAACGGCCGAGCAAAGGCCCATTGAGAGGACTGCAATTCGAGAAAACCCGCAAGTGCGAGTCTGGGGAGGTGGATTGGTGGGGAACCGCAGTTCAGGGTTGCCATTGGGTAATCTTCACCGTACCTCCGCCCATCAATTAACGTTAGTCCAACAGGGGCACGAGGGCAGGACCGTGCTAAAAGAAGGCTTCTAGTGTCTGAGGACAAGAGGAGTAATACGGGCATTTTGGACATGACTATATGCAAGTAGGCATATGGAAACTCGACTATACCCAAGTAAGACGCAAACATGGGGTAATCAACTCCTATTTTTAGGGTGTGAAGAACCTACAGCAGCAACAGCAGGAGCAGGAGCAAAGGCTATCGATTCTAGTCTAGGCAGGTACGTTCGTCGTCTCTGTGATGGGAGACCGGGACCCTTGGGGTGAATCTCCGCCGAGAGCAATCCATGGATGGAAGGAGAAATGAATCGAGGATGGCAGGAACGGAGGAGCTAAGGCAAAAGGCAAGCTTCCACCTTCAAAAAGGGTTGCTGCCACCCGACGGATCAATCTTAAGGCCGTCTTCAATCCGCGGTTATTACCTACCTTGCCGATTGTTGCTGCATACGAGGAAGGGACGCAAGGCCGAAGATATAGATTAATATGGGAAAGACCTGCCCTGCATAGATAGATACCTGATAGCAACCCCTACGGATGAAGGGAAAGGGCCACTCAAGCCATCTGTGCCTACCCTAGTAAATAAGAGAGGTGAGTAGGTAGATAGTCCATACCTTATCTAAGCCGGCGATGCACTTTGCAAATAAGGTACGCCCATTCTTCGTGTAGAAAATCTTGGAACAAACCTTGAGTTCCATGTTGGTCATTGACACTTCAGAGTCGTCCGTCGTTCGTCGTCCGTCGTCGGTGGCTGTTCAATTCCGCCGCGTCCCGTTGTGGCGGCATTGTTTGTCTCTTCACTTCGGCCCGGCACATGGCGGTGGCTTGATTTGAGCTGCTATCCTCGGATCCAATGACATACATACAATACCGTACATATGCTGTGCTGCCATTACTCGCATCGATGCAGTGATGTGCGGATACAAGCAGGATCAGCAAGCCAGTCGTATATTTTTTTCTGATCGAACGAACCCTTTATCATCCCTGGCGGATCCGCTCTTCTCTATCGAACTGCCTCGTGGAATCAAGCCCCCACACTACCAGGTATACTCCCCACGTGAACGTGCAGCTACTACATGGCGAGGCAAGAATTATTATGATCTTGTCACCGAAGCATGAACATCTATCCGCCAATGGAGTGTCAGCGCCTATATGGTACTGGGGAGTAGCCATAGGCACAGGTAGCATTGTGAGAGCTAGAAGGATAAGCTCTTCACCCTCACAAGATCAAGAAGCTCGAATAAGTTGAAAGCAGCGCCATGCCCATGGACCATGCTGCACCGACTCGACCGAGCTTATCGGCTACGGCCAAGGAGCCGTATTTTTCAAGCATTCTGTATCACAGTCGTCGGCAAGGCTAATGCCAACTAGTCTAGAGTCCGATGGGAATAGCGAGGCTTGCGACAAGGACGACGGGATGCCGCTTTCGTCCACCCAAACTCAATAGATGCTGTTGCGCAGGGAACCGCCAGCAATGGTGGGGTTGACCTTGCTCGGAGAGCGGTCCCTTCAGGTCGGGACATCATCCCCCGACCACCTTTGCCAAGCGGCCGTGTCTAGACCCCACCACTGATCGATCGCCTTGGGGATGGACCCCCAAAGAGCAGGAGAGACCTTGAGTGGACGAGCTGATAGACGGCTTTAATTCCTATTATTCCAATGGCAAGTGCCGAGAATATTTCTTCCGTTAAAACCATCTCTCTGTCCAATTCGATCTTCTGTTTTCTTTCCCTTTTACCTTACTTGCATCTTCAAGTCTGAAAGGGCCTAGAGACCGTGGCAATGGCGTCAGTTAGAGACTTCCCCACCATCAAGGCCATTCGGTCATATGTGATCAGTGGCGTCGGGTCAGGTACGAACGCACTCTCGACGGCCATCGACCGTGTATTCTGACTTTTTTTGTAGGAGGTGATTATCACAATGTCAAGGGTGGCCATTGGTATGTTGGACACACTCTCAAACAAGACTGGATTCGAGCAAGACTGACACGCTGGTCCCAAGGTTAATCGACTCCCCCATCTCCACCCCCTCCTCGATATGGGAGCAGTACCGCAAGTCCCGAACAAGCTGGGGTATCAATGTCTTGGGATCATTCTTCATCGAGATTGAGGCTTCAGATGGCACTGTCGGTTTTGCTACCGGTTTTGGAGGTATGTGACGCCTCAATACTCTAGAGATACCTTGGGGTTGGATTCTGACATCATGCAGGGCCGCCGGCTTGTTGGCTTGTCCACCAACACTTCGAGCGCTTCCTCATCGGCGCCGACCCCCGCAACACGAACCTGCTCTTCGAACAGATGTACCGGTCTTCTATGTTCTACGGCCGCAAGGGTCTTCCAATTGCCGTCATCTCTGTGATCGATCTCGCCATCTGGGATCTGCTAGGCAAGCTGCGCAATGAGCCCGTGTACAAGCTCATCGGCGGTGCCACCAAGGAGCGCCTCAACTTCTACTGCACCGGCCCCGACCCCCCGGCTGCCAAGGCCATGGGCTTCTGGGGAGCCAAGGTGCCCCTGCCGTATTGCCCAGAAGAGGGCCACGAGGGTCTGAGGAAGAACGTTGAGTTTCTAAGAAAGCACCGGGAATCCGTTGGCCCGGATTTCCCCATAATGGTGGACTGCTATATGAGCTTGAACGTTTCTTATATTATTGAGCTAGCCAAGGCATGCTTGGACCTCAACATCAACTGGTGGGAGGAGTGCCTGTCACCCGATGACACCGACGGCTTCGCGCAGGTTAAGCGGGCGCATCCCACCCTCAAGTTCACCACCGGTGAGCACGAATACTCGCGATACGGCTTCCGCAAGCTGATCGAGGGCCGAAACCTCGATATTATCCAGCCCGACGTAATGTGGCTTGGTGGCTTGACCGAGCTGCTCAAGGTCAGCGCCATGGCTGCCGCCTACGATATCCCCGTCGTCCCCCACGCCAGTGGCCCTTACAGCTACCACTTCGTCATCAGCCAACCCAATACTCCCTTCCAAGAGTACCTGGCTAACTCTCCCGACGGTAAGAGCGTGCTGCCTGTCTTTGGCGACCTCTTCCTTGACGAGCCCATCCCCACTAAAGGATACCTCACTACCGCCGACCTAGACAAGCCTGGCTTTGGTCTGACGCTCAACCCTGTGGCCAAGGCCAAGCTCATTCCTGGTGAATATCTCCTCGCCCCGACGCCGGCTAAGCCCCTGAGCCTGCCAACCCCAGACAGCGATGCCGAAATAGCACAGAAGCAGACCCTAGAGGCGAAGGGAGAGACGAAGGACGCCCAACCCAATGGCGAGACACAAACGAATGGTGTTGTGGGTGATCTAGTGGACAAGGTGAAGGAGCTTACGACCTCGGCATAAACTCCGGAAACCCGGATGGAGCAGTATTGGACAGATAGAGTGGAGGATCGATGGGGCTAGGTGCGGCCATCTTGTTACCCTACGATATATTTACCTTACTACGTACGACCACCATGTCACACAAACAGAGTTGGCGTTGCTTGTTTTAGACAATATCTTGGACAGGCTGCCAGCGTATTCTTACTTGCATAACAAAACCCGATGAATACAATTGCTACAGTTCGATAACTCTACCGCCTAAAACCTTATCCGCGTTGTGAATCTATGTTTCCGTTTGCACTCCCGGAAACGATGCCGGTCATATCGCAGGCGCTCAAAGCTCGCTGCCCATTGCACCGAGCTTTAGAGGGACTAAAGCCCTGTAAAATATGGGTATTTAGCGTCTCTATCTCCCCTCTGTGGGGTGCCCCCGCCATTAGTCAGTGGAGCTTGCGCTGGACTAGATCTAGAGCTTGCTTAAGGTGAAAGCACAATTGCCGAAGGACCGAGAGCTTCTGTCGGCACCAGTCTTCATATATGATCACATGCGAGTATGTGTGTTTTGCGACATTCTCGGACATTCTCGTCGTAATATTTCTCTGCTCTTTGCAAGGAGATTGTTCGCAGAGATCAATTGAAAGTTCACTGCAACTTGTTTTCTCTATGGTGAAGAGTATGAGAGGAGAAGCAGGCGACACCCTGGCGCACCAGATGAGCCCGCCCAAGCAGGGAGACATTGACAAAGCCGTACTCTACGGCTTCACGGCACATACAAGCAGGGCGTAAGCTTCAATGCAGCAAGGCTGGCTTCAGCTAGACATTTGTATTTTCTAACGGGTAGGAGCAATTGATGAGGCTTCAAAGCTGAAACCGAGTGCTGAGCGTAGAATGTGGAATTTCGAAATGGCATTTTCCAATTGCACTACCCTATGAGTCAGCCAGCGCAGTTGCGCCGCCCAGACTCTCTGTGAGTCAGACGTATGTGCGTTTTGAGTTCCGCGGACCAACTGCAACAGAGTTCATGATCTGATCAGATCATGATGCACCCAAGGCCAAAAACACCAAACCTAAACTTCCTGTTCTTCAATCTCTTCAGTATCGTCAAACTGCAGCTTCAATCAATTGAGAGACAGTCAATTGGCCCCGTATCTCCTTTGTTTCTTTCTTCTCGACCTTGCAAGAGCCCGCACAACACACAATGCGTGCACTCGCTGCATTGCCAGCCCGCATAACAAAAGCTGCCGCGGCTCCGTCCGCCCGGCGAGCGTTCAGCCAGCGCCCGGCGCCCCTCCGCGCACCGATGGCCATCAACGTCGACACACTACACCTCTGGGGTAACGCCTACGAGCAGCCGATACAGGAAGACGGCAGTAGCAACAGCGCAGAATTATCCTCCGGGCTGTGGGCGCGGTCACAACAGTGGCTGGACTGGTCCCACTGGCACATGCCCGACAAGACGATTGCCGAGCGCTCTGCCCTGCTGGCGGCCACGAGCAGCATCAGCGAGGCGCCGAGGAGGGCGGTCGCCACCGCCCAGGAGTCGCTCGTGGTGGCTACAAAGGAGACGCCTAGGCAGCCGCAGCCGACAGAGAGCGAGGAGGACGTCGATGCCGACCGCTCGGACGACGATCCCCTGCCGCCCGGGCTGCACCACCAGATCAAGCTCCCGGCCGGGGAGGCGGGGCCGAAGCCGACGGAGTCAGAGGAGGACGTCAATGCGGATAGGTCGACGGATGACCCTCTGCCGCCAGAGTCGCACCATAAGATAAGATGATGGTGATGATTGGGTGTTTTAAAAGAATAGGATGTCACCATATGCTTTTCAGAGGTGATTGAATCTACAGCCACTAGCAGGAGTTACAAAAAGAAATCAAATTGCACTTTAGAGATCAGGATTTTTGATCCTCAGACAATTGCTTGTGTGTGATCATCGTTGGCCTTTATTGGGTGGCTACTGTAGCATCCCTCCGACACCCGTCGTCCGTAGCTATGATGTTGACCGTTGATATGAGCCTGTCTGCCCTCTTACTGGACGCGACTTTGGACAGAGTACATATATATTTCATAACTTCTAGTCGGTACGCAAGGCTTCCGTCTTTCCATATCTCAACCCCGATCTGTTTAAGTCTGGACATGATTTTTGCTATCCTTTTGAATACAAAGACTCCAACCTAGCCCGATATATAGATATCAGGATCTCTACTCTCTCCATGCTGCTGCCTCAGCTGGCTGTCAGAATTGCATGAGTCCCGAGCGCGAAACTACACTATTCTGGGGCAGTCAGCCCGAGACGCTCAACGGAAGGCAAAGAGTTTTAGTTCTGAAAAGCTAAAAAGGGAAGGCTCTGTTAGCATACCAATCTTTTGAACCTATTTCATACTATCGTGATGGGGTCATACTTTGAGTTTGAGTCCCTCGGTTAATGCTGTGTGCCTTTGTTTAATAGCGTTGATGAGAAAGCCAAGAACTTCTCAAGTATACACAGTCATCCCGCACATATTTATGCGCCTCAAGTACCACGGCGGCTTTCAGCTGCTGTGGCAGCGCAAGCCTTCAATCATAACTACAACGTTGTGAGACAACGCATCTCAGTTGCAAAGCACAACTTGCAGGTCGGCCATGTCGAGTCCTGAGAGGCTCGGTAGAGAGAATGCGACGCCAGATAATACAAAATTGGTTCGATTTGATGATGCTATTCAAGGATTAGCTGAGATGTTAGCAGGCTAAAAGTCTGTGCATACCTTATTCATTGTTGAAGTATTTAAGGAGAATCAATTATCCCACGGAAGGCTAGATTTCGATACCTGACATAATCACGAGTGGGCTAGTAATGTGATAGCTTGTCTCTTCGCCGCCTGACCAGTATCACTGAGCTGGTCAGGTGTTATGGACCTTTTGAGTCCGGAAACGCTGTTGAGGTGTCCTTCGACGGTTCCAAGCCCGTCCAATATACGAGGTATGACCCTCGGTGGCAAAGACCTTCGTAGAATTGGCTCGATTTCCGCCATAGGCAGTGTTGCATCCGCAGCTTGGCTGACGAACACGCGGGTTACCCGGGCATAGAATTGTATGTCCCGGAAACTGACATCTTTTGAACGTTCTCTGGAGACTTTCTCTAACAAGCTGCGTATAATGTTCCAACCAGCTCGTCGAAAAGTGATGGGAACGCCGAGGCATTGATTGATAGCCGCCTGGCTCTCCCCCACAATCCATTTGCCAAGAGGTTGGAAATAGCCGCTCACGATGTCGAGGTTGGCTTGTTTTAGCATAAATTCGAGGTCACGAATATAGTGATCTCGGAATTTACCTGAAGTCAGCCTGGGTGTGACAAAGCATGCCAGAAAGAAGTTCGCCCATACAGGAAGAGGTTCCGGTGTTCGATTATCATCCTCAATGAGCATATTGCAATCAGCGTGGTGATCCAAGAGTATCTTGAACACGCCTTTATTCACTGCTTCAAGGAAAGGCTCCCTTGGGTAATCCATTGGGAGGGTCTCTTCTTCCAAAGCTGGATATGGGATCAACTGGCGAACAAACTCGGACCATGGTGAAATTGAAGCACCGGGAATCGGGCCATTATAGAGTTGATTCGGGTCCAGTCCCTGATCGAGCATGGCTCGAAGCATGTTAATCCTTCGGGTTGACCAATTTATGCTCTGAGTTGCTCCGCCATTGCCGTCAATCCGTAGAATTAAAGCCAATGGCGGCACCTCCAAGTTTAGATAAGTTGGCAGTCTCTCCGAATCCTTCATTTGGAAAGCATCAACCCCTGCGCGAAGAGCACACCTTTGAAATAAGATTTCCAGCTCGGTAACGTCACCGGGACTGACAGAGCTAGCTTGTCCCGTCATCAACATTCTCTTAATCGACCATTGCAGCTCTCCTATTAGATCTTGAACGGATGGGTCACCGCAGTCTTCTAGCTCCTCTACGTCATGAGCATAAGCAAGCGCTTCCTCCAAGGCCGAAGAAAGATGTCTGACCGCAGATTCAAATAGGTTCACTGATACAAACTTGGCGTGTTTGATCCAGCAGATGTAGGCTTGAAAAATTGACAAACATGGGTCAAAAGTGAGCCTGGCTTTGGCGATCAAGTACGCCTTCATGTTAGCGGTTCGAAGAAAGTCGCTGACAGTGCGATGCAGAAATTCCACTCTTTCCTGATGGTTGATCTCCAAGAGACCCTTGCACCTTGAGTTCAAGCGGCGAGAAAAAGGATCTAAAAAAGCCACGAACTGCGTGGAGTCCCAAGCGGTGACCTGTTCGTCGAAAGCGTAATGTTTGTTCTCATAGCTCATTTCGTGGAAACTGTAGATAGCACCGTGCAGTGGTTCCTTGCCTGCTAGCCCAATGAGCAGAGTCTCTGCCATTTTCTCGTGGTAAAATAGCTCCACTGAATCTAATATTGACTTGAAAAAACGCTCCAGGTCGCTTGGAACACTATCCAGCCTCTTGTGGAGGTCGGTCATCGTGTCGAGGTTGGTTAACCCTTCACGAAGGTGCCTGACTACAAGAAATACCCATAGGAATACTCCCTTGGCCCGGTTAGTTATTTCGTCCGCTATTGTAGCAGCATGTCGACTTCCATTATCTAGGAGACTCCAGCGATCATGCTTGCAAAGTAGGTCTCTCACATAATCATAGATGTCTTGTCTGGTGAGCTCGTGAACTTCAAGGCGGGGCCTATCTCTGAAATTCTCCGTGAAGACGTTCCAAGGACGACTTGAAACACATAATTTGACCCCCGGCAACTGAGAGAGTGCAATAACGGTCTGGCAAAGCTCTCCGTGATCGCCTTTGTATTCGTCCATTCCATCAAGGAAAAAGCAGAAGCTGACTGGAAGCTTGGGCTGCTTGGAGATTGCGGTAAGTGTTTGGCTTAGCTCGAACAGTGACCAGTCTGACGAATTGCGATTTAATTTGGTGGCCTCTTCCCATCTTACGGGGCAGACAGCAGGAATAAACTCCGGCTCCTGGCTGAAGATATCAAAGAGAAGTGAGCGAAGGAGCCCCTCCTGAGACCTCTGAATTGCCGTTCCTTCGCTCCAAAAGTAATGGCTGGCAATGACTGGCCTGTTGGTCTCAGCCCACTTCCTCAGGGCATTGCCCGTCCGCTGATCATCGGCTATGAATTTCATCAAGGTCGACTTGCCGGCTCCTGGTTTACCAGAGACCCAAAAGACTCCATCGCCTTCGATCAACCATTTGAGGAGGTCTGCATTTCGCCCACTGCTTTTGCCAGTAAAAATCCAATTGAACGTGGCCTTGTGGGCATCAGGAATACTCTCATGTCGAACAGGGCGTTGCTTGTAGTTGAGACTACGTAGTACCACATCTTCTTGGATGTACTTGCGCCCACTCAATGATAGCTTGGATATCTCAGACGTCAAAGAATCCATTTCACGAGCCAGCATTGGTCGCCAGCTCTCCTCTAAGCGCATTTCGTCGATCCGCTTTTGGATATGCTGAACTCCGCTCAGTATCTTGTCGCACTGAAAATTCCTTTGAAATATCGTCGTGTGAGATTTGAACGTGGCGAGTTGCGTGCTGATGGCTCCGAGTTTCTCGCTTACAACGGTGTCAGCCGCTCAACCTTTGCCTGAAGAACTGTAGTGGAATGAGTACCTCATCGTTACGCAATGATAAAAGATAATTTGCACTTGGTGTCTTTCGATGCGTGTTTTCATTGCATCAATCTCATCAGCCTTCACGGCTTCTAGTAAAACTGCCTGAAGGCTCTTCCACCACTTTGGACCTGAGGAACACTTCATTCTGACTTTCGCAATGATGTCAAGGAGACGTTTGCAGTCAGTTTGGCAGGCTCCGGCTAGAATTTTGATAGTTCGCTCATGTCCCGAGGCGCGTTGATCGGTATCATATGCCTCCTCGGGTATTTCTTGTTTTTGGCTCTGGAGAGCAGAACAAAAATCCGAGAGTTTAGTGGATACCATCTCGAGATACTCGCCTTCGCCGGAGAGTCCAGATTGGGAGTTGTGGATAGCCCTTGCGCTTCTGAGCAGTTCCCCAGTATATTGTACAAATTGAACAATTGTCCCTGCCAAACTGACGGCAGAAAGTGGTTCCATCTCGACTACAAAGGCAGAGTCTGCCAATGGGCCCGGTAGCGGCCAATCGAGGAATGAATTCTTCACACCTTGTGTTTGGGGACGGCTTTGTCACAATTAGCTTCACAACCAGAGGCTGAAAACAAAAGTGCGTATGTGAAATCTCTTTACTATCTGCACATGACCCGGCTGATAACCACCATCGTTTTCTTCCGCTAGGCGTTTTTGTGTAAGTTCCATAATGCCTCGCGCTGGCAACCAACCCATTTCAGGCAGCCATGTCCATGTAAAGTAACTGGCGATTGTGATTTGCTCGCTACCTATGCCACATATTATACCCGTCGATATCTTCCACCGCGATCAGTCATATAACGAAATAATACCTGAGAGTACCCACCATCTTGCTAGTATATGAACGATATTAGACTGCGAAGCAGTTTATCACGATGACATAACGTGCGGATTGACACGAGCTCGCTCATTGATGACATTCCATTATTACAGCTTGCCGTTACCATCGCCAGCATATCCCCATCGCTCCACCTCGGATGTACCCCTTACATCATTGATACATGGATTTCAGCTCCTCGTGGGTTCTCGAAGCTTGGTTCACTGATTTGTATTGAGTGGGTTTTAATGTGAGTCGATTGAAAACGTCTACACTGACGAAGGAGGAAGGGCACCTGTGTCCGCTCATGTGGCTCATACTGGGACAGCCGTCTAATGTTTCTCTTCTGAACAAGTCGGAACCATGATACAAGCCTATTCGGCAAGAATAAGTGTAGGAGATCATCGTCCTATTGAGAGAGGATGATTTCTGAACAGATGAATCAAGGCCAGCATAGCAATCTCTGTTTTCGGAAGGCCCAACATCGACACACAGGAACCTTAGGTGAAATGATTGAGCGTTTATTAGCATCGGTCACTGTCGCCTTGATTACAGTTGAATCCTATAAATTTTATCTTAGACTATTAGAAAAATAAATGTAAGATAGATATCTAACTATTGAGTGAATTGAATCTGATCAGTAAAGATCTCTATTGACAATTTACGTCGTCTCAAGACGGCGCATCGTTGGGTACGCAGTTGTATGACAGCAAATCTAATGCAAATACCACAGCCAAAGTGAGCGAAACCTAGCAATTTCTTGAAAACGCTTGTCTCGTTTGTTGATAATCTTAGAGTTGAGTATCCCTTAGTTTCTCAAAGACTTCCAGACTATCAACTGAAATCAGCACACCCAGCATTATTCCTATGGCTGAGGAGGCGTCGGGCTCGCTATATTAGGACCCGAAGTTAGCGGGGCGACCTGGATAGTGGAAACTTGGCTAGTGGCAGGGGTTCTCCACATTCGGGCTGGTCTCGGCCAGAGGTGTGCAGTGCACTTTGTTAGCACATTTTCTATGTCAGAGGGCCTGGAAGGGACGGATGTGCCTAGCGTCTCGACTGAAGAGAAATGAACACTTTATGCTATTGATATCTTCGATTCCTTATTACCTTTTTACTAAAGTTTCTTCGGAGTGAGTGAGTCGTGACCTACGCTGCTCGTCACCTAGGCTTTACCCCACCTAAACCGCCTCCCCACCTTCACTCTGTTCTCGAAAATATTTGGGACTACACTTCCGTTTTTCTGTAAAGATCTTCACAGAGCGAAAAAAGAGCCATGCCTCTGACGAATCTGCTTGCCGGAAAGACGGCTATCATTACTGGAGGCACCACTGGCATCGGCCGGGCCATCTGCTTGGAGTATCTGCGCCAGGGCTGTAGCGTTGCCGTCAGCCATCTAGACTTGCCAAAGGACAAGCCTCATTTGGACTCTCTCATCTCAGAAGCCGAATCCATAAAAGCCGCCAACTCCTCAGCCGGCAGCTTCGCACATATCCAAGGTGATGTGTCAGATCCGGAGTCTGGGACGAAGTTGGTTGTCTTCGCCATGGAGCAGTTCGGTACGGGCAGGCTAGACGTCTGTGTTAGCAACGCCGGCATCTGCACTTTTGCCGAGTTCCTAGATCTGCCCGCCGACTTGTACTCCAAGACGGTGAGGACAAACCTCGACGGTGCTTTCTACACCATTCAAGCCGCAGCAAGGCAGATGGCGCTTCACAACTCCCCTCCAGGTGGCTCCATCATCGGTATCTCATCTATCTCAGCCCTCGTAGGCGGTGGTGGACAGACACATTATACACCGACCAAAGCAGGCGTCCTCAGTCTAATCCAAAGTACGGCGATTGCACTAGGCAAGTACAACATCAGGTGCAACGCCCTGCTACCTGGCACCATCAGAACCCAGTTGAACGATGAAGACTTGGCCGACCCAGAGAAGAAGAAGTACATGGATGGTCGTATACCGCTGGGTAGAACTGGTGAGCCAAAGGATTTGGCTGGACCTGCAGTGTTTCTAGCATGTGGTGAACTGAGCGGCTATGTATCTGGTGCATCGCTTCTAGTGGATGGCGGAGCCTTTGTCAACTTTCAGTAACGTTGTTATCGATCCGACAGCGATTAGCAATAACACGAACTAGAAGACTCTCGAGATCTTTCGATTGATCACTGTTACACTTGTAAGCACTGAAACAGGGCAGCAGTGTCTGCTGCTGACCAAAAGCCTCTCAAGATGTCACATGGCACACACAAAGAGAAGCCTCCAAGGTATGAGAACGTACTGAGAATGAATGGATAACCATTGCTGTATCGTGAATTGTAGTAATTAGTGAAGCCAATGGCAATGAAGTACGTAATAGCAAATAAGTTACCTGAATGCATGCATGGGTAAGGCCATGCTCCTCCAACTCAGCACATATCTTGATTCTGCTTCAAATTGAGCAGCGAGATTTTGAGACTATGGGTGTTAAATATATTGTACGCTCTGCATTTGTAGCAGATCAAGCCTTTGCAAAATTGAAGGGTACGCTCTGCTCATGGTATCTATTTTAATTTTGAAGGTCAGTTTTATTCGCGGTACTAGATTCCAGCAAGCTTTGAGATTTTGGTAAATTCAGCCAATGTTGCAAGTTTACATTCGCTGATTGCGTTATCATGAAAGCTAGACAAGCAGAATATATGACACCACTCCATGATTGACTGCCCTAACTGAAAAGACTCAATATATAGTCAGGGACTTCATTAGAAGACAGGGGAAAGCAAAGTGTTGTCGACACGGCTCTGTGGACGGGGGGATCCGCTGGCTTCGCAACTCTGTCAACTTGGAGTCCTTGGACGACCTAGCCCACATTCTCCGATCACATATCCCCGTCACAGGTGCAGAAATCTGGTTAACGACTAGAAGTCCTCGAAAAAAGATTAACTTAACATGGAGCTTATTGTACTTGCCAGATTATTACTATACTTTAGATAAGCTATACGATCATTCAGAAGCTTATATTTAGATATCATTCTTGAAGAGTAGTTCACCCAAAACTTGCACGTTATACGTTTTAATTGCGCTTAGCAAAATAGTCTTAAGGTGACTTTCATTTGACAATAGGCAACAATAAAGCGGACTGATCACTATCACGAATGATGGTAACATGGGTTTCCTCTGAAATACCTCATGACTAGGTGATCAAATATACTGGGCAGTTTCCGTCTAAAGAGATTTGCCTCCCCAATCTTCTGTAAATGCAGACCCAACAGGCATAATCCCCGTTATCCAAAACTGCGAGTGCTGGGATATCACTCTTCGGCATCTCCTCAAGGCGTTCAACGTCGTCGGTACCTCCTTCCTGATCGCGCGGCTGAGATAAAACGATTGAAGCTGCTAGTCGTGCCGGCCAGTTCCTGTGCGCGCGAATCAGACCAATGCCAGGAGGGATGTCCAATATCTCTTCCCATGTGTCAATGAGAGTAAATTTTTCTATCACCTTCTTGCGCATGTCTTCTGAGTGGCAACAACCCTTTTCTGACCGGCGCGGGATAGAAAGACGCTGTCCAACCTTGCGCTCGAAGACTATGAGCGGGTTCAAATCGGCCACCCATACGCCCGCGTCGTACGCTGATACAACTGTCTCAACGAGGAACACTTGATGGTCAATGATACCGACCGCTCCGTAATCTAAGGGGAACTCGTGAGAGGTGAAGGCAAGGTGCATTGATGTGCCTTTGAAGTTATCCTCTCTCTTGCCATCAAATGGGGCATAGGTGACCGCCCGGAACGAGTTACTTAGCGGTCGCCGGAGAGGAGCAGCAGCTGGGGGTATCAGCAGGCTGATTCCAGGACGCCCTACATTGCCAACAATCCTAGTGATGGCACTCTCTGCAATATCTGAGTTTGGATCATTAAGAAGCCTCGATAAAACGAAGAGCGAGTTCCCTGACGATAGAGCGATAACCTGATCAAGATTTCTTGCGTCTAAGTTCACCTGCCCGGTTTCCATCATGACTATGCAGCTGAAGACCATGGATCTGGTAATTGGTGTCTGTGGTCCAGTCGCACCCCATTTCGCACCCTGGATTCCAAATGCGGGATGAGATCGTAGCGCCTTCAAGCTGGCTGTATATCTCTCGTGCAATGGAGAGGCTCCTCAAAGAATTGATTGTGGCATCGCATGCCTTTCGTTCAGATTGCACTAGTTCCAGGAAAGCACTAACAAGGTTCTCTGGCTCGTAAGGATCAGGTCCTTCAAGATATTGCCAGAGGAGACGAGGTTCGATCAATCCATTCCGGAGTTTTTCAAGAGCTTCGTTCAGATCCAGTAGTTGCTGCTCTTGTCCCATTCTAAGCTTCTGGATTCTTTCTTCCAAATTGGGTACTCTTTCCGCACCTGATTCGGTTATCCAAAGGTGCAAATTCCCTTTTGATGAGCCAATCACCTTCGTGAAATGCACGGGCGAGTCACGAAACCACGACAGAGAATCTTGAAGGTGAGCTTGACAGTCTGAGACGATGCGTTTGTCGTTGTCGTCTAATTGTACACAGAGAAGCGGGCACAATAGTTTGGTTGTACCAAAACCTCTAAACGTTGGTGTGGTTGCCGTGCCACTTGCACCAGAAAACTTGGATTTGAAGTTTTCATTATATATGCCGAAACGACCAACCCATGTTAGATGACGGTCATGGAGCGCCCCATTCTTCCTTATCCGCTCTAAGATCTTCAGCTGATCGCGACTCTCTTTGGAAGCTGAGTTGTCTTGCTCTGGTACTACCTTTTGGTCGACTGGTGTTGGTGCAGTTGTTACAGCCGTGCTGTACTCGTGTATCACCATCTTCTGCGTATCCACGGTATGATTTAATTTCAGGGTGATGAGGCCCTCGTCGTACTCCAAACCAGCAGCCTTGGCGACTTCACGTAAATATTGGGTAGCGCAGCTCTTTGGTGACCCTTGAGCCAACGACATGAGCAAGTGGGAAAATCTTAGCCCAAACCACGGTAACCCAGCATTCTGCGACCCTCCTCTTGTCAAGAACCTACGACCTCGACGTCGGCCGAAGTCAATCAGGCACAACAATTCAGACTTTTCCGCCTCCGATGATTCCAGGAAGCGCTTCGCCGCTCCTGACAGATTCTCTAACCATGAGGCGCCACACATTGCAGATTTCGCGCTGCTAGTACATTCCCAGAGGGCGACAAACCATTCTAAAGACAATTCTAATTCTGAGCGAGGAGACCTCCAAGTGTCTAGAAGGCTGCCAAGGGCAACCAAATGTAGATCGTCAATAGTCAGCCTATTGTCAATCTCACCAATTGCTTTGATGGGTTTGCCGTAGTATCGATAATGCGAAAGGGCGACAGACCAATAGATCCCCTCGTTTTCGACAGTAGATGCTCGGGTGGTTGTGATGCCAACGGTCAGTATGCCTGCTGGAGGAAAGAGGGGATCGGCAAAGGCAACATTCTTCGTTTCGCTGCCGAGAACAAGTAGATCAGGATATAAATGCCACGCAGAGATAGCTAAAATAATGGCCCCGTCTGTTGCACTCTGAGGCACGTTGTTGAGAAGCTTGTCCAGACCAAGCATTGCTTGTATCCATGATCTGATCACATCCGTGTAGAGAGCCGCGCCTGTTGCAACTGGTAGGTTGATGTTTTTGAGAATCAACTTCAATTGCGTACATTCTTTTCGTCTGGAAGAGTCTGCGGTTTGAAGCCACGCCCTGGCGTGTGCATCCCATTGCCGAAGCTCTTCTCGTGGTATGGGTTGAGTTGCTGCGTTCATTTCGGCGATCTGGGATATGTTGGATGCAAGACTGTGGCCACCATTCTGCTTCAGAATCTCACGTTGCCGTTCCAGAACAAGTTCAGCCCAAACGGATACAGAGTGGGCCGGATCTTTGAAAGCTCTTGCCAACAGGCAAGCTAGAAGATGAACAGCAATAGGTATGTGTCCCGACGTAGCCGCGGCCCAGATGGACGTAGCATCAACTCCGACGAATTCCGCAAATAAGCCATGTTTGTCGGTCCTGCCCGAGGGATTGATTGCTGGGTTCTCAAGTATCTCGCTCACTCGTTTCCCGTACGCTGCTATTACTGCTGGCACGTGAGGAGTGATAGACTCAAACAGAGCACCGAGCTTGCGAGCTGTTCGATGAGTGGCTCCTATCTCAGCGTTCTCCCGGCGGAACTTAGCCGGGGCGTTGCCGACGCCGTGGTATTCTAGCGGAGCCTCGACTTTGACCAAAGAGAAGTCAAAGTTAATGCTGGCTAAAGCAACAGTATTTTCGTTAATAGCAGTAATCACGGAGTTTGAGAGCCTTCCTAGCGAAGTCATCGCAGCAACCTATGTTCAACTGAAATGTTCAGCCATAGGGCGCGTAAAAAGTGTCAGTAAAGAAGACACATCTTTCTCATTTTAGGTTGAGCTGGTGCAGGGAGCTGAGAGTATTTCAAGAGAAGGACATTAGATGGCTAATTGGCCTGGTCGCCTGCAGTGCCACCAGTATATTGCTGCAGGTAGGCGAGACCAAGACCAACCAAGTATCGTGAAAGAGCACTTTCATGTATGTAACCTGCCTGCCGGAAAAAGTCGTACTGGTCACCCGAGCAACTTTTAGAGCGATTGGGCAGACGGTGACAAAATGTCAGTTTGGGTGTCATCATGGGGTCACTGGTGCTTCTAACTATTTTACGGGCTTCCTTAGCTGTAAGATAACAACAAATGGTTAAGAAATTTGTCCAATAAAATATGCCAGGTTTGTGAGTTCATAGATATTGTAGTTAATTGTGGAAGGAAGTTATACTTGTTTGATTTCTGGCGATATTTCTAACTACGATATAAGTTAAAGGTTTCGCGAGTTCATCCACAAATATATAAGAAATTAGTCATGTTGTGCAAACATCAGCCTCCACTATTTCTGGCCAGTTGATTGAAGAGAGTTGCGTAATACAAGGCAAGTTTTACGCTCTTTTTCGTTTTATCTTGACATGGCTCCATTACTTGACATTGAGGTTCAGGACACGCCGTTTGTAAAGAGCTGGTTCCAGGCAGCAATCCACAATCCTGTAAGCTTTGCCATTCACTCCAAAAGCGATTGGAGTGTCCTTAGCACAAATTAATACAGGTGATCGTATGTGAGGTGCAAATTGACCCTGGGCAAGTATCAGATAAGACGATTAAGACGATTAAGACGCAAGATATCTCCTCTCCTATGTGTGACTATCTTCTCATTAAGTAATATCTAAGCTGATCATTGATTTGCCCGTCGAGCTTTCAAATATAATCTTCTATAGAGCACCATAAGCCATTATGATGGCGTCAACTGTATGATACGCAACATATGGCAGCCCCATGCTCAACCTCCCGTACGCGATAGCAAACTTGTACATATCATCCGATATCGCGCTCCTGTTGGACAGAATTGTACCAGCTTCGCTGAACAGGCCATCAGACTCAGCATCATATTCAATACCCCACCCTGGCTTCTTGTTATCCTCAAGGATCTCCTTGTGCCAGAGACTGTGGATCTTGCGGATGACTGGTGCAAGATCATCGGTGACGCCAAGAGGCTGTCTCTTCTCTACCTGCGCAGCCCCGTTCTCGACCATGTCATAATACAGGTTATAAAACTTGGTGGCCGGTGAGGGAGGCAACGGCTCTTGGGTGCGAGCCCGCTTAAGACCACAGACAAGGGGTTCTAGCAACCCCTCCTCAGTAACTTGCTCTTTTGCCATGCGGAAGATTTCCCATGTCCACTCCCAGAACTTGGGGTAGTGGGTTATATACATCTCTAGAGTCTCGAAGATCTTCCTGTGCCGTGCTCGACAGAAACTATATGGCGGGGAGGTCGCGGCAATTCTCCCATCCTCCCTGTTATTGAACCGAGCTCTGTGATGTCCACGGAAAATTTCGCAAAGCATTCCCGATAACAAAGTTGACACTGTCTTCATAGATTGCTCAATGGTCAGGCCTTCGGGATACAGGAGACGTAACAAATTCCTTGTTTCGCCAGTCCTGATATCTGTGTGAAGGTCCATAACATCATTTGGCAGCGCTGACCCAATCAGCGAGTCCATCCCCTCGTTGTCAAGCCACGCGGCTCCGTCGCTGCACATGTATGCCGATCCAATAGTATCAAGTGCACGTGCGGCGATAACGAGTTCATCATCAAGCCCATGTTTTATGGCGGCGACCTTCGGGATTTTGAACGACCTTGCATTCTCGCAATCGTTCATGGCTCGCAAATACGCAAGAGCCACGCGCCAGAAGCAACGATCTTGACCAGACTTCTTGTCATCGAGTGTCGGCAGCGAGGCTTTTGCTAGACTCTCAAAGGCGCGGATTCGGTCATTGAACTTGTTGTTGCCTTTGGCCCAGTCCACGCCAGTTAGGGCCGAGTATACATAGTCTTCTCTGGCTGAATTGGGCTCAAACGTGAACGATTGGCACATCATCAGATAAAATGGAAACTGGACAATGATCGGAGGATCGCACTCGAGACCAGTCAGCACTTTGCCCCAAGAGGAAAAGTGGTTATCGCCGCCGGCTCTCGAGGTGTGAAACTCCGCCTGCAAGTCTACCGGCTTGTCCGTAGCGTCTGCAGCTAGGAGGATTGCAGCGCCAATCTCCAGTGTGTATTGGTAAGTCAATTCGATCGCATCCAGATCATGCAATCCAGTACTGGATTTCCTCTCGCTTTCAACAAAATTGTGAAATGCTGCCGCATATGGCTTGACAAGCTCGAGTACTTTGTCTTCGGGCTTGTAGCTGGCCAGGGCCTTGCTCAGCCAGGGAGCAAGGTTGCTTGTCAATGGATAGGAACCAATGTGACGGAAAGTTCCATCTGCTTCAAGTGGAGGTCGGGTTTCATACTGCCTATCCAACCAAACCCTCTTGGAGGATGGGCCGTTGTCGCCGCCGTTTTCGCGGAAGATACTGTCTTTGCAATTGTCATGAGAGTGCAGGTTGTTTTTTAGGTCACTGCCTTTCAATGCGGACATTGCATCCCCAGTATACCGCATCTTCCGCGTGTTGATCATTTTCACTGCCGGTGCTGCCATTGTGAAAGCAAATTGAGTGAATTGTGTGGGTTGGTAATGTTATGGGTCTGATTGAAGCCCAAGAGTGAGGGGTCCTTTGACAACATATACTCGTGGCGATCTCAAAACGGCCAAACCTGCTCCAGAGTAGACCACTCAACGCGTAGCAAGTGGATTGTCTTCTTGGAATCCCCACGAGCACTTCACCATTTCTGATAATAGCGTTGCATCCTGATAGGTCTACAGTGATCATCAAGAAAGCAAGCATTTCTCGCCCGCGAAGTGTCGACAATATCGTCACTTACAGATTCCCTTACATCACTAGCGCTAGCCGTTTTCTCCTCTTTCTTCGCTAAGGATTCACTGATTCCTAGATAAGTGATGCCGCCACACCCGCTAGCAATTGATTGGCATTGACCTTTATCGCCCTTTTACGGTGCCAAGGGTAATAAAGTCAGTGGAAGTCTAACTCACGGGATGCCTGGCTTTGGATTTGTCCCCACCCCCGGCTTCTATCACTTATCACCTGCATTGAGCAAATACAGAGACTTGCACTAGAGGTCGCTTACCGTGGCTACAGCTTCAAATACGCACACCGACAGGTCCGACACGTTCTGACCGAGCATTTCCCATTGGTATCACGCATCACATTGCGTATCGCAATGATACTGCCGCTTCACTAGCTCAGGCGTTGTCGTATCTGGAGATATGCCCGAATTACGAATTACCGAGTGCACTTTCTCGGCATGGCATCAGCGCGGGGACGGTCCGCACCGAAGCGTGATGCCTCGACATGGTTACCCTAGCCCCATCCTCCCGGAGCAGTGTTTGCAAAGCGTTAGTACCCTTGAAGCGGCATCATGTCATCTTATCGCTGTACAGAAGTGGGCACTATATTCTCCAGTGATCTGCCTGGATATGTCTGGAAACTGCAAGACGCAATGATAACGATGACCGTTGCCATACGCAAGTGCTCTTGACGAGCCTTCCAGGATATACCTGGGCACCCATTCTATCAAGGTTTGATACATACAAATACTACGAGCAAGTATCTTGCTCAAAACAAAACTCAACCAATATACTTCTATTATAGCCTCCTCATTCTGTACAACTAGCCATGCATGGCCCCGCACAGACAACATATTTACTTCGACCATTCTGGTAATAAATGCAGCTTATCATTCTCTCTTTGAAGCATATCAAATCCTCTAAACCTCTTGAGTAATATGATGTGATCAATCAGGAAAAGGTAAAAACGCAGGTCTCCGGTCCTGTTGACCATAATCAGGCATTCATCAGATGCAACACATGACAAAACAGTGGCTTGATGACATTGGCCAGTCCTTACGGAGGCGCCGGATCATTACACAGTTCCTCCATGTTCCTTGAGGAGATAGTTTCCCTGAGTTGTTCACCTATTGACTTTCCATTCAGTTTTTGGAGCTTAGAAACTCAACACAAGGCGCTCTTCAGGCTGAGTTGGTCTCCCTACCAACACATCTGCTTTGACAGCCGACAAATCCATCACAATATTAAACAGAGTCGCCGCAGTACTCTCGCCCTCCTGAATTCTGCATATAGCACCAGGTAAATTCGTCTCATCTTTGAAGAGTTCTTGAATAGAGCTAATTGTTGGCTCCGAGACTGTATCTGTCAATTCTTGGATACGCTTTGTTCTGTGGAAGCTATCATGTATCCATTGAGAATCTACAATCCCTGGGTGATCGAGAAGAAGGTGGTTTCCATGATGAATGCGGTTGTCTGCTAAAGGAATGGACTTGTACCCAAGATGAGACCATTCTAAGCCAAGAGCGCTGCTTCTGTCACCTAGTAGAAAGAAGCATGACGATGCAACTCCGTATTTATCTAGGCTTCTGACAGCTTCTTCTAGTGAATTTGAGTTCAAGGCCACTCTCAACCCCAGGTGCATTGGCAAGCGTTTTGGGTCCATTCCCTTCGCCCGGATTGCATTGACACACACTCCAACACCTAAGGCTGTTGTTATACCTAGGTTGACAGCGAGAGGCTAGAAGGGTGACTCACCTGCAGAGTTCAAGCCAATCTTGCCGATGAGTCCAGCTTCAACAAGAGTCTTGATACTAGGGAGGCCCTGTTGTTCGATGCATAGAAGGACGATATTCGGCTTTTGTTCTTCCATCCACTAATCATGTCAGCCTATCCCTTTTCGACGAGGCTATGATACTGACATCCCAATTCTGAGCGAGAAACGTCGTGCCTGGCGTATTCCATGCCATAGAAGTACATCCGTCTGAGAACAGACCAAATGTAATTTCTGTTCGCACGTTCAGAGCGATAATGTCTGCCAGATCGACGCCCGCTCCATCAGCGACGCCTATTTCAGTGAGCTATGGCCCGTCAATCAAGCTTGATTAACTTCACCTTGCATCTCTTCAAGTAGGTATGGCCAGTTAGACTGGATGTGCGGCTCAAATTCTAATGCTGTGTCCTTGACAGTCTTCCAATTCATGGCGGCAGTCTTCTGGAATAGGCCGTCGTAGAAGCGAATAGAAGACTTGACCTGAGAACTAGCCTGAGATCCATGCGCGTGACCAATCTTCAAGCAAACGCTTCCAGTGAGTTACAAGAGCATGAATGGGCGGGTGATACACACACCTCATATGGGCTGCCCGAACAGTATATCTGCAGTACCATCTTGGTAATCACTATGTTAACAAATCTTGGCACCTTGGCAGATAGGCACAATATTCAAATGAAAAGGTTTGGTATGTGCTGGTTCTTGCCACCCGAACCGGCCGTATTGCGCAAGCTCATGTATATTGGCTTCGTATATCTCTTTGCACGACGCTACTGGTTTATTCAGGAATGCTGTGAAAGTTTCTCTTTTTGTTCCTGATGCCTTTCGCAATGACCGAATCGTCCTCGGTCGTCACTTGATGGCTGTTGAAGGGAAACACTTTGAAGAAGATTTCCTAGCCTACGACATCAACATTTTGGGCCGGATATAGTTGCCCGACCCGGGACACACTCGCGCACGTGAGAGTAACTTCAAACCCAGCCTTAGCTCACAATAATTTAGCTCACAAAGAATATCGTAGCATACAGAGCGTTGTGATCCCTCAGTCACCTCTTACCTCTTGGGGCTCAATCAAACCAGAACTTATTGATATTCGGGGTAATAGTCGCGTCTGCTTGGGACTTGTTTATTTGACCAAGTGAAACCGTTGTGATTGCGGAATAAGATGCACGATTTGCTGACTAAAAAGGATTTATAAATGATGTATCGATATTGGCTCGCATTCACGAGTGGAATTAGCCCATGTAATTGTGACTAGAAAGGGCAATGCTTCTTTTCGCATATAATTAGCTGAGACCGATCGGACCTATGACAGTCAAGGACTCTTGAGCGTAGAAGCCATCTGCCCGTTATCCCGTGAAATAATGCTGACCTACCCCTCCCTCCTTGCACTTGTTTTTGTGGTTTACGTTCCTTACCACAACTCAAAGAAATATCGAGAAGCGCGATGGCATACATCCCTCCATTCTATCGGATCTTCTTTACATGGATTGATCCGATTATCGCTTTGCATGGCGCGTGGACGCACTTCCGAGATCCCGACTTTATACTCAATGCATACATACCGCGTGAGATGTCACAGCGCAACCCGCTGCACGACATGCTCATGTATAACTTGGGCGGCGGTCTGCTGCAGATTGCTATCATAAATGGAGGCCTATTGCGGTATTCAAGCGACATCAACGTCTGGAAGATTGTGCAGGCTGCTATTCTAGCCTATGATATCGTTATATTGTGTACACTCTACGTGAGCCTCGACCAGCAGGGCCGTCTTAGTCCGACAATATGGAGGCCAGAGGATTGGGGTTGCTGGGCAATCACTTTATCGGTCGGCCTCGCGAGAACGTTATTCATTGCTGGCGCGGGACTTAATCAACCGATTACTCAAGTGAAGAATGCCTGATCTCAAGCCTTGGGAAGGAGACACCTAACAAAGATGGCATTATACATTTGTCTTACCTCATCGCTTTATAGTCGCCACGCTAATATAAACATTAACAACGATGGGTCCTATCAACTGAGATTCTATTCTGTTAGAATTGTGACCTAACAAGGAGGTCTTTTCGATTTTGGAGCACTATTTTCAGTGGATTTAGCGTGACGGATGAATAAAATCAGCAGATGTACGTTACAATGACGAGTCAAGCTGGAAAGTTGGACTTCGCAAGTCGTTCAAAACGACCCATCAGGTCTAGGAGCAGAATGGAAATCTTTGAGACTGAGATAGCCAGATAGCGTTGTGCATCCTGACAAGTACTGTAGACACCGCATAAAGGCTAACTTCATCTCATTGTAGTCTTTATACGAGCTCCATAAATTTTGCAGAGGCGGCATGTTCTGGTACCTCATTTAACTCTCCTTTCATCACACCATGAAGAAAACATGGCCCCACAAGCTGAAATTGGTCTTCGAATGGCGTGGGACGAAGCACGACTGGGCAAGCTAGGCCATAGATGATGCCGATTTTGTCTCCCGCTCTCGTAATACTCGGTAAGAATCCCATCAAGCCGTTTTCAGTTATAACAAAATGGTTCGTTTCGAGCAGGTTTGCGTTGTGAGACAGGAGATCGTTTAAACCTAGACGAACAGACGCGAGAGATTCGACGGCCTCTTCGATGTTGCGACCCCCTGCAGCTGCAAAACAATGCTTCAGCGCCTCCCAGGTCCTATCAAATCCATCATCTTTCAATTGACTTGGTCTACTCCCAGATACCTTCATTTCTCCCAGAGTGCCCCCGGCAGTGAAGACGCTCTTAGACACTACATCGTAATCCTCTCTCGTCGGATAACCTCCTTCCTTCTCGTATCTCTCGGAGGCAAATCGCCAGACAAAAAAGATGTATTTGAGAACCTCATCGACATCCATTGGCCCAGTCTTCTCTTTGTCTCTTGTTATTTCCGGTGGGAGTGGCTGCTCTAATCTGTCGAACAAAAACCCTTTAACAGCTACTAGATGCGGACACTTCGTATGAAGTACGAGTGCGGGACTCCACGACATGCCTGCTATAAAATGAAGAGGCGTCCAGTTTCGAACGCCCCTGGCCTTCTCAGACCTTGGCTCAGGGGCCCAAGACGGAAGAAAGGGGCGAGTGCCTAGGTCCGTATCAACGCTCTCTAGACCTTTCCGGTCTCCGGCCTTTTCAGCTATTATGCCTGACACGCCCGTGGTGCTGCTCGGGTCATATCGACGATCTAGGCCTGCCAAAGTCAGAACTGATAAGCCCTCGCGCAGGAGATGTTGCCTGGCAAATTCTGTGTAGACCCCTTCTGCTTGGGCTTCATAATTGGGCTGTAAGACCATATTTGAACCGGATGGGATGAGGCTCAACACAGCATAGACTCGATCTAAAGGATCTTTACATCCCCACATTCGAAAAGTGGTTACGTTGCCGTACGCCTGCATTGTATAGTCATGGAACATGACCCTACCGCTATTGACCTGTTGAAGTTGATCACGATATGCCACGAGGGCGAAGGCGGGCCAGAACGGGGAGCTGCTGAAGCTTGTCCCCTGGATCAGGCTCTCTGCCGCATTATGAAGTCTTGTGGCCCTACGAAATCGCTCGAAGTCGATTTGGTAGTGGCCAATATTAAGGGTGATTTGCTTAGCTAGCAGGACTTCCTGAACAACCCAGAGGCGTGTGAACCAGGTTCTGCCGTATATGTCGTCAAGATGCTTGGACTGTTGCATCCGACATATCCGAACCGCTTCATCGATTTCCATAGGAAAATATAATTTGTCCATGGCGGGAAGAGCGAGCGGGCGAACATGGCTATCATATTTCTCTGTCTCGCTGAGTGCTGCGAGTTCCTCTAAATATTCAGTAGCGGCTGATGTGTGCTTAGTCTCTGACCCAAGCCATGCCAAGACGACTTCGGCATTCTTGTAAATGTCACCCATTTGAGCAACTTGCACGGATTTCTCGGCAGTGTCTTGCTGGTTGATGCATACAGCATCTATCCAGATATGAAGGACCGAATCTTGCTTCCGGAGTGCCCTGAGCGCCAAGCCAAGGTTACCAGTAATTGGCAATATTCCTGTTGTCAAGTCAAGGCTATCACTCGCCTCGATGCCAGCCCATGTATACGATAAAGCGAAGTAGGTTGCCGTGTTCTTGCTTGAATGTGTCTTCAAGATGCCTCGTAAAGGAGCCTCGTGCATTGGTGAAGCCTGGAGTTCTAGTATACGGAGCGAACCCGTATTTGGCAATGCATCGTACTTAAAAGTGCCCGGCGCAGATAATATGTCCGGATGGGTCGCCTGAGGACTGCGATCTTGTTGTTGCCGAAAAGTCTTGTCGAGACACTCAAGACAAGCAGGCACACCGCTGCTTATCTCCTTTGCACGCGTCTGATACTCCATTCTAGTAGCTCTGTTGAAATAGTGAACCAAGTCTGGAACGCCAGGGTCTCCATATTCAACAGAATGTGTCTTGGCAAGAGCGAACAGGTCCTCAAAATTTGGCTTTATGAAATGTAAGTCGAAGGCATCTCCTAGATGACAGACTTCATCTCCAAAGAGTAGTTTCCTGTTTGGCCTGTCCATTGGTGGCATTGCGACGACAGAAGTTCTAGCCGAGTCAAGAATACAGCGACTTGCTACTTATTGCAGCCTAATGTCAGCTGGTAAATTAGGCACCGAAATCCATCAGGCACGAATAGAAATGAAGCAACTCATATAATAACCTGGACAAGGCTGCGTAAAAACTTTTCAGCAGCTTGGAACATATTATTGAAGTCTTTCATATTATTTGAGACCTCTTGCGCCGCCTTTATAGCACACCTCCCTAAAGCATACATCTCGCGGAGGACCACCACTTTCCCTGCCCACTACGAACTTATCTTTGACTTTGGGGTTCCCGGCAGTCCATGTAACGGCATATACAATCTGTACTGAATTTTACTACGACAATATCACAAAATACTACCTAGAATGCTCCAACCTCCCTTCTCCTGCTTGCCCTTGCCACATACCTCTTTACAATTAATGGCATTTACCCAATAGATCAGGGGGCACGGCTGCAAAGCTCTATAGTGATGCTCTTATAAAGTGAAGCTCGGCACAAGCATTTGAGTATGTCGGACATCAACATTGTTTGCCTTAGCATGCCCCAACTACGTGGGTTGGCTTGGCCAATTGCCCTTATCACGCTCCGCTACAAATGTAGCAGTATCCGTAGGTGGGCAAGGTGGGCTGGGCTATCTATAGTTCCACCTTGAATGCCCACATCCGTGGGGGTCGGTTGTTCGAAATCAATCTCGTATGTAAAAGTGTTCCAGGGTTCAATCCTCTACTACGCTATAAGTTGGAATATAACAAGGCCTAACAGGACCACCATACTGAAATTCTCGACAATGCGCATGTATGTTTAATGAGGTAACATCCAGTCTTTTTAAAGTATGGAAAGGAATCCAGGGGATTTTGATTCGTCTCCTCAAACGGGGAGGTAGGATTGCGGGGAAGACCGACTCAAAAAGTCTGTGCCATTGCTGATGGCGGGGGTTCATGAAGATCGTCAGAGAGGGGAAAGTTGTGGAACCAAGGAACGTAGCATCCCTCGTGAGCGTGACCCGTTACCGGGCCGGTTGTTGAATGTAAGATTTAGGCAGGTGGAGATATAAAAGCGTTATAGCGAAGCTCTTAAAGCTACAAAAGCATGGCTCCATCACCATCACGAAGGAGCCGTTGGGCCGTCTGCCCTAAAGCTGTATTCCGAAATTGAGGGTTCGAATTGAGTTCAAAATGGGTCTATCCAGGAATCTCATTTATGTAGCCCTCTCCGCAGGGCTGGCATTAGCTCAATGCCCGGATTACTCGGAGTATGCCATGGAGAAACACCCTCCATATAGTGACGGCATATACAAGCTTGCTTATATGCGTCCAGACCCAGCCTGCCGTACCTTCAATTCATCGGATGTGGAGAATCTGATCGCTGACATGGAGGACACAATCGCAGATCCAGATCTGTATCGAATTTTCCAGAACTCATATCCTAATACATTGGACACAGCAATCAAATGGAAAGGATATGCGGCTAATAATTCGGACGAAGAGCTCACCTTTGTTATCACGGGCGACATCAATGCTATGTGGCTCAGAGACTCTGCCAACCAAATGCAGTCTTACCTTCCCGTCCTAAAGGCAAATGACTCAGCAGACAGCATTGCTTCTTTGTATCGTGGAGTTATCAACCTACAAGCCCGTTACTTGTTAACGTCACCGTACTGCAATTCCTTCCAAGCCCCTGTGGAAGCGAACATTCCGCCTGCGGATAACAGCTATGCTGCGACCGATCAAGTTACGCCTACCTACAGCAACCTCAGCGTTTTCGAATGCAAGTATGAGCTCGATAGCTTAGCAGCTTTCCTTGAAGTCTCAACAAACTACTACTCGGCAACAAATGACCTTGAATTTTTCGGCAAGTTCCAATGGGTAGCTGGAATACAGGCCGTTATGGCTACTGCCAAAGCCATGATGACACCAACATACGGGGCAGATGGGCAGGTTCTCACTTCGCCGTATACCTTCATGCGTGACACCACAACCGCTTCTGAGACCCTGTTGAATCTTGGCAACGGTAGCCCTGTGGCAAACGGAACGGGACTCATTCGCTCCGCTTTCCGGCCTAGTGACGATAGTACGATCTTCCAACTCTTCATCCCGGCCAATATGATGTTTTCTCGATATCTGGCATCTACAGCAGAGATCATGGAGAAACTAGGTGACAAGGCGCCAACAGGCTTGGCTTCTCAGATGAAGTGTCTTGCTAGTTCAGTCGACAATGCTATCAAGGCAAATGCAATTATCACCGACTTCAACACCAAGACACAAGTGTACGCCTATGAGGTGGATGGTTATGGGTCAGCGCTAGTCATGGACGATGCTAATATCCCATCACTGCTGTCTGCGCCGTTCTTGGGCTACCTGGATTCTGACGATCCCATTTATCAGAACACCCGCGCAGTTCTCCTCGATGAAACAGGCACAAATGGCAATCCATATTTCATGCGTGGACCAGTCATCAACGGAATTGGCGGCCCTCACACCCGCCCAGGGAAAGCGTGGCCGATGTCCAGCATTGTACGAATTCTCACGAGTGATGACGATGCAGAGATCAAGTCGGTATTGAAAGAGGTAGTGAGCAGCACTGACGGGTTTGGCTTGATGCATGAAAGTGTCAACACGTTTAATCAAAGCGATTGGACCAGGCAATGGTAAGTGCTTCATTCAAAACAAGTCTAACAGCACCTAACATTTCTTTCCAAGGTTCTCGTGGGCAAATGGGTTGTTTGGGCAAATGATATTAGATCTCAAGGACAGGAAACCGGATATTCTGGCGGACAGTTACCAGTGAGAGGGACAAGGTCAAGATTGGAATGGTAGTCTAGACACTTCCGTAATCAATTGCCGCAAACTCTCGTCCTGTTCCGATATTGGGACACATTCACACTGTATCTGGACCAGTGTGTCCTCCCGTAACGAAAGAAGTAATTACTGAAGAGATGTGGGCCTAGCGGAAGGTATGGTTTGGTCAACAGATGCTGACTATATGTTGCGCGCAGAGGCGCAGAGTAATTACCTGCTACTGTACGTTGTAATTCGTTGGTCTCAGCTTCCGGATCGGGAACGCCGTTGGCGCCACCAGAGCGGCTTGGACCGAACGAGCAACGAGCGGTATGATGAAGCATGAAGATCCACTTACGCCGCAGCCCGTCACCCTGGTATGTCTTGTCTTTTCTCCGAATGACTCACTTTCTTACCGCTTTCTGTGGTATATGGAGGATATCAAGACTCTCGGTTTGCCAATTGCAAAATATTTCGATCTGCGTGTTTCAACTAGGTAGTAGAGGCGTCTTAACAATCCAGAATGGTCCTCCGCCTGCGCCCAGCAACCGAAGCCGACGCCCCCGCCATAGGCCGGATTTCGGCGGCTGCTTTTCACCCACAGACCGACCCCGTAGCCCGAAATCTTTTCCCCGAACGCCTTCGACCGGCACATGTCTCTGATGATGATGTCCAGGTTGTATGGCGAACGGCGCGAAAGGGAGCTTCTATGAAAAGGCCATCCGCCGTCATGCTAGTTGTCGAGGACGATCAACTCAACCACGAAATTGTCGGGTTTGCCCTATGGGATAGGCCACATTCCGAGGATAGTAAAATAGCGTATGGGCCAGAAGAGTTCCCCGACACTTTAGATAAGGACGCGTTTACTCTCACGCGTGCCATTGTCGAGGAGGACCAGAAAGTGACCTTTGGCGAGCGAGGCGCGAAGGATGTCTGGCGTAAGTATTAAATCTCACTGCAAGATCCGCGATTTAAGTTCCATATCAGACCTTGACTACATCGGTGTTGATCCAAAACATATGCGGAGGGGTATCGGCAAAATCCTTCTAAACTGGGGCATTGATCAAGCAGTGAAGGAGAATCGTGACTGTTATTTGATTGCGACACCTGCAGGGCAACCTTTCTATGCTGCATCTGGATTCCAGGTCCTAAGAGTTTTGAAGATATTTGGGGTAGATCACTATTCCATGTTACTCAAGCACGATGGATCGAAATCTGTTACTTCACCTTAATAGGGGGGAAAAAGGCATTGTTAATAAGCCGTCGAATAACAGGTCACAGGATCAATGATACAGTTTTGACGTTCGATGGGAAGCGATATATTCATGTAGCTCCTCGATATAATTTCCGGATTCAACTTGTTCGATCATTCATATCCGTCGTACAGAAAATATTCTTTGGTTATAAGTAAACTCCCAGCCCAAGCATTTATATCACACTCCTTGGTATACGACGAACTGTCCCCAAACGCAGAAAATCGACAACAAGTCGAACGCTCAGTTTCCGCCCACTGGTACACCCATGGTCAGAAGTCCACCCCAATTGCCAATGAAGCCCGCCACATGATTGGCCTTCTGGCTCTTCTCTCGATTTCTCTCTTCTCTAGCATATACACAGACTGCGGTCAATACCAGAAGTCCGCACCAGTCGATGTCGCGGGTGGCGTTTTCGCTGTATACTTCCAACATCCCAAACTCGGAGACGCCCGTCGCCGCTCCAGCAAAGCGAGCAATGATATTTTTATCGCTGTCCACAAGCTTCAATCTTCGATCAGGCGACGTTCTTCCGCCAAGTGCTTCCGCATCGTGCATCCACTTGAGCCCCTTGTGTCGTCCATCCTTAGTCTCTAGCGCGTACGATGCGGATGAACCCAGCCCGTTCCGCGTCAGCTTGACTTCAGTGCCGTCACCGAGTTGGCAGTCTAGAAATTTACCCATCACAACCTGGATTAGGCAATGCCCGACAACATCGCTGGAAGTAGCATTCGAATCGACGGATCGGTGAACTGCAACATCTATCGTGTCTCGGAAGCCTCTCGGTCGCGAAAGAATGATGCTGTATGCGTGAAAGGTTGAAGGAGTCGGTGCGACTTTGAGCTTGCCATTTAAAGACTGCGTGATGTGGTAGGTCACAATAGGATCGTCTGACACTTTTGAGGTGGTGTCTTTGGACTTATGTTTGAATAGCCCCATTTTCTGCTGGACTTGATGATGGATTGGAACGTGGAATTACTGTTGGCATCGCCTTCATTTGGATGAAGTTATGACCAAAGTCATGCTTGAGGTGGCTATAGTTTTGAAAGAAGGCGACGCCAAGTGACGTATGTATGCATGGGTGTCCAAGTTGGCTGCAACACTCTGTCTCAACAGGAGGTGGTGACGGGTAATTTAGCGAGGGGTTGTGGTGCTGATCCCTGGCATAACCTCTGGCAATGGCTGGGTGAGGGAGGATCATGCAGATCAGCAATGCTGAACGACAGTGGCGGTAGACTCAACATAGTTGATAGTACCACCACTCCAGGGATATGCAGCGCTGCGTGCGTCGAGCTAATGGCGCTGATTAATGATGCAACGTATAGTTGACGTGTATTTGAATTTATCTCGATAACGTGGTTGCAAATGGAGCAACGCAAGCTCGTCAACCTTCTAGCCAAATTACAATGGACAGGCTCAAAGGATCAAAAAGACAGTACTGTCAGATATCTAGGCGCCGGGAGTACCGTCGCTTCCGTCTGATTGGCGCTGACAGGACTCAGGAGTGTGGCTGAGCATGTAACAAAATGTTACAACTTCCGCTCTTCGTGAGCAAGGCTGTAAATTGTTGTTCCCGATGTTGTTACTTTTCAACATAAGTGTCAAAGGTGAAAACACTATTTACACAGCGATATAATAGGAAAGTAGTCATGAGACTGGTAAACACGGAGACTTTGCGTCTCGAGTTCTTCGAGGCAAATATGCCGGTGTACGCTACCTTGTCTCACACATGGGGGGACGAGGAGATCTTATATGAAGACTTGCATGGGGCGTCTTCATTACCAATAACAAAGAAAGGATGGGGAAAATTCGCGGGCAGCTGTGCTCGAGCAAAGCAGGATGGCTACGAGTACATATGGATCGACACTTGTTGCATTAACAAAAGCAGCAGCGCTGAACTTTCTGAATCTATCAACGCCATGTTCCAATTGTATCAAAACTCTCATATATGTTATGCCTATCTTTTCGATTGCAGACGCCCGGGCTGGAACAACCCTACAAGCGCAATATTGGGAAGCAGGTGGTTCAGTCGGGGTTGGACTTTGCAAGAACTCATAGCTCCAGAAGATGTCCTGCTTGTTGATGAACAGTGGAACAACATTGGACGAAAAAGCGAAAGGCCTTGGTGCAAACTCCTGAGTAAGAAGACGTCTGTACCTGAAAGCATCTTCCAGTGGAAAAAAGAGCCTTCTTGCTACCGATGCATCAAAAACGAATCTCTCTGGAGAAGTGGTGCTTTGCGCCACCAGTGTAATATATGCAACACTCATAATGCCGAAAGGTTGTCGAAATATTTAAAGAAGTTCAGCGTATATGAACGGATGACATGGGCATGCAGCAGGATGACTACCCGGCCGGAAGACGAGGCTTATTGTCTGCTTGGGATATTTGATGTCAATATGCCATTACTATATGGGGAAGGCCACAAGGCATTTGATCGACTTCAGAAGGAGATAATGCTCAGATCGAACGACCAGTCTATACTAGTTCGAGAACCCTCAGCGCGGGTCCTCGCCACGGGTCCAAAGGATTTCATCGGGAGGGAGACGATTTTCCCCCCTCAACAGTCATTCTCGTCAATCCAAGAAAAGTCCCACATGCGCCCAACGTCAGACAGCATCGAACTGGGTGTATTTCTCTGTCCAGTACGAGAGATGCGCGGAGATACTGGCCAAAAGACAAACTTCTTTGTCGGGATTTAAATTGCACATTGAGTGATAAGGTTACACGTCCATGTTTGCTGCTGCGGTCACTGGGGAGCAATTATTACGAGTCATATGGAGTCAGAACCACTGCATCACCGGGAAAATCTCAACGTTTCCCACCACCCCCAATGTTTACCACTCCCCAAGACCAGGGTTTCCTTTTAAGTAAGTCTTTATAGAGTTTATTCCCCCCAAATGCTCTAGTGAGTGGTTTCATGCTGTGCCATTAGCAATAGATTGATATTAACTCACTGTCCTGGATCTTCAATCTCATGATGACCAGTCATACCTAAAGCATTCGATTTGCATGACCGGACAATTCAGATCATTTACTTGGTTGACCAAGACTACCGATATAATGCTGAAACCGAAGGGCCACTAATTCGCTTGAGCAGTCATATGATGTGCAGGGCCAAGCATAGGTTCCTGGGTTGCAAAGACAGCGTAATGGTCTATGACTGTAAGACCGTTAGCATCCAGAGCAAGGACAAACACACAGGGAGCGCGGGCGGAGTGTTCACAATTACAGGGATACCTGGTTTACCAACACTCTATGTCTTGTGGTACTTCAGAGATAAGGGCCCTTGGAAGATATCTTTGACACATACAGAGAACGACAATATTATCTGGGCCATCCCTTCGAGGAGTGAAGAACTTCTGCCAGAGAGAGGCATTCCAAAGCTTGAAGAGCAAGCTCATCAAATTCTATTGGTACAGAGCAGGACGAAATATGACGCTGTCCCCGACCTCGGCTTAGAAGCGGATCAATTCTTGGCATGTGGCACTACCTACTACCGCACTAGAGTTACCAGGGAAGATTTTCTGGGACAGAAATATTATGAAATTGTTCTGGATTCCGTAGGTGATGAGGTGGATCAACATGCCATAGAGACTAGCACAGCATCTAGGGAAGCTCTATACGCTTTCCTCGAAGAGGCGTAAAGTCGATAGTTGGTGGCGAAGATGACTTATCCCCATTTTTGAGCGTAAAGAATTACGGATCAGGTCTTAATGAAATTAAAAGCACTAGCTATGTTCAACAGTATTACTTACGACATATGTCTTCTGACTAACTTAAGTGTATTAGTATCTCGTAAGTTCTGGCGACCCTTCTGCTCTTGGGAAAGAGAATTTGGTCTCAACAAAGACTTTCTGCATATCATCCTCCTTCGCATCGAACTTGTAGTAAACAGTGTCCAGATCCTCCAATCTAACGCGATGGGAGACCATCTGAAGTGGTTCCAAATTGCCATTGCGAATCTCTTCTAGCAGATACTCCCAGTACTTAAGCACTGGCGCTTGACCATTACCAATAAGACGAATTCCACGCTGCATGAGGGAACCGATTGCGAGGTGATTAGTCTGCAGTGTAATTAGCGCTTTGGACCTTGAAATCACAACGACTTAGACTCACATATCCGACATAAACACCAGTGATACCGCATCGGCCGTAATTCCTCACGCCCTGGATCATCTCGTTGAGAATTTCACTTGTGTCAGTCTCTGCGCCGAGCTGCATCTCAATCCAGTGCATCCACCCCTTGGCATACTCGCCGGCAGCGCACTCAAGCGCGCAGTCAGGACCACGGCCGCCACAGAGCTCCTTGAGCTTGCTAACGATGGTGTCCTTGTTGGTCACACCGAAACTGAGCTTCTTGAAGTCTAGTACTTCCAGCTTATCAGCATGTTTTGAAGGCCATCGGCTCTTTATGAAGCTGAGACGTGGCTCTGTGTCGATAAAGATGACTTTGCTGGCACCCTCGTTTAGTGCAAATATGCCTGCCATTTGGCCAATGGGACCTGCACCAAAGATGGCGACCTGATCGTTCGGATAGACGGCGGTGTCCTTGACGCAGTTGTATGAGGTGGCTAGGACATCTGACAGATAAAGCGCCTTCTCGTCGGGGACATCGTCGGGTATCTCGAGGAGGTTGACATCACCGATGGGAACACGCACATACTCAGCCTGACCGCCAGCGAAGCCGCCGGTGAAATGCGAATAACCAAACATGGCGGCGGTTTGTGTGCCATACATGGCCTTGGCTGTGCTATTTGAGTTCGTCTTCTCACATTGTGAAGAGAGTTTTTGCTTGCAGAAGAAGCACTCTCCGCATGCAATCTGGAAGGAGGCGACATAGCGCTTGCCGACCTTGATATTCTTCACTTCCGGGCCGACTTCATCAACGACACCACAGAACTCGTGACCGAGAATATCATCTGTGTTCATCTGAACGACGGCACCTAATATGTATAAGCGTATGGTTAACCAACGAGTGGATATGCTTCCGTACCGTGCAGCAGATGCAAGTCACTACCGCAGACTGTACTTCCCGTGACCTTGAGGATCACGTCCTTGGGCTCAAGAATGCGCGGCTTGGGCATATCCTTGACCTTGACTTTCTGCTTGCCCTGCCATGTAAGGGCCTTCATGGTCTCACTCGGGTCTCCGGTCTCCTTGTAGCTAGCGACATCTTGCTGGATGATCGAGCTACCGTCATGGCCAATGGCCTGCTCGGCGGCATAAGCTGCTCTAGAGGTTGCCATTGCGATAATACGAATAACAAGATTGTATCTTGATGTATCAATGTACCTGAGCCGTAAGGGTTCTCAGTTTAGATTCATGTGAAATCATCTCAGTCCAAGGGGTACTGAGACGTGCTATATAAAGCGATCCTAGCCCAGTCCACCTCGCCTCCCAGCACCTAGAACAACAGCGTCACGCACCGAGTGCATACTGTATTTGGAACAATCGGTCACTACTAAGCAATGACTTTTATTCGTATGACGATCAAAGTCGTCATCTCTTACACTCTGAGGGGCATCTCAATGGGAGTGTTAGTGCCCCGCAGCTCATCGACGTCATGGATGTTTAGGGCGCCCTATCTGCCGCCTTAGAGGCTGAAACCCTTCTCCACATCTATCATCCAGCCCTAGAAAGCGGTACACTACTGCACTAATAGGAAGCCGGGCAATGAATTTAGGGCGCTGCCAATCACTGCATGCAGCTCTTAAGCTTATTTGGTTATGTTCAGCTCGCGACTCGGCTGCAGATAATCCCGCGGCTCTCCCACTTTACGGAGGTTTTATTCCGCTTTGATATTTGATATTTGATATTGTTTCTCAGTGATCGTCGTCAGTTTTGACTGATAACTAACAGAGGCAAAGCTAGGGGCGCGAATGGCTTGGTCAGCCATCTAAGCCAACGCTCTCGTTCAATAATGACCAAAACGCTGTATCTACGCCCTGGAAAGCCCATTCGTAGCCTTCTGCGGCGACATCGGGAGCCAGCAGATCTCCCTCGTTATTGACCGGCGCATTTGGCTGCATGGTGCCGTCTGCAGACGCGAGGAGAGACGGCGCACTAAAGGAGATGTCGCTGCAGAAAGCCAGCGCGGTTGGGTCAATATCTATGCACCGTGGGTCAACCGAAGATGATGCCCCGGCTGGATCAGCCTTGGAGACGTTGATCGTTCCAAGAAAAGGGACATTGAGATGCACACCGTCGTCCCACCCTGCTGGTCCCTGCTCAAGGGACACGACCTCCTCGGTGCCAGCCTTGATAATGATAGGCAACATCTGCTTGATGATCTCGCAGGATTCACCAGAGAGCTTATCCTTGTTCAGGTTTTGAATGTGTTCCATCCTTTTTCTGGTCTTTTCGACGAGTTCTCTATCTTCCCGGCATCTCTTCTCGTACAGAGGCCCGGTAGGCTCAGCCTTTCGTCGACGGAGGTAACCAAGGAGAAGAGTCATGGTTGCGATCAGTGCAGCGTAGTCAACTCTGCGACAGGAGAATGCCGAGACGTTCAATGACCGGAAGACGATAAACCTCTTGAGGACATCTCGACACGCTTTCATGGCGGTGCATTTGTTGAAATCGTACCGGCTCTCGTTCGGCTCGCGTAGCATATACGGCAAGTGCAGCAGAACAAGCATCGTCGAGTGATGAATCTGGAGAATCATCTGGGCCGTGTATTCGTATATCTCGCCGGGCTTGTCGAATGGATCCATCTTCGGAATCTCCCACCAGCTCTCGCCCATAGTCTTCGCGGCCTCGTCGAGCTCGTAGCATATTTCCTGTGTCAAAGAATATGCTCGTTTGCCCTTGGCTTGGTTCCGCTCGATGATCTTCGCAGATAGATAGGTGTGGATCTTCTCTAGGCGTTCCATCGGAGTGTCCCGCGAATGAGCCACGCTGTAAAGGAAGCTGTTGTCGTCCGTACCGTGCTGCAAGCCGAGCAGGAGCGAGAGGTATCGATCAGAGTTGATGATGCGGTACCAGAGAAACTCGGCCGTCGGTCGTTCTTGTGGTGGTGTCTGGGGGTTGCAGGACCGGAAGGCTCTCTTTTGGCCACGGTCAATGCCCATCAGTTGACCAAGACACATCGCCCGCCGGAAGCTGATCCATGCCTTGCGCAGGTTACCAGCATTGGCTTGGTAGTAGCCCTGGAGGAGCAGGCATTCTAGGCCCTCACTATAGCCTACCAACTCATCATTGCTCGTGACAAGAGTAGACGTGGTAACCATCCTATGCATCATATCTAAGACGGAGATCTCAAGTCCCAGACCCTCCCAGCTGAAAGATGGAGGTAATAACTGGATGCAAATGAGTAGTTGGATGACACGCTTAGCCAATATCAGGGGGTGGCTCGATACTGGTGGGATGACGGCCAGATTGGCTGGTGTCTCCCCTTTCCCATCTAATGCATCCGCTGAGCTTTGAAACATAGTCGCGACGTACGGAGCGCCGGGACTGGAAGAGACAATAGCATCTACGATTGCCTGCGAGGGAAGCACAGAACGCAAGACTGTACAGACCCAGAAATGCTTTGGAGGTGGCAGTTCCCGAGTTGCGGCCGTCGACGCCGTGCCGGGGCCCGATTCCGGAGTCATCATGGGTGCTGGCTCTGTCGGTGGCTGCAGGAGAGTGGATGCATTGTTGTTCCGCATTGCAAGCAACGCTGCGACAGGACCATCACTGGATGTGGCGGCATCAAGGACATCTATAGATGAATCCCGAGCTTCCTGCATCCAGGGAGAAATCGACCTGGTCATCCGCCTGGGCGGTTCTGGTGCGATCCTATCCACGAGCCTCTCCATCATGTGCTCCAGCCTATCGAGGCGGCGAGTGAGCGCCGGTTCAGGCTTCTGGCCGGGCTCGAGAACACCGTCGTCGTCGAACTCCTGGCTCTTACAAGTGCTCCCTCGCGTCTTGCAGCCAATGCATACTGTGTCGTCCGATGTGTCAAACTGACACCGGACCTTCCGCCTTCTGCCTGTAGAGTTGTTAGAAGCATGCCTTCACCCTCTGGCATTTAGACTTGCATTCCCAGCAACTATGCGTCCCCTTGCGAACTTTCCGCCTCTTCGCCTCCTGCTGCTCATGGTCGGACATTTCGAGCCGATTATAGATACCTCATAATCGTCGTTCGCAAAGCCGCAATTTTTCTTAGCCAAACCGAATAATAAATTTTGGGTCACAAAAAAACCAGTGTTTAGAGATTGTAACTTGTTGCTTGTAAGTTGACGCGTGATATGTGAGAGACTGAGCAATGAGAGTTGTTATTCAACACTTGGAGAAACTAGGAGGGGCATCATGCTGTATTTCGTTATTTTGGTCCGTTCGTTCGGCCGACGAGTCGGGCGAACTGTTGCCTTCGCTGACATAACCAGAGGCTAGAGATAGTGGCTTATCGGCCATAGAGGATGGCAAGACGGGTAACCACCACAGAATCCGTCGTATAAAGCGAATTAAAGCGAATTGAAGGGCATCACACGGTGACGAAGAGTGTCAGCTTGCCACACTTGTGGCCCTGTGAGATGCCCGGCCTCGTCAGCGACAGTGTATGCTGTCCAGTACAGATGCTACCTCTCCTGTTATCTGATCTCAGACGGCCACTGGTGCACGTCCACGGCAGTGGAGATCCGGACTTTCCCCTTTTAGTCACCGCGCGGCCACGGACACGGGCAAGACAAGCGCCGTTGGACTTGACAAGATCCGCCTCCGCGCGTGTAGAGAGACGACAGGATCTCGGGACATGCCTAAGATGAAAGTCGAGGTGGAAAGGATGCGCTTATGCTTGATTTGCTTGTTGAGGACCTAAGGAGTCAAGTAGGGCACTCGTAGATGGCTACGGCGGGCGACTTGTCCCCAAAGAGCAGAAACCGCCGTGGAACGCCGTGGCGTTCGGCGCTCCGTGGAGGATTTTGTATTGTGAAGACGCTTAGGTAACATGCCATGCCTTTGAAATCGCTCAATTCAGCTAAGTGGATTGAAATGTCACGTTCGGTCCGTTAGTCAGGTCCAGCCCATTTTGATGGGGCTATTGGAATAGCCGGCACAATGAGCCTGCTTTCGCGTAGCAGTACCTGTACCTGGGAGGCTGCCTGAAATAACCTGAATGTGCAGTCTCTTCCTGTATAGGTACGAACAGCTAACAAAGGGGGTGGATGAGGACAGCCTCATGATGTACGTATGAGCCGGGTTAGGAGAGCCATGATTCAAAACTGACTATACCGTTTCGTAGTCCAGATTGAAGACTACGTCTTGATTATCAAGACGCTCCGACGTATGCGCCCTGCGAGCCATGTAGGCCGAGGCTCTGAACATCACTCTGAAGCTAAAGGCGACTGTTTGAGATTGCTGGGACCCGATCCAGGCGGATACTTCTCAATCGCATCACAATAGCTTTTTACTGCTGCTTGATAATCCAGTTCTTCCCTGGTGTTGCTGTTCCTGTTGACAAACATGTAGATAATTGGGATGCCATATATAAGATCTCGCCTGAAGACCAGCGGCGTGGTCGAGGTGACTGTCTTTGCCTGGCACCACCAGCATCTGTCAACAACACCATCACCACCTGTCCAAAATGTCTCCTCCACGATATGAGTACGTTACGAAGGTTAGCAGCGAGCCGCTTGCCGAACCCCTGACCTTCCACTTCTCCAAGAGGACGGCTAAAAATCGATTCATGAACACCGCCATGGCAGAGATGTTGTCGACTTGGGACAAAGAGAACATCGAAGCTAGAGGCATCCCCACTAAGGAACTCATCGAGCTATATCGACGGTATGTCTCTTTTTCTTGCTGCCCTCTCTTGACTTCTGTTGCTGACGCCTGGGTAGATGGGGTGAGGGCGAATGGGGTCTCCTCCATACCGGGAATATGATGATCGATTACCACCAGATGTCGAGTGCAGGCGATGCATTGATCCCGCCTGATGCGCCCTTTGAGGGCGATCGTTTCGAGGCATTCAAGGCTATGGCTGCTGCTGCAAAGGCACACGGCAGCTTGATCATTGCACAGGTCTCACATCCAGGACGCCAAATTTCTGCGAAGCAAACCACTGAGTCTATCTCAGCGTCAGCTGTCCAACTTGGTTCGTCGTCTTGACCGCATCAAACACGATTAGATATTGACGAGCTTGTTTGGACAGAGCCTAAGTTAGGAATGACATACGCTCCAACGCGCGCCGCAACCCAAAAAGATATCGACCAGGTGATCGAAGGCTTTGCCCATGCCGCCGCCTACCTAGAAGCCGCCGGCTTCGACGGCATCAACCTTCACGGTGCTCACGGCTACCTTCTCGCCCAGTTCCTTAGCAAGACCACGAATAAGCGTACTGATAAATATGGAGGAAGTATGACCAACCGCATGCGTCTTATCACCGAGGTGTGCGCGGCGATTCGGGCCCGGACGAAGCCTAGCTTCATTCTCTCTGCCAAGCTGAACAGCGTCGAGTTCCAGTCCGGCGGCCTCACCCCCGACGAGGCCTCGGAGCTGGTAAGCGCGCTGCAAGAGACGGCTGCTATCGACTTCGTCGAACTCAGCGGCGGCACGGCCGAAGAACTGGGAATGGATTGGAAGAAGGAGTCGACACGCAGACGAGAGGCATACTTCCTAGAATTTGCAGAGCAGATAGCCCCGGCTCTAGGCTCCAAAGAGCAACGTAGGACCAAGGTTTATCTTACAGGAGGTCTGCGCTCAGTTGGCGCCATGGTCGCCGTCCTCGAAAAGATGGATGGCGTTGGACTGGCGAAACCGGCAGCACAGGAACCCCAGCTGGCCAAGATGATTCTGGCCGGAGAGGTAGAGGGCGCGATCAAACAACCGCCCCTTTTCGAGCAGGAGTATATTCTTGGCTTGATGGCAGCCGGCACGCAACTCCGTATGATCGGTCAGGGGAAGGCACCCTTTGACATAAGTGACCCCGAGCAGGCCGCTCAATTCCAGAAGGACCTAACGGCACACTTCACTGCGCTGGCTGAGGATGGAGACAAAGGCACCAAGTATGGATATGCCGAGTATACAGGGCCCACGAAGCCATACGAGGCGGCGTGAGGCGGTGGTGCGATGATCCACGATGATGATTGCAAGCCTGTTTGCTATTTGAATTAGATTCTGCCAATTAGACCACAACTCATGTCTTGAACGTTCCAATTTCCAATTCTTCCCCGTATAAGTCCGGAGATGTTTGATATCGTTAAGGGTACAGCCCGGAGCTCTTGGGTGGTGCACGACTCGTTATCTCCAGCCTTACCAGGCAGGGTCCGCCGAGTTAGAGGAGGCTCGTACTCTGAGTCCATTGCAGGGTCGCGCTCAGAGAGGCGTGCAGCGCGCTAGGCGGGTAGGTGCGGTGGACATAAGGAAAAGGTACGCTAATCGCACCTCATTTGTAATCAGTGGAGCCGAAGCGGCACCAGTAGGCTCGTTTTAAGTTACCTTGAATAACTTCTTGGCCTGACATAAGCGCTCGACTCTTTCTGGCGAAAGATGGCTCTTATTATAGCTTGTCTTGATTGTGAAAGCGTACATATTCGTCAATTAAAAAAGGAGAGGAAGGGAGCGATATTTCTTAAAAAGTCCATCGAATGCAAAGTCGTCCCAGAAAAACCACCACGGCATTCGCACCGAAGACATGATGGAAATCGTCTCGCAAGTTAACCGGCGCAAAGGCAAGTATTCGCTGAAGAGCGCGATGTTAAACGGCAATGAAAAGAACCAGAACTGACTTACTCACTCTAGCCTGTGATCTATGTTTTACGAAAAAGATCAAATGTGACATGTTGAAGCCGACATGCTCCAATTGTCAACTCTATAGAGCAGACTGCAGAACCACGGCGGTCAGGAGGCGTGTCCCAAATCCTAGGGAGAAGGAGCGAGAGCGAGAGCAGCCTGCCCCTCGAGCGTCATCGTCGTCTGCTCCTCTAGAAAACCAAGAGGAGTGGGCATCCTTGTTCCCTTATATCCCGAAAGTAAGGTGCTGACCCGGTGCAGACCATCTCGCATGCGGGCGCTAGAGGACCGTCTTGCTCGCATCGAATCACAGCTGGGCCAGGTCGTCGCCGTGGCCTCCGCGGCGGTCACGGCAGGATCGAGAAACACTCCGCCCGCACATACACACCCAAGCCCGGCAGGAGCCGCGGCGACCCCTAACTACCTCAGCAGTGATGACCTCGGTGCGTTCCTCCAAGGACTCAGCCCGGCGCCCGACTGGGAGTTTGAACATCCCGTGGCACAACACCAGCTGCCTCCTTTGGACGAGATTCTCCCAATGATTGACAGTTATTTTATGCACTTCAATTCCATCATCCCGCTCTTCCAGCAGCCCGCTTTCATGCGCATGCTACACGACTACTACCACTCTCCATCTGCTGCCGCCGCGGATTCCCGGCATGCTGTCTGGGCTGCTGTCAACATCGTGTTGGCCTTGGCCTACCGCATGCCAGGCCGTGCGACGCAAGATAGCGCCGCCACGGATCGCTTGCCGTCAGACCGGGACGAGCATGTGTCGAGATACCTTCAAAATGCCCAGAGCGCACTCAGCCAACTAGTGACGAGAGATGAGGATCTCCTTGGTCTCCAAGTTCTACTCGGGATGGTCATACTGTTTTCTAGTACTGGGGACTCCCGTCCATCTCTAGTACTCATTGGGACTGCAGTTCGACTGGCACACCGCCTCCGACTTCAGTCTCGAGAACCCCAGGCTATGTTCTCTCCCGAAGTCAATTTGCAGCGTTCAAGGATCTTCTGGATCACTTACATGCTAGATAAAGATATCAGCTTGCGACATCAGACACCCGCCCTACAAAATGATAATGACATTGACCTCGACCTTCCACCTGTAACACCAAAGGACGGAGCTGGCGATCTGTACACGACAGACGGCATCATCCGGTTCAATGTGTTTAGAGCTCGTGTGCAGCTCGGACATATTCAAGGCTTGATTTATGACACACTGTTCTCAACACGAAGTGCCAGATTGCTTCCCCAACAGCGCAACCAGCAGATTATGCGTCTCGAGGGGTTGCTGGAAGATTGGCGACATTGTATACCGCAAGCACTACAGCTAGACAATGTGGTCGACAACCTTGGAAGGGTCGGGCTGGCGCATATGTCGACACTGCACCATGGATATCTGACTTGTTTGGTCATGATTCATGGTATATACAGCCACAGTTCCGACTGGATACGACGGATTAGTAGCTATTCCATTGTCACCCTTGGAGACTGCGAGATACCCGGTGGAGGTCGTTGCATGGTACAGCAATCTCCGTGGCCGAGGAGTTGGGTCAAATGTGTTGGCGTAAGCCGACAGTGTCTGAAATTGATGGCGAGTATGGCGCAGAACGATTGTACCGTATGGTGAGTAAAGTCTTCTTTGTTTTGCTGACTCGCTCTGGATATGGCCATTGCTCACCAAGCCACAAAGGTTGAATGGGTGCGCGTACATCTCGGGGCTCATTATCCTGCTCGCGAACATGTTCGAGACTCCAGACGCGGATACCGTCGAGATGGACCAAGAGCTCACGACAGAGGCCATTAAGGTCTTCGACCAGATGAAAGCAACGGCGAACAACGAGTTCATGACGAGGATTCATGTGATTGTTGAGGACTTGGGGCGACGCGCCCGCCACGCCGTTGAGAAGATTGCGATCAAAAAGAAGAATGCAGAAGAGGCAGGAGTGCCCTGGATCCCGACCCAAGAACTCCAGCGCTTGACGCAGGATCAAGACTCCGTTCTGCGCTCAGATGATGACCTAGCAGGACTGTCTGCATTCGATAGCCAACCAGGAACAAATACTGGTGGCATCCCAAATCTGTTCGCTGGGAACACTGGCTCGCCTTTCGTAAGTAGACGTTTCCTCGCCTGACTGTCATCTTGCCAGTCAAGTACTCGGGTTGCTATCCCTATAGAGGCATGCTGACAGGCTTTGGCGATTTAGCAGCACCAAGATTGGGTCTACTCTGACCTTACGAACCCATTCGGGACAAGCATGGGCTATGGGAACGCACACTCTTTTGCTGATGATGTCGCGGTAACATCAGCAGCTGCCGATCCACGCGCAGGGCTGATGTTCCTGGGATGAAGACGAGCGACGAAGATAACAGCATTACAGCCAGCATAGAAATTTAGCCCCATTCACATGCCTCGATAAGAGAGACTGGGAATAGCTTCATCGGTCACCGGCCGGGGATCAGAAAGTTGACATTGGCGATCAGAGTAGAATTGAGCTATTGTGGCTGGAGCTTTCGGATTCGGCGACACTTGGCAGGAGCTTGGGACAGACTCTGGCACGCCAGGCACGGGTA